GACTACACTATAGCCTCAAATGAATATGAGTTCACAGGCTCGTTCAATGAGACTACACCATGGATGATTGTTGACTCGAGAATTTCTGGTGCGCTGTCGTCGATTGAACTTTGTCCCTAATTTGAAAATGTTGTCTTTGCTAACAAGACACCGCAGGCATGGACACCTCCCAAGGAATTTCATGCACACAAGTAGAACCCTGACATCGTAGAGATTAGTATGGTGCGATCAAGTAAGATGTGAAACAGACTTCTCTGGATAATCAGCAGAATAAGTGAAAAAACGTGGAAATACACAATGAAAGACTCCATCAGGGAACTTGACAACAAAGCCATGTCGATATGCATCTATGAAATCAGCATCGAGTAGGAAGCACCAAATGGCCTGCATCAATTCTTGTTTGCAGTGTGTGAGTACTGCTCCTGTCGCACTACGACCAAAAGTCTTCTTGTAGAAGTCTTGGATAGTATCCGACAGCTATACACCTAATTAGTAGTTCATATCTTGAGTTTAAACAAAGACAGACCTTTGGAATATATGCGAGATGCTGTGCTGCAAATGATGTTGGCTTGCCATGAATATACTTTGACTGATTACCAATGAACAAGTATATCAGCCAGAGAGAAGCATTTCCGAAGCTTGCTAAATGAGTGGAATCGGATCAAAGCATGATCGCAGCTATGACAGTTTCTAGGTTGCAGTCTGGTTCACGTGGCTGCGAGTTGAGCTTCGCTTGCTCTTGAAGCATGGCGTCAGATGTATACAGTTCGGTAATGATTCGCTCTGGGGGTTTGTCGTCCTCTGGCTGCCAGAATAGTTTATATGGCTTCATGTGAAATGTTTGGCTGCAACTTCTGCATACACCGATTTGAGGACCTCTAATGGTTTGCAATAATAGAGCCCGTCAACATCAAATTCAGGCGCGTGATCTTCAGAAGAGAACTTCTCTTTTTCACATGGTAGCCATATTTTCACTGAGGCCTCGTGCCATCCATCAGATGAGAATATGGATGAGGCAGGGTCATGTTGGGCCTTCTCGAGACATGATGCCTCCCTAGGCACATTAAAATCTAGCAAATCCTCCCAGCAGAAATCCTCCACTAACATGACATCATTGACCAAGCAATTGAGATCTTGCAACGATTTCGAGATTGACGAGTTATAAAACCATGTCATGAGCTGAAAAACTGTAGCATTAAGGAATGGTGCAAAGTAATCATGATGGACCGCTTCAAGTGACTGTCCAAAGCCAGCATACCATGGCCATTCGTAATCGGCGTCCCCATCAACATGCTGGAATGTTGAGGAGTCACAAAATGCATCAAAGTATGCTGAATGTTCGGGGTTGTATGTTGGAAATGAGTAAGGGTATTCACGAAAAAGGTCGAATGCATCAGTGTCTGTACAATATTGCTCAGTAGGGGGGGCATGCTCCGATGATAGTCTGTCATGGAAGTCCATGGCAATGTCACCAGGGTCATCAGGTGCTGGTGCTGGCTCATCTGGGGCGACTGGAGGTGGGGCAGGAATTGGCAGGGCAGGAACTTCATCACGATAACACTTGGGAGACGTATCTGGCAGTTGGGGCACCCAGATGGTTGTGGCAATTCTGACATGTCAATATCTGGTACCTGTTCATATGATAATACTACATGAATATCAAGGTTAAATTTTTAGAAATAATACTCACTTCATCAACACGAGGCTGCTGCTGCTGTCGTCGACGATGCTGTGCCTCACGTTCTTCTTCCTGTTGCTGTTCTTCCTCTGCACGGGCAGCTTCAGCAATTGCTTGTCGGTGCTCCAGCTGTTCAGTAAGCGCTGATGTTGTGGCTACATCATGCATGCGGCAGTACCTGCTGAGGTGCATGGAAAGTCCACGGTCACGAACTTCAACATCACAGTTCGGACAGTTGACCATAGAGATAAAAGTGAGCAAAAAGAATAGTAAGACAAAGTAGAGCCACATCAAGAGGTGCTGCTGGAGAGGTGCTGGTTAATTGATGATGATTGATGAGTCTTAAATACACATAGTATGAGATCAGTCCGAAGGGAGGTGTTTCAAAGGCATGAACCGAACCAGAAATAGGACTCGGACCGTACCTTTGAAACACAAACCGTTACTAGAAGTGAGGTTTCCCTCGCAATCCCATATGAGACATTGCCAATCTTGAAACTGATAGGATAAGGTCTGGGTAGATAATCTGGGTGACAGTCGAGATCAGTTCACAATCGAGATCACATGCTTCTGCTCAGTGACAAGATACCAAAGATAGTGCTCATCTCAAGATGTGGAGCTAAGAGAGGGTTGAGTTCACTCTAGAACCCATCACCTGGACCAAACTGCATGTTTCACACCATTGATGAATAAGAAAACTGTATATTATAGCGCATATAATAAATCAGGATTGCACGAACGTTTATGACCTCTCAGAGGTGCAGCTTGAGACTTAGACATCAAAAATGTTCAAACTACAGAGACCTTCGATGGGGTCGTCAAATGCAGGTCGTGTTTTCTTTGTCACAAATGGTTTCTCGCTGTGCTTGCTTCTCCGTGTGTTCGAACTTCCAATGTGTTGTCCGAGCAGCTTGGGGTTGAATGCTTGGCATGTCCACTGAGGTTGGTGGATATCAAAACATCAAAATAACGTACTATTTGCCTGCACAAATGAAGTTTCCCTCGCAACCCCATCCTAGACAGCGCCAATCTTGAAATGCCTCGCAAGGCTGCCGCAAGGTTGAGAGAGTCTAGTGAGGCCTTACGAGACGAGTATGCACACCTTGCATAATGACGAACAAATACATTCAAGCCTCGGAAGGCATCATGTGGCCGTGGGAGACTCTCCGGACCTTGCCGGCCCTTGCCAGATTTGGGCACTTTTGCTGATGTAATCATAATATTATGGGAGACCGGTTTTGTGGCTGTGTGTGGGAGACGCGTAGCTCGCTAAAGGCCACATGGTTTGCGCTTAGCTCGCTTAACCTCGATTTAGAAATTTCGCGTGGTTCTGTCAATCGGAGTTTCAATTTCAAAAAACCGTTCTCCCTTACTGTCCAAAATTGGTTAAGCCACAACAAGGGGAGGAACACCAAGCAAATAGAAAAATGTGAAAAATGCGAAAAATGCGAAAATATAAAGATAGGAAAAATGGGCAATGGGTAAACATGGGAATGGGAAGGTGGAGAATGGAGAAATGGGAGGAGGAGGACAGGAGGATGGGAGAATGGGAGAACAGGAGAACGGGAGAACGGGAGATAGGAAAGCAGAAAATAGGACAGAGACACGGGAGAATTTTTTGGGAAGGGCAAGAGTCAACAGCAAGACACTGGCTTGCATCCCGCTGGCCGAGGTACGAGGCCACGGGATTGCAAGCCAGTGTCTTGCTGTTGACTCTTGCCCTTCCCAAAAAATTCTCCCGTGTCCTCTGTCCTCAGAACTAAAATAAAAGTATATAGTATTTTGTAAATGTAATATGTAGACATGTGCCGAAGGCACAACGGGTGTGGGCTAGTAGATACTTAATAAGTCGTATGGTAACGCCCTGAGGCCCAGGCTCCTTCCCACCACTGGTTCGAGTGTGGAGGGGCGGATTGCGAGTAAGGCAGATACAACTCACGTGCTACAACAAAAATTCAAACCCAGCCCAACTTTAATTCCCCTCACACTCTCACCAGCGGCTGGAAGATAACATTTGTCAACATCGTCAGCCACCGTGGCTAACGAAGCGGAATATGAATTTTATTCACTAAGACTGAACGTAGGGTTAGGTATACTGCAATTTATGTTAAGTATTTCCTCACCGGTTAGCTTCTGTGCTCATACTATGTCAATGCAGCGTGCAGTAGAACAAAGCAGACCAACGTGAGTTGTGTAGCACTGCGATTATCAGCATTGTAAGTATAATTGTCGGCTCTTGTTGAAGTAATTGAATTAAACACGATCCGCATAACTATTCAGTGCGTACTTAATTTTTCTTACCCCAATCTTGATGTTCGGATGGTCCGTTGAACGACGGATGAAGGTCATCCTGTCGGCGTGCATGTGCAAAAGTTGGATCACATTCGAAAGCGAGTGTTTCGTGAGTGTTGCCAATGCAAGCATGATGGGAACTATTGACAGCAGATTGTATCGAAGTCATTCGAGTTCTCTGTACTCAGGATGAAAGTCTCCCCAATCGGTAAGACAGTGCACCTCGTCAATTACAATGCTGATAAGCCGTAACACAAACAGTACGTTTTTCAGTAGTTTCTCAAATGAACCGTCTGGTTTCATTATTTGCTCGGGACTGACGGCAATTGCACGATACTTCAGCGCTGCGATGGCCTGTGTGAGTGATAGGTAAGATGATGTTGATACTTGCCGCATTATAGCACAGCACTCACCAAGAAGATCGTAGGTGTAGCGGTCTCGCCATCAATGGATATTCCACGTATGCCAGCCTTGGCCAGCGATGCAACATTTTGCTTGCCTAGCATATTAAGAGGGGTAATAATAATTTGAATGCCGCCATCACGGAACAGCAAAGGCAACCAGAATCCAAGTGTTTTGCCCATTCCAGTGCCTGCCGTGCAAATGACATCCCGGTCCCCTTTGAGCAAAGCCTGGGCAACTTTCAGCTGCCATAAACAAGGCTTAACACCGAATTTTTCGAGAGTGCGTGACCGAATGTCGGCCAATAATGGTGTCTGCTGACTGCCAGAAGAATCTTGATTAGGAGAAGGTGCGAGTGCGGCCATTTGATTGTCGCTAGCCTATGACTCGGATCATAACCGGCGAGGTTGTACTCAATAAAAATACTCGACATATATTGCAGTGTATCTAACCCTACGTTCAGTCTTAGTGAATAAAATTCATATTCCGCTTCGTTAGCCACGGTGGCTGACGATGTTGACAAATGTTATCTTCCAGCCGCTGGTGAGAGTGTGAGGGGAATTAAAGTTGGGCTGGGTTTGAATTTTTGTTGTAGCACGTGAGTTGTATTTACCTTACTCGCAATCCGCCCCTCCACACTCGAACCAGTGGTGGGAAGGAGCCTGCCTGAGGCCCTGCAGTCTGAGAAAAAGATGCAAATGTATGATCACTAGCTAGCCCAGTGGACGGGCCCAGGCGCGTAGTGCTTGATGGACTAATCGACACAGCCGCATGAGTCATATCTAGGTAGAATCAAGTTACCGAGAGGGCTTTTATATGGACAGCGAGAACAACAGCTGACAGCCTTACCATCCCCCCCTTGTCTGCCACTATGTCTCTCACAGCAGAAGAGAAACCATGGACCCTCCATGCTGGACTCTATACGAGGTCGGTCTTTTACACATTCTTCACTGTTTCCACCAATTGACCTTGGTCTTCACAGGCCTCTGTACGGGTCGGAGTTGTCGAACCATGATTTTGCTGAAGTGTCGGATGGGTAAGCAGGCGCAAACACACGACTTGGGAACAACCCGTCTGACATCGTAAAGCTCAAATGTATTTTGCATGGGGGTGTCTTTCACATGCATCATCCCTCAGTCCCAGCTAGTATCTTCTATCCACAACGCGTTATGTTTCATGAGGTACTTTTAATACAGCTACTTTTGACAGTACTGATGATTAGCTCCTAGATTTTCTTCCCCGCTTCTAGCAGCGACCGTTGATAAACACGGTCCAGATCCAACCGTTCCTATGGCAAAGTCATGGTTGTATGAACCCGTTTGCACTCTTGAAGATGCAAAGAAATGGGCGGAAGCAAGCCTCACGGTGCACAGAACAACAATGTCTGACGACGATTTTGTCTTTTCCATGAATCAGGTCCGGCTGCCTTACACAAATGGCGATGAGCTTATCATCAAGCAACATTTCGGTTGCCACCTTGTTCTACGCCCCAGCGGGTTGCACTCGATTTTTTTCCACACTGCCCATTATCTCGCGGATGCCTTCGCCATATACAATGCTCTCTATCGTATTTTTGACTTCATTACTGATGACACTCATCCGTCCCTTGACTCCCTTGATTGGGGCCAAGAGTGGAGAAACCTTCCGGTTGGTCCTGTCACTGCCACTGGAGGGCCAAGGGATGGTTGGGAGGCTGGAGTAGAGGCCTTAAATACTGCGGCACGCCAGGCGATGGAACATCAACAGGTGAATCGCTCTCGCTGTCTCCCATCCCGAACACAAGTACTCACGCCCCTAAAGCACTCGAAAGGTCTGATACCACAACGAGATCAAATTCTTGTGCGAGGAATATCCGCGTGCATCCATCGAATACTAGATGCAAAAATGTTCAAGGAAATTCTTGATGCACTGGCGTTGACAGACTTCACTGTCACCCAGCTTTTCGAAGCAGCTCAGATACTTACTGTTCTGAAGGCCCATCACCCGGAACTTCTTCGCGAAGACAAGGCAAATGTTATACTGGACTTCACAGTGTAGGTAGACTTGACGCTGTCATGCCGCAAAATTGATGAGAGGTCATCAGTATAGCGTACCAACGATTTCTAGTTCTACCCTACAACGCACGTTCGCATCATGTCTCATTCGCGTGCACTTTCCCCATGGTCGTCTATGCGAGCGACGTGCCTTGGGAGGCAAGTCCAAAAGCACAATTACTTGCGGTCATGGCGAAGATCAAGGAGCAATACTCGATCCGGCTGTCCAACAAGCATCTTCCTCACATCGGATCCAGTCAATATGATTCCCAAGACAATCCAAATGCACTCGCAATCACCAACCTCAAAAAGGTCGAGGATAGCCTCCCTCTCAATTGGCCCATAGGAGCTCAGAACCCAATGGTGCAAATTTCGGACATGAGCCTCGGGCATAGATTGACAGATTTTTATCGTCCGTGCGTTGACCCATTTTTTATAAGCGTCCTCCGTTCACCATGCCCTGCAGATTGACGCACGTATGGTCCTTGCGCTCTGAATTGCACCTTCACCTTGATGTGAGTCAATTCGCTGGATTGGCATGCAACTGACCGGACGATTGGTAGTTCTGCGACGTGTACGATAAATCATACATGGAAGAATTTTTGGACAGCACGACTGCCATTGCCCTCTGGATCACTGACCGGGACGCATAGGCAAGTGTCGGCGGTGAGATTAGCTCTCATAGTCAACCAAGGCACGAAAGCATTTTGAGTTTGTAGATGTAGGTAGACTGAGAGTAGTTAATCAGCAACCAGCTACTTTGTAAATTGTGGGTGGAGCGAACGCATGTGTTGAGTGCGACCGTTTCGAAACCATCGTGTGGAGCCTGGAGTTAGTTGGCATGGTTTCAGTGCGGTGAATTCGCTCATGTTCCACTTATAGTCGCACTCGAGTCATTCGGTCCCGCGGTCCCGCTAATGTCAACATCAATAACTCAGCATCCGACGAGACTCTTACTTAACTATCTCTGAAGGACTTAAGGCACTTTACCCATTTTTGACAGACGCAGACATTCAGCAGTTCTCGTGGCTATACCCACTAGAGCAGTTTGATTTGCCGAGTCAGCAGTTTAGGGTGACCACTGGCGAACCTAATGCGATATGCACCGTAAGTCTAAGCCTTATACCGCTGTGTAGTCCCTTGAGCCACGCTAACAATACCCACATTGGATGTGTACGCATCAGGGCCAGGCCATGGGCATCCCATCCTCACGATATTCGGATACTTGGACTTATCGATATAACACGCCCAACCCGACGTTGAATACCGCCCTCGTCACACATTCTGCTGATACGCGGATGATGTTTTTATTTTATTTTATTTTTCAATTCAAAGTCCATGTCCTATTAAGAGTTATACTCTATGGAGGACAATACAATCTAGTCTAAGGGGCCCCCGGTTCCCCGAACGCATCTCTGGGTGCGCGAATGCCCTGGTGTGAGGTGTACCCCCACCAGTCCGCCGTTCCCGCCGACCGTTTTAGACGCGCCACCCATCGAAGATGAGATGACTCTAATGTGCGTGCAGTGGGTGCGTGAACTATCATAAGGAACTGCTGACGCGTACTCGGATGATGTTTGATGGCACTAACACTGGGTAAGACACACTCCGTCGTAATTAGCCACACAGGCTGATGGAAATGAATTTTTAGTCCAAACGGCACTGCGGAATTTATGCCACAGAAGCCGGCAGAACTCGCGTTCGCTTCCGAATTCATTTCTTACTGGCTTTACTTCGTGCGCACCGGCGATCAGAATACTTACAAGCTGGACAACTCTCCGGTGTGGGGGACGTACAATGAGTCTGACCCAGTCCGGATGGTCTTGATGCAGCACCCACTAGAACTTGACGATCGTCAATGGTAGCTATATGGCGGGATAGCATGTTCCGGAGACTGTCAGGTGTGCATTTACAATTAGCAAGGCGGAGGTTTGTCAACAACAGACAGGATCGTAGTGACTTGTCCAGTTTCGCGTTTGGGTCAGAAGGTAAGCTGCTTGTACGCGCTTGCTCGTTAGTTACTTAGTCGGAGTTCTTTTCGAGTTCCTGCCTTCCTCTAACGTCGTGTGGGTCATTTCTGTATTATCTAGTGTATATTGTACAGTGGTGAGCGAAACATGTAGTGATTAAAAACTAGAAACGACAAAACATGAACAAGTACGAATAAATAGTATCGATTACACAGCGCATGCTCCCCCTCCACAGACTCGAGTTCCTTGGTCGACGGCTGGTCGTGATTCACTGTTCCGTATGCCGATGTATTGTCTCTGTACGTGAGCTGGGATACATGCACTTCCAAAGGCTTCATAACATACTGCTGCGAGATTCCTCCCGCTGTCCCACTGGTCATCCCTCCACGGGTCGAGATGTAATTGTGAGTTGTTTTCTTGTTGATTGCGATGCGGATGATCACCATGTAGAAGGTAATTGAGATAATCGGCATGATCTAATTAGCGAAAGCTCAGTAATTTTCGATAACAGGCGTTAGCGGCGGAAATCACCATGTCTAGCATAACATACTGTCCGTTGTTCCATTCAACGAAACACACTAGTGCCGAGAGCAGCGCCACAGAGTACAAAACGGCGGCATCCACAAGCACGCGCAGTATCGGCATCATACTGCCCTTCGTAGCACGAATTGCAGAGACATTGCGTTCGACCATCCAGATGCGATATCCCAGAAGTCCTGGACAAACTAGTATTGGGCCCGGACGTTATGCTCAGGCAGAAGCATGCTTACCCGAAGCCGATAAATTGGTTGCAAGTGTCAAGGCATAGAATGTTGTGATCCATTGACCAGTTGCTTTAGCGAAGATGTTTCCAGCCTCACTAGTCGCTTGTGAAACGCTATGGACCGCAAAAAAACCAGACACTTCGATAGAACATCAGACAAATAACTTCCTGGGCACAATTACGACCTAACCTGTGCTACCGAGCCACAGCACGCTTGGTATGATGATAATCAAGAGAGATTTCCAAACGACATAACATCGATAAATCTTTTGCCAAAAAGACTTTTCATAAGCCAAGAAGGTTGCAAGCTTGGAGTTAAAAAAACAGAACCCACCACCATCCCATCGCCGAGCATAGTCTGCAAGGTGTATATCACATTCTTGTTCACAAATGTATTTTGGGCAACGTCTGCGAAGAACGCCGGTGGCCCCCCTGGAAATGTATCGCGATACGTCACAAGTCCCTCTTCGATACGAATGACATCTATGACCATGTGCTTAGGAGACTTGAGCAGATGATTCTGGATGTAAGAGGCGAGAAGCTAACAGCGGTACTCAGTATCAACAACAGCACTGCCACAACAGCGTTTGTGCGATTGATATCCTTTAGGCGACGTTTGTAGGTCAATGCCCAGATGGTACCCATAAACATGAGAACGGAAAAGCCTGAACAATCCAAGCTTGGTGGGTATGGGATGGACATAGCCATTGCGATGCTCACCATATAAAATTCCTTCCATTACTGTAGACACTACAGCAGAAGTATCCAGTGGGATGCCTCTTGAAGCCATGGCAAAATGGATTTGCCTGGGGGATGTACCAGGGGTGGGTACCTTCGCAGCTTCATGTCAACTCAGCTTTAAAGGTCCTATAAATGCATTAGGAATAACACCAATGCCTTCGAAGTTCGCAGCAATTTTTGTTAATTCCATAGAAACTGAACTCACGATGGACACGGGGAATGGGGTACGACATACTGTATTCAGCATTTCATGAGATGTATATTTGCAGCATCTGGCAGAACTTTCTGTAATTTCCTCCCATGATCCATGCCCCACGTGTGGTAGTGCTTGATCTAAATTGATTCGACTCCAAAGCCATTTGAAGCTGCGTCGGAAGCAGCCTGAGTTATCTTCATCTTGGCATTCAAATCAGTAAACTACAATTGTGTTCTCAGCACTCACAGTGTGAACACCAAGACTCCTCTAGTGACAGTTCTGACCACAGACTCGGACAGTGTCCCATGCACTAATGTTTCACGTGACGTTCCATTCTACTAGTTCTCACACTCTCCGTTAAGACTTCGGGCCTCGTGCACAGATCCATGATACCGTATGCCAATATGTAGTACTAGTATCGAGCTTGTGCATGCACCCCCTCAAGCCCTTGAAGACTGGTCTTCTGCCCCTTTTTGAAACTTCGCATTTGCATACCCGCCACCAGCCACGCACTTTGGCCCGATGCCCGGATGGCCTGCATATCACTTTATGTGCTGCCTTCAGGCGGATGCGAATATAACGGTACGACCTTCCTGCATTTCCGTATCGCCTCATTACCGAGAGTCGAGGGAGGTTTCTGCTTTGGACTCGTGGTCGCAACGACAAACTGGGCATGTTACAAGTTTGACCAGCACCTACTGAAAACTTTCCCAAGGTGCTGCACGGAAACCTCTCGAGTCTCGCTCGAGCGCTCGGTGCGTGATCCGCATCGTTGTGCGCAAATTCTGATTTCGCACTCTGCTTCAAGATGCTGGCAAACGCTTCACCTTTTGGGCCTTGTCACATCAACCTATATCTGTGGTCACTCCACTTTCTTCCGAAATCCACACGTGGCTTGGTAGTCCTTTCAACCCACCATCACCAAGCCCTGAGATACCGAAAGAATCCAAGTGATGAAAACTCGTCGCGCCGTAGGACTGTGGTGGCGATAGATGCTGATGACGACGAGCAAATTTGGGTGACTCACAAGTTACAATTAAGTGTCTACGGAGCCTTTGAATTTGTACATTTCCTAATCTCAGCCAGGAGGGGGACAGCGGAGTAGAGGCATTGCATGCTGCGGCACAGCAGGGCAATGGAACATCAGAAGGTCAATGGCTATTGTGGTCTTCCATCACCAATACAAAGTACTCACGCCTTTAAAGCATTCAAAAGATCTGTCAGCGCAACGAGAACATGTTATTGCGCGAGGGAAATCCGTGCACATCCACCGAATCCTAGATTCAAAAACTTTCGAGGAAATTCTCGATGCACTGGCGTTGACAGGCTTCACTATCACCCAACTTCTTGAAGCGGTACAGGTACTTGCTGTTCTGAAGGCTCATCACCCCGACTTCGGGAAGACAAGGCAAACATTGTAATGGACTTCACAATGTAAGCGATCTGGAACTGGCACTGTGGTAATGCGAAATTGATGAAATATCGTCAGTACGGCGCTCCAACGAATTCTAGTTCCTCCCCACAACGGGCGTTCATATCATGTCTCAATCATGTGCATTTTCCCCATGGTCGTCTATGCGAGCGACGTGCCTTGGGAAGCAAGTCCAAAAGTTCAATTACTTGCGGTCATGGCGAAGGTCAGGGAGCAATATCTGGTCAGGTTGTCCAATGAGCATCTTCCTCACATCGGATCCAGCCAATATTTCCAAGACAATCCAAATGCGCTGGCGATCACAAACCTCAAAAAGGTCGAGGACAGCCTCCCTCTCAATTGGCCCTTAGGATCTGATAACCCAATGATACATATTTTGGACATGAGGCTTGGGCTTAGATTGACAAATTTGATCGTCCGTGCGCCGACCCATTTCTATAAACGGATTTCGTTCACCATGCACTGCAGAATGACGCACATCTAGCCCTTGCGGTCTGAACTACACGTTCATCTGGCTGTGAGTCGATTCGCGGGATTGGAGATGCAATTGACCAAACAATTCCTATATAGGTCTGCGACCGCCGACGTGTACGACAAATCATACATGGAGGATTTCGTAGATAACACGATCGCCATTGCGCTCTCGATCATTGACCGAGACACATAGTGTCGCCGGTGAGATTAGATCTCGTGGTTCACGAAGGCTTGTGTATTTGTGGGGGCAGGTAGGCGCATGGCTAATCTCGGTATCAGGAACCAGACCCCGCACCGCCCTGAGACTTTGCTAGTCACCTTCTCGTCAATGACATGGTTAAGCGATGCATACCGTCTCAAGCGGCCACAATAACAGCCTAAGCCGGAGGGATGATGTAAAAATGCAGAAATCAACCGATCAACGGGTCACCTGGGATCGACGTCTGCACTGTACGGCGTCGCAAAGAACACAGACACTGACGGCTACCATTTAGCGTTCGGGCCCGAAGTCGACGACAGCCGACGGGTTATAGCAATAACTTACGACAAGTCAAAGTATAAATGATCGACGACATCGGCAGTCGATGTCAAAATGTCACGAATGGTGTCAGTAAGGACTCAGTAATATGGTTAAGATACGCATAACCAATAGAGATCGAACGCGTGGTATATGTAGGCCGTGAAGTCTATCCGTCACAGGAACCTAATCCGAAATGTCCGATACAAAGCTTCAGAGTCCCCTGACCCGTGTCCATCCGTGCTCAAAGTTGAGACGGGACGTGAATGTCGGCCTGGACACATTTAACGCATTTGTGTTGTACCGCGACTCCGAGCCGCTATCAAGGGGGTTATCCGTTGGTTTCCTTCCTCGTTAAGAAGCATGCCGAATTTCAGGCACCCTCACAGCCAGATGCCAATTGGGCTTCGTTCATTATTCGCATGATGAGTTCGGCACGATAGGGTCAAGTTTGTATTACATTGAAATGATCCAATTCTTCGGCATGTCGCCCCAATGTCGCCCTGTATCGTTAGACTAGTACTGTGTACCAGTTCATGTCAAGTAATGGCCTTCCGCAATGCGCCGAGCCGCAGGTACGTATTTCGCTCATTGCCAGTGCCAGTGGGTTTCCTATTGGTCCGCTTCAATTTTTCAATCTTTGCTTGGCTCACGTACGATCACGCTGCGCGATATGGCTAGAAAGAACATAAAGCTTCATTCAAGCCTCATTTCTGCGGAGGCAATGCGGGTCCAGGAGTTAAAACGGGTCATGAGGATGATGGACTCCAGGGAGAAAGGACGGAGAAGAGGCCGAAAGAGGGTACTGCCATCACTTGTTGGCCGTAAAGCCCTGGGCCTTTTGCTTGATCGAACAGAAAGTCAAGGCTGGATTTTGACTAGCAACACCGAAAGTGGATTGTGGCTGTGCAAGAACCGAAATAATGATTTGTGGGGTCGTCGGATTTCCGCATGTTATAAGTTGAAGGAGGTAAATCAAGTTTTGATAAACCTACCGCCATCACCCCGCCCATTATCATGTCTGAAGAACCTGTTCCGATCCATCCTGTAGCTCCCCGCCTCAAGGGTGGTATCAAAGTTCCTCACATCGGTCCCGATCTTGCAGCATATCAGTCTGCGCATTCGGAAACTCTCGGCCACGAGTCTGATGCATGGTGGAGAAAGGCGAGCTCGTATAATTACTTATTTCTATGTCGCATTTATTGATGGACCCTTTAGATGGCCCGTGATACGTTGCACTGGGACCGTCCATTCCAGACCGTTCGTGCTGGTGGTTTTGAAACCGGCGATATCGTATGGTTCCCAGAGGGCGGTCTCAATGCATCTTACAATTGTGTTGATCGATGGGCGTTCAAACACCCAGACAAAGTAAATATTGGCCCATCATCTTATCGCAAATTCTATTTGATCTTACTTCTACTTTCTGTCAGACTGCCATTATCTACGAGGCGGATGAGCCTGGGGATGGCTGCCTCGTCACCTATGCGGAGTTGCTCCGTGAGGTCTGCTCCATCGCAAATGTTCTGAAAGACCTTGGCATTAAGAAGGGCGATACCGTTTCTGTATACCTGCCGATGACCTGGCAATCCGTTGCTGCTTTCCTCGCTTGTGCGCGAATTGGCGCCATTCACTCGGTAGTCTTCGCTGGCTTCAGCGCAGAGTCTCTCCGTGATCGTGTTCAAGACTGCAAATCGCGGGTTGTCCTCACCAGTGACGAGGGCAGGCGTGGTGGCAAGTCAATTGCAACCAAAGCAATTGTTGATGCTGCCCTCAAGGAGTGCCCTCTGGTTGAACATGTCCTCGTCCTCAAGCGCACCGGTGGCCAGGTGCCATGGCTCGAGGGGAGAGACAAATGGTGGCACGAGGAGACCGCTAAAGTCCCTAATTACTGCCCTCCCGAGATTATGTCATCAGAAGACCCACTTTTTATTCTCTACGTCAGTGGTTTCTTTTCCATGTATTTTTGCCTGGTCCTAATTTTTTAAAATCTATGTTTAGACTTCTGGATCCACAGGAAAACCCAAGGGTGTCGTTCATACCACTGCCGGGTATCTCCTTTGCGCCGCCCTTACCGTAAAATACGTCTTCGATGTTCACCCAGATGACAAGTTCGCCTGTATGGCAGATATTGGTTGGATCACTGGGCACACCTACATTGTTTATGGACCACTCGCAAATGGCGTCAGCACTACCGTCTTTGAATCGACTCCGGTTTACCCCACACCATCCCGTTACTGGCAGACTGTCCAGAAGCATCAGCTTACCCAGTTCTATTCTGCACCTACTGCCATTCGTCTCCTTCGCAGACTGGGTGCTCAGCACGTGGAGAACCATGATCTCAGCAGTTTACGTGTCCTTGGCTCTGTCGGTGAGCCTATTAACCCCGAAGCTTGGAACTGGTACAACGAACATGTTGGCAAGAAGCAGTGCGCTATCGTCGACACGTTCTGGTAAGTTGAATTCCCGAACTGTCCGGGGAACCATGCTTAGCATCCTCCTCAAGGCAAACTGAGACTGGATCCATCGTCGTGACCCCTTTCCCTGGTGCAATTGAGACCAAGCCTGGTTCTGCAACCGTTCCCTTCTTCGGTATTGAGCCTGCTATCCTGGACCCTGTCTCTGGAAAGGTATTCGAATTAATATATTTTGTTTATTTATCACACTGACAAAATCCGACAGGAATTGGAAGGAAACAACGTCGAGGGAGTCCTCGTTCTCAAGCAACCTTGGCCTTCAATTGCCCGTTCTGTGTACAACGACCATAACCGTTATCTAGAGACGTACATGAAGCCTTACGGTGGAGTTTTCTACACGGGAGACGGCGCCGCACGCGATGAACATGGTTACATCTGGATCAAGGGCCGTATTGATGGTGAGGACGTCCCTTGGATGATGTCCCGCCTGTAATAACCATTCTGTAGATGTTATTAATGTCTCTGGACACCGTTTGTCAACTGCTGAGATCGAGTCCGCCTTGATCATGCACAGGGGTGTTGCTGAGACTGCGGTTATCGGTACTGCTGATGAGTTGACGGGTCAGGCTGTTTACGCCTTCGTCACGCTTAAGCCGTAAGTCCTTCGCCCTCTCGCTGAATGAGGATTGACTGGTTACATCAGGGAATTCACGCATGATCCTAATGACGAGGTTGCCCTGGTCAAGGAGCTCGTACTCCAAGTGAGGAAGGTGATTGGTCCCTTCGCGGCACCCAAAAAGATCTTCATCGTCAGTGATCTGCCCAAGACTCGCTCCGGAAAGGCAAGTCCATAGCTGTTTTTTCCTTAGCGATCATTTAATGGCCCGTGTGTCACTGTAGATCATGCGTCGCATCATGCGCAAGATCGTCGCCGGCGAGGGTGATCAACTCGGTGATCTCAGCACTGTTGCTGAGCCTGGTGTCGTCGATGTTATCAAGAAGAAGGTTGCAGAGAGTACGTAAACTCGACGATGAAAAGCTTGTATATTGTAACTTGTTGTACTGATGGATGTACTTTTTCGTTTTTTATGGCCCGCATACCCATACGTGATCGACAGTTTGTACAGGTAGATAGGCAGATGTTTGGTAGATGTATACAACAGGAACGAGGTTGATTTTATCATTGGCGAATGGGTTCGTAAATGCCTGTGCCTAGCATAGCGATCCCGGTTGTATGAGTCCTTCTAGTGAAGTGCACTTGAACTCTGAATCGATCATACATCCATGCTTGAAGCGTAACAGTGTGGATTATGTACATAGGAACTCGGAACGGAGTACCTCACATGTTCACCATTAACTAGGTTCGACTCAGGCTGCTGTCAAAAAGTTGCCGATGGTCTTAAAATAATACTCTCTATCTTCGTAGAACGGAATGTGACTTTTCTTAAACTTGACCCACTTAACCTTCGGTATCTTCTCGATGAAGGGCTTAACCACGAAATCCTGCGCCCCCTCCTCATGACCATTGCAAACGAGCGTCGGGCAAGAAATTCTGTCAAGGCGATCGGTAACATCCCAGGTGATCAACGAACCCGTGAGATTAAACTCCGAAGTTCCGAACCTGATCGTGACTAGAGTGAGCATGTATATACCAATAAGCTGTTAGCTGCACGTTAACGCACATTGTGGTATACACAGTCGGATTTACATCCATATCCGCGAAAGACTGATCAAGCTCTGCCGGCCAAGGGATCACTTGGCAGGAGTGCTTGTTGTAGAACTCCTTCATCCCTCGCTGATACTCCTCTGATGAGGTTGTCCCGTCCCTCTCGTGCCTTTTCAACATCTCTCTGAAGTCCTCCGGAAATTTATTCAGCCAATGGTGCATGCTCTGTTCCCAGAGCTTCAGAGAGGGGGCAGCATTAGCGATGACTGAGGCGGCGAAGACCAGGGCGGTGCTGCGCGGATGCATAATCGGCTGCGAACATGCCTCCCCAAGAATGGCCCTAGAAGGTCAAAATTGTCTTTGATTTTGAGGTGTGTGAGGAGGATTATCGAGCTCATTGATGAATAGCTCTGGCGTCCAGAAGTCGGCGCCCTTGTCGGCGATATGTGTAGACCTCCCGGTGCCTAACTGATCATAGAAGACCACAGGAATGTTATATGTGGTGAAGATTTCTGCGTGCGACTGCATGTACACATGAGACATGCCTGGGCCACCGTGAAGAGTGACAAGTGGTCGAATGCCTGGTATCAGGTCTCCGACAACCTTGTACCAGGTCTGGTAAGTCTCTTGTCCAACCTGGAAGTCGAGAAATCCTGTGACATCAATCATGACATATGGATGCTGTATGACGGTGGGGACAAAAAGGTCAGTTAAGTGGTTTCAAGGTAGTTTTATGGGCAGATAAGAAGTTACCCACATCTCTGGCCTGGGAATTCGTCGAGGGCATGGAACACATGTCTCACTTCATTCCGATGAACCAACTTGACATAATTCCCATGTGTGTCCATTATCAAAATAGCCCAAGACAAGTAACAGAAGCTCCCCACTTGAAAATAAAAATCTCTAGACTGAAATGAAGCCCAGAATCCATAGAAATGAATAGAATCAGTCTACCCTCAAAAAATCCCCGATAGCCTTGAAGTAATACTCCCTATCCTCGAAGAAGGCAATATGACTCTTGGCAAACCTGACCCACTTAACTTTGGGGATTTTCTCGATGAACGGAGCCACTACATAGTCCTGAGCTCCCTCTTCGGGCCCGTTCGTGACGAGAGTAGGGCATGAAATGCGATGGAGACGGTCGATTACAGACCAAGTTCTCAATGAACCAGTCGAGTGAAACTGTTCGGGTCCCGACCTGAATTTTAGGAAATCAAGCCAGTGTCATACGGGAGAGATCAGAGTACTTACATGGCATTCGACACAGTGGGATCCTCTTCGGCAGAAGCGAACGAAGCAACTAGCTCTTCGGGCCAGGGTATCGTCTGGCATGTGTGCTTGTTCAAAAAAACTTGTATGGCTGCTTGGTACTCGGGTGATGAGAGGTTGCCCTCCCTCTCATGTTTCAACACCATCTCCTTGAACTCTGGTGGGAAAGCCTCCAAATATCCCCGCATACTCTCTTTCCATAATTGCTCTGAGGGCGGCGAGCTGGATATGACTAGACGATGAAGTCCAGGAGGTTGACGCTGGGCGACATAGTCAGAAGCCAGCATCCCTCCCCATGAGTGGCCCAGAAGGTCAAAGTCACTTTCGATACCGAGCTGTACGAGAAGATTGTCGAGTTCATCCATGAATAATTCTGGAGTCCAGAATTCAGAAGGTTTGTCACGAAGATGAGTGGATTTTCCGATGCCGAGTTGGTCATAGAAGATGACTGGGATGCCATAGAGAGTATAAATCTCTGTATGCGATATCATGTAGATGTGGGACATTCCAGGACCTCCATGAAGCGTAACAAGTGGTCGTTTGCCCGACTTCAGGTCACCAACAATGTTGTACCAGGTTTGGTACGTCTCGTCACCGACTTTGAAGTCGACAGTGCCCGTGCTGCTGTTCATTGGTAGGGTAGATACCGGTGGTGTTATCTGTAGTTATCGTAGGTGAGTACATCGTTCTTAAACTTCAAACTTAAAGTCGTGTGTGTGTGACTCCCTTGGACATGTGAACGCAAAAAGATGTCCATGGTGGATATTTCCGCACCGTGATTGATCCGCAATCATTGCATATCATTGTGCATGTGTCTTCAAAGTTCAAGTCAGTGGTCTTTGGCTAATGTCGAATGTACGTGGCACCAATTGAGGCCAGCTAGTTTTCTAGGTCACCGTCTGGGCTAGATTCGAATTCCACGTTTCGGTTTCACACAGTAACTCTTTCAGTGTGCAAACTGCGGTCCCTGGATGTCGGTCTTAACCTTGCCAGCCTCGAACTGAGCCATGCCATCACTTCAAGTATTTCGCCGTGCGTACATGCAAGGCTATGGTTCAGATCCAGGTCCTTGGCGTTATCGTATTTTCCCCGAACATGAGCTACGCGCTCAGATCCTGAAACGCTGCACAACTAAAATCTCAAATGACGGATGCAGTCTTAGTGCCTTTTTCCAGCCTCACGTTGGTTCGGTTAACGAAGATAGATCTCTGATCCTGGATTTAAGCCTTCCAAATGGTATCTGGAGTTTGACCGCTGTCTTCGATGGTGCGTAATATGAGGCATGACTGATACTTCACATATGTTTGATTAATAGAATAATCACCTCCTATATAGGTCATGGAGGGCACGAAACAGCTGACTATCTTGTCGCTGAATTACCCTCCTTTCTAATAGCTGGATTGTCGCCTACAGTGACCAACGTGGAAGGGCGTTTCCGATGCTCTTACCAGAGCAATTTATGACTTCGATGAAGCAATGAAACGAGATCTCCTCGAAATATTCCCAGAAGGAATCGATGAGATAGCTGCGATGCCACATGCCATGATCAAGGCGCGGGTCAACGACCAGTGCTCTGGAGGACTGAATCATACGAAAGCCCTGCGTTGCATGAGGGGATCTACGATCATATTAGCGCTCCTTGACCCTACAAAGAAACATCTTTGGGTGCTAAATCTCGGCGATGGCGTAGCGGGTAAGACGAGGTGAGGTTTATAGGTACAGGCGGAAATCACTGACACTGACTTTTGAGTAGTACTTGGAAGTAGACGAGACGCAAGTTCACCGTGGAATACATCCATATTGAGCGATAATCACAATGGCAACAATCCTTCTGAGGCCGATCGCATCAGACAGCAGCATCCTGATGAACCAGAATGCATTTTCGATGATAGAGTTCTCGGCAACATTGCTGTCACGAGAGGTAAGTCTCCCGAATACACCGGGTCAGTTGTTCCCACTCAAATGCGGCGTCAAGCTGTTGGCGACCACGCCTTCAAACTCCCTGCCGTCTACACCGAGAAAATATTTTTAAATGTAGAACCGGGATTTCGTGTCCCCGCTGCGATCGAGTCATTCATTCCACGCAATCTGAGCCCACCATACGTCTCGAACCTTGCAAGCGTTCGTTACGTCAACCTTCATGTGCAGTCAAGCTGTGACTACTTTATCCTGATGTGTTCTGATGGGCTGGTTGACCTTTACATGGATGATCCGGATCGCGCGGAATCCCTTACATCTCTCGTCCAGAGGTGGGTGGAAATAGTAGGTGGCGTTGTGAGAAACGACATACAGGAGGCGATGCTGCGCTTATTAAGACACGCTTTGGGCGCAGAAGACATCGACAGCGTCTCGCGTATGCTTACCGTAGAGATGCCTGTCACTTATATGGATGACACGACTATCGTCTTACAAGTCTTGTAGTATCCAATACGAAGGCTGGTGCATGTAGGGGTAACAAATGCGGAATGTACAGATGCCAAGTGCCAAAAATGCTACGTCTGCAAATAGATAGAGGTCAGGGAAAAATCGAGTCGTGCATCATCGCAGATCCACGATCTCTAGCGGGATGTCTTTCATTTGCACATGACCCTTGTCTGCGTCCTAAACAACCCATCAGTAATTACGGACGAACGGAACCACTCCCGAAGTTACGCACAGTGTATATCGGCACCTCTGGGTGAGGGTGGAAGGCTTCCTTAACATTGCAGTCCAAAATAGTTTGCAAGCCCGGAGGGTCGGTGAGGCGGAAAATTCCAAAGCTAACCATGAAAAATTCAGACGGCATGAGGATCTTTTGAACCATACGGTACGCACTTGGGAGTGAACTTCGGGGCGCAAACAACGGCAAAAGATTCCGGGAGCATGCGCTGAAAACCAGAATGTGTATGCAGATCAACCGATGACATAAAGCCTTCATAGAGAACAAAGTGAGCGGGAATATTTTGAGCTAAATTTATGGACTCACAGGATTGTGAAGGATGTGTGTGAATCTAACAGAGATTGTTAGACACCGAAAAAACAAGACAGCCCCAGGAAACCTACCCATCCCAATGTAATCAAAGATCGTTCTTCCGTGAATTGCAAGACGAGCTCTTCCTCATCCATGGTACAGGTATCACTTGTTGAATGCTGCCTGGGAATCAGGAGTGTTGTGACAGTAAATTTATTTCCTCTATCTTTTCCAAGCAACAGCCCACAAGTTTCGCGATTTCGGACCGTATTCAGCGATGCGATAGACAAGAACCGCGGAAGGCATTCTCGTGGCAAGCTCACAGTTTTCAGATCGGGTACTCGGACGGGATCGCTGGCTTTACGGGTAATCCGCGCGGATTCTTGGGAAGCAGTCCGGTAGCGGTCACCATCGATGTGATGCAGGGGAGGGGGTGGAGGCGGAGGCGTAGCCTGAGGAGCTCGTGAAAGGGAAGAATATGGTGTTATAGAATCAATGTATGCCCCAGAAGGCGACCGTGTCGTAGTCTGAGAGTATGGGTATGGCGCGGGCTGGCTTGGCAGGACAACCACAGATGGATTAGGGAGCGGGTTAGTAGACGATTGAGAAGATTCTGGTACGAAAAGAAGCGAGGACCGTCCAAGATTGGTGGGCTTGAGAGTAGGGTAATTAAACATTGATTGCAGAGAAGGTGCATAGCCTTGCTTGAGCTGGTGTTGCGACATGAGTTCTGGGTATTGAATATGTCCGTCCGGTGGAGCAGGAGATGTCGTAGTTACTGGTGGAGGATAAGAGGGGCTGATGTACAATAAGATACGCTAAATATCGACACGAGAGAACACTCACGGCTTCAAACTCGTTGGAGTCGCGGCGTGGTTCCTGTAGGAGTAAGTCAACAAGCATAGGTAGGTAACGTACAAGGATGCTGACCTTGTTGGGCTTTCGATAGGCATAAGAAGAGGAGCAGCGTCTTCATAAAGCTGCGGATCAACGAAAGATGAACGCTGCGAGCCGGCTGCGGACGCCGCAGGCATGGGAGAAGGAACAAGACTACGGCGAGCCTCCCGTGCAGCAAACTCTGCTTCTTCCTGGCGTTTCAGAATACCCTCCTGTTCCCGCCTGCGTCTTCGTCTAACTTCATCTTGCTCGTCTCTTCTTCGTAAGGTCTTCATGCTTCCTGAACTGGTCACGCTCTCCCCGTCTTTCTTCCGGGCTCAGTGGGGTACCAGGCTCAGAAGGGGTGCCTTCGTGCTGGTAGTACGTCGAATCGCGCAGCTGCGCATTCGCGGCCCGCCTAGCAGCCGTCAAGGCATCTTCCTTTTTCCTGCTCCCAGTGTCAATCTGTAGACGCGGTGGCTGTGTCTCGACTGATCGCATAGAATAACGCGCCTCATCTCCTCTTCGCTGTTCCTCACGTTTTCGGTCAGCATCTTTGCGAGCTGCTTCTTGTGCCAGCCATCCAGAATCGTCATGGGGAGAGCGTCGGCCATCGTCGTGTCGTCTGTACTCCGTGTGCCTGCTCCCCTCTGCGTAATCGCTGGATGACGATGGCCTGCTAGATTCGATATTTTGTAGTCTCCATCGTTCATAACGGTCGACGATGATCGGTTTGATTTCACCAAGATCAACAAGAATTTGATGACCGTTCTGAATGGGGAGTCAGAGAGAGTTACACGAGTTTACGAGGGATAGATGAACAGCATATCGTGCTTTAACAAAGTTCATGATCGGAAGAAGAAATAAAAAATGCGGCAGGCACGAGTTACTCACAAGACCAAGATTGTGGCGCTGCGTTGGTGACAGCAGAGTATAGTACTCCTTGTGCATCGGAAGTTTCTCAAGAATTATCGTCGCAGATTTCGCATATTCCATGAAGGCTTCCTCAAGTTCACCAGCCTCGGCATAAGCTCTGCCAGCCTTCCGGAAGCCATCTGCTTTCTTCAGCCATTGCTTGAGACCTTTCGAAGGATCCCAGAGGTTGGAAAGAGCACGTTCTGAGAGCTCTGCAATTGTTGACGGTCTCCGACTGGATGGACTCGGTCGCGGAGAGGGTCGGAGCACGTTTGCATAAGGTGAACTCATGATGAAACGAAAGCAAGAGCATCTAACCAGCAACGCAGCGTAGTGTCCCGACCAGAACGTATTTACCGTATTTAGAACAGAATGCTTCCGTGTTACTGTGGCGGTTCTGGAACTTCTGGCTGATTCTCGCCAGCACCTGGAACTAGACAGACAATTGACCAACAACGTCCAGTATGTACTACATGTGTTCATCAAATTTCTTAATGAACAACCATCATACGACTTCTTGCGCTAAACCGCATCTTGGCTCCGAGGTCGATCTAACAATACACTCCTTTTTGTCAACTGCCCATGATATAAATTTTCAAAATTCCCATGTGAACGTAACAAAACATGTCGAAGTCAGTCCGCAAAAAGAGGCGTATGACGTCATGGAGTCATGGTGTTTTGCGGGAAGGAAGTGAGCTGCGCAGCAGTTCCCGTCAATTCGAATTTAGCGCCCAAAACTCTACTAGTATCGAGCACAAGCTCATAAGTGCCGGGATAGAGCCAGAAGTTGCCATTGTTGTCGGCTCTCGCGAGATTACCAAGTGTCATCGGCAGCTCAGCAGTTGTAGTGCAACCTGGCGCAATGCTGTGGGAGCGATCGTAGCTGACAAGAACCTTGTTGGGGTAGGGAGCAATTCCGTATGTGCCATTGACGAAAAGAAGGGAAACATAGTCAGATGTCACTAAAGACAATGAAATGAGGTGGTTGATCTGACAAATTGCAGGTTACATACTGTTTCCAGTGTTCGTCACATCAACGGCGAGCGTAGCAAACGATGCGATGTCCAAATATGAAGCATGCTTCCCTCTATCAATGATATCCTGGATGTTGTATGAATTTGCAGGTGCTTGCGCCCACTTGTAAGAGAAGGTAGTGTAGTGCTCGCCATACCCGAATTCGTAGATGGGGACGCCAGTGTACCAGATATAGGTACGGCCTGGACTCGTGACGTTGGGACGGAGGTTCATATCGGTCATAGGGATCTCGTTGACATAGCTTGCTGGGTACTGCGTGATAGGAAGACGCCCAGCAGGTGCAACCTTACCACTGAGGATATCGAAAACAGCCTTTCCACCACTCTGACCTGGATACCCTGCCCAAACGAGTGCATTAATCTAAGACAACTATTGAGTAGTTTAACTAGGAAAGAGGAAGTGATCACTGACAGAGGCATTACCCTTCAGAACGGAGTCATCGAGTTGTCCACCACCAAATTGCACCACAACCAAAGGCTTGCCTATAGCCTGAAGCTCAGCAATCAGGTTGAGCTGGTTGCTGGGCCAAGTAATCGTGTAGCGATCCAGGGCCTCAGCTTCAACGGCGTCATCAATACCACCTGCATAGATGACAGCGTCTGCTTCCTTCGCAGCTGCAACGGCAGCAGCGAACCCACTTGTGTCGTTGGATGTAATGTTGGTGCCCAACACGTAGGTAACGTTATACCCATCCTCCATCGCACCCATGATGGGGCTGATGAGATAGGGAGCATCACCGAAGTAGTTGCCCTGCATCTGGCTGGTTGAGTTGGCCCACGGGCCAATTAGAGCAATGTTATTGACGCTACTCGAGAGCGGCAGAGTACCGTCGTTCTTCAAGAGAACAATACCCTCCACAGCAGCCTGGTACGCAAGTTGTCGGGCAGGAGAAGTGTTGACGTTACTCCAATTGTATGTTCTGTAAGGCTGCCAATCTTCTGGATCAAAGTAACCAAGGCTGAAGCATTGTATCAGTAAACAAACATCGTCTCACACGAAAGCGCTATACCGGACGAGCGAGGCGTATTGATGAAGCAGAGCTGTGCGTAGGTCTGTCTCTGTGACAAGGGACTCATTGTATGCGGTTGGCAACCACATCGTGTAAAAGAGGCCACAATCGAGGTCAGTACCAGCCTTGAGTGCGTCCGCGACTGCTTGTTGAGGGGTACGTATAATTGTGGGAAGAGTAGATACGTGAGACGGCACCTGAAGAATGAAGCTTGTTTATGAGGCCTAGGATGTACTCGAAAATCTTACTCACCACAATCACCCGTAATCTGTTCGCAAGTCATCAATTAACTACAAAGGCGAAATAACTTTGAATATACCCATCGATCTTGCGCGAAGCCGTAGAAATGGCGCAGGATATCTTGGAGCAAGTACGTATCTGCGCAAGAAGGAACGCCGTTAACAGAATTGTATGAGCACCTATGTTATCAATAGGCGGAATGGCATCAGCAGCACGTTAACATCGCGCAAGGAGATCCCGTACATGGCAGCACCGGCTTTGGCATCTCTATAACAGCTCTGGAATGAGGGAAGATAGTACTCCGCGAGATCTTGAGTAGTGATTACTGCGTTGAAGCTGTATCGAAAATTGCCATTCCAGTGCTCGAGATCGTAGCCTGCAAAGTGTTTACAGGTGGAAACGACTTGGTAGTACGGCTTCGGGTCGAGGCCACCTTGCAAGCCGACTACCAGGTTATAGACGTATTGTGCAAGGTGGTACGGATCTTCTCCAGGTGTCTCCTGTCCTCTGCCCCATCGAGGGTCTTTGAACGGATTGATATTTGGTGCCCAGAAGTCTAGACCAGCGCGCCCATAGTTATTGAAAGCACGTCCCTCCATGCCCACTATGCTTCCAACAGACTTGATCAACTCATCGTCAAACGCAGCACTCATAAGAATCGGCTGGGGGAACGACGTTGCATAACTGAATTCGCCTGATATCGAGAAGTTGACACCGCCTGGACTTTGTGCTAATCCATGCTGGACACAAGCAAGTTAGCCTCGGCAACTTCCGAGCAGATGTTCAGTATTCACCAAGGCTTCCGACCACCACTGGTACGCCGGCAAACCGAGACGAGGGACTCCAGGAGACCGGTTAACAGTGTTATAGATCAGCTCTGGAACAGTGAACAACTCGATCAGGGAAGTGGCACGCGTAATGGGGTCAAGAGCAGTGTCGCAGACTGGGTTGCCTGCTAGAGGACCGTTTTTGCAATCAGGGAAACCATAACCAGAAACACTGCCTGCTGCGAGCGCAGAAACCAGAGCGATGTGCTTTGGACGTCCCATGACAATCCTTTGCAGCGATCATGATGGGTCAGGAAGTGTTGCATTTATATGATTCGTCTTCGAACTTCCCCATGATCTTTTCACGCGTCAAACATCGCTCACCACACGTGGCACTAACAAGTCCACAGACGCGTTGTTATTTTCCTGTGGACTGTTATACTAGTGCCACGTATGGTGATCACGTACGAATGTGGTTCGTCATCTGGCTATTCCTCGGCGTACATGAGGCCTCTTACTGTAAGAGCAATACTATAGAGTTACGACCGTAAGTACTTCGCGCCCTTTCGGGTGTGACCATGTCACCCTTAGCTTCACTGGCTGGAGGACCCTGATGTCAATGGAGGCAAGCTTCTCGATGTCAGCGTTTCGCCATGTGTTGATTAACTTCAAGGCGATCGTCGTCTAACAGATAAGGCTTACCTTACTGAAACATCAATGTATCCAGCTTGGTAGTTTCCCAGACCTTGAAAGTTGAAAGGAAAAACTCGTTCCCTTTTTTCGAGCCAGCTTGCAGGGTTACTTCTAGCATTGTCTCCTCTATTTACTTCATAGCTAACAATCATCCAGGGCGCGTCCTCCTCGTACTTCAAGACGGCAGAGCTATCATCGATGTCTAAGTTCTTGATTATGACCAAAAGTTCAACGTCGTCCTCGTGATTCAAAGGAGAGGATCTATAGCATGGATGAAGGCGTAGAATAAGTAGAACTCGGCTCTGCCTTGTCAAGGGCGTCCGTGAGATCATTGATTTCTCCGTTCCCTCTCTCACACTCTCATTCCTCAGATCAACGAAATCGACAAAGCCATCGATCAAGCGGTCGACCTTGGCAGCCTGGCTTCATACGTGCAGAACCGATCCCATCTATCCGGTATTAGTGCAACTCGATCTTTGGGACGGAGTGCGGCGCTATCACTACAGAAACGGAGTGGGAGACGTTCGATATGGTTATGTGTGTATATGGAAGGGAAGCATGAAGAGGTGAGTTCATTTGCTGTTGGTGCTTCTTCTGTCCTTTGCCTTCCTCTTTATGTTCATGTTGTGTTGATGTGCGAGTCTCGTATCGTGCATGGTCTTCATCTTGTCGTATACATTCGCGTGCGTTCTGCATCACCACGTCCTTCTAACGCGCCCTGCTGTCCATTCAGGAATATAAATTTTCCTGCACATATATTACATGCATTCTGGTGTGCATTTCAAGTGTCTCTTATGATACAGTCGACATCCAGCAGAAGCCAAAAGGATCTCATAGCACCCGCGGGCCGTCCTATGCCAGCAGCAAGCTGTTTGCCTGGTCTTCTCGGGCATCGGATTCTTCCGGTCCGCGGTTGTTTGCCGGCTTCCGGCTCGGGACGAGCATGTGGGGGATTCCGCAGGCAAATATGATTGGGACCAACTATGCAAGGGGGCGACCGATGTCGCACTTGCAGCTCGTATGACTCCGCGTTAACGGCGGGTCGATAGGCAGGATGTGAGTAATCTAGTCAACTTGACGGGGAACCGAGGTGTTAACACTAGATTTTTTCCAAACTAACGGATGAACCCCTGGACGGTATTCCCGGATAGACCGCGCAGACTTTCGCCTGATCACCGACTCCTGCCTTCCGTATTCGGTTTTAAATCCCCGCACTTCGATATGAAAAACACTCAGCGCCGGGCCGTGTGCGCTGGCCTCAGTAATGAATTCCAGTGAGTGATGCAAAACGTGGGTACTTTTCCAGCTCGACTTTATTGAGTTCTTGTGTGTCCACGTCAAGAGGTATCATAACCTTGAAGTACTGTGACTGTACGTTGACGCTCTGAAGAGATCATGCCACGAGGCGTGGGTATCTGTTACATTATTACAGAGCATCCAGACATGTGAGCTGATGCACAGGAAAATGAATTCTCTTTCCTCACTACCCGGGTCGCGTATAAAACCGAAGACCATACTAGCTTTCAACTCAATAGCAAAAACACCATCAGGCCTTAGCCCTCTCCTGAATTACAACTATGAAATTTATCTCACTCACCACTATGATCACGTCCGCCGCAGTAATCGCTGTCAGCTATCACACGAATCATCGGCCATCCCTGTGCCCAAGCTAGTGAGCACTTTTCAGTCCAGCCAGTTCTGGACGTGCGGGCTCAGACTGTATGCTTATGGCTGCTCGCAGACGGCGTGGAGTGTGGATGACTCGAAGATCATAACGACGGACTCCAGCTCTTGTTTTTATGGACCTGACTACACAATCGCTGGCTATCAAGATTGCACCTGTCACGATTGCTGCTACGTAAAAGGTCCATATGGTTTTTGCAATGCTTTTTGAGGGAAAATGATGGGCGTGGAACTAACCCGTTACCTGCCGAATCCTAGCTCTGAATATGATGTGTTTGCTTCCGCCAGCAAGTTCATACAGGTGACGAATCCCAGCGGATAATCCCAAACTTAGGCGTTTTGCCAGCTCAACTTCATTTAGTTCTTATGGATCCACGAGCAAGCTCAAGAGGTATCGTAATATTGGAGCACTGTGATTGTACTTTTGACGCTCTGAAGAGATCATGCCACGAGGCTGTAAGCAACAGAACTTATCTGCGGGGATATGTGAGCGGATGCACAGGAAAATGTATCACCACCCGCGTATAAAACCGAAGGTCATACTAACTTTCGACTCAATAGCAAAAATACCATCAGGCCTTAGCCCTCTCCTGATTTACAACTATGAAATCCATCTCACTCACCACTATGATCATGTCTGCCGCCACAATTGCGTCTGCCGCAGCAATGGCTGTCACAGCTACCGCACAGATAATCGGCCACTCTTGTGCACAAGCTAGTGAGTACTTACTTTGCAGTCTAGCGAGTTGTGGACGTGCGAGCCTCAGACTGTGTGCTTATGGCTGCTCACAGGCCACTTGGAGTGCGGAACGCTCGCAGGTCATAACCACGGATATCCGTTCCTGTTTATGTGTGGACCTGACTACACAATCACCCGTTATCAAGATTGCACCTGTTACGAATGCTGCGAGATTGATAGCGACGGTGGTTCATGCCTTTGAGAGGAAATGATGGGCTTGGAGTGAACCCGTGGCCTCCCGAGTCCTGGCACTGAATCTGATGTATTTGCTTTCGTATACCGTAACTAGCCGACAACGAACTGTCGGGACTCTCGTCCACCACTTTGGACGATACGGCCTGGCCGAGCTCCACGTGTTCTTAGTTAGCCTATACTTTGCGGGAAAGAAGTGCAAGATAGATGGTGTTACTACACTGGACATGAGATATAAGAAAGTTTCGCGATATCAAGCTCGAAAGAAAGGCACCATCGTGCGACAAATCCCCAACTTATGCGTTTTGTCTCTTCACTATTGTTTCGATCTCTGGCTTGAGACTCGCCCAAAGGCTATCGATGGTATGCACTGGATTCCATCCGATCAGTTTAGCTCGTTCCGCCCTCGCACGGGAGTTCGTTCCCATCAGGGAGGGACCCTATGGATCATTGTTTCGTTAGTGAACGATTGGATAACGGACGTAATTAAAAACCTACCCCGAAATACTTCTGCACCTCTTCGTCAGTAAACACCGTCGGTTCAGGACTTTCTCCTCGCTTCATCTCATACAATAATTTTGCCAAGACCTCTGATATCTCACCCATCCGATATTCTCCATTTTCGCCGAAATAATAGCCCTCACTACCATGACCTGTTTCATTTTGCCCCTTCATCGCAGCGTCGAAAACGGAGATGTAAAGTGTCGCTACGTCGTCGATATGAATGCTGGACCACAGATTCAGCCCTTTTCCGATAACTCCACCCTGCTTTCTGTCAAGGCCGGCTTTGATGAGATCAGGGATTTGTATTGAGTACGGATTCTGAACGCCAAGTGAGACCAGGAGTGTGTTCGCAATGCCATATATTGTTGAAGGCAAAATGACATACGTCCGCACATAACCTGTTCACGTTGTTTCCAGAGTGTTTGTTATAAGATATAGGTAACAAAGTTGGACAGGGAAGGCATCGACAGTTACCTTGTTTATCAGCAGCAATGACCTCAAGGTCAACATCACGATGCGGTTGCGTCTCGAGTAGTGACTCGATGATTGGGACGTCTAGGTCGGAATAGATTTTATCCGTAGCGTAGTTCCCAACAGCGTTGTCTATTAGGACACCAGTTCCAGACTGATAGGTTGAATATTAGTGCCACTTCAACTTCAAGGTAACCAAGAAATGGCATAGGCTATACCCACAGTGTGTATGAAAATGGGGACGGTCTTCGTCTGTTCGTATCTCTTTTTTAGTCCTAAGAGGACTGCTCTGGCTGCATTAATGTCATTGACGTTAGCCTATACATATATTGGGCGATCAGCTATGTCTTGACTCGGAAGTTTGAGGTTCAGAACCTACACAGGATAAGACTACGTCAGCTTCGCTAGCAAGTGATATCAGCACATCGAAATCGCTATTGGTGCCAACGACAGCTGTGACGCCGAGACTATTGAACAATGCTGACCTTTTCATGGGAGCGAATGAGAACAGTTATCTGAAATGTATCGGATCTAGGGTGGGATAGCAATGCGGTCATAACGGATCCGCCAATATATCCTTCAATTGACGGTCAGTTGAGTAAAATTCAGACCGGGGTGCAACAAGAACCTACCAGTAGCCCCTGTGACAAATATATGTGTCTTCGGGGACATGGTCAGCGAGCTGCGGCGTGGTGAAACTTGAATGTAGGGTTTGGAACGCCCAAAAGCCACCAGGATAGACGATCCTTTTATATGCAGGGGTGTAAGCCCATTGGCTGACCTGAGTTCCCATCATCAGCATAAATACTGTCCGCGATGATGAAGCGTGAGCTTTCATTATCAGTGACTGCCTTTTAGCGTAATGGTTCAGGGATGACAGCCCCGACTACTTACAAGGCGTCGCCAAAGTGGAGGAGAGTCAGCTGGCGAGTGATGGACTCATGTCGTGTCTGCTGGTGATTGACTCGTGTCGTGTCTGCTGGTGATGGACTCGTGTCATGTCTGCTGGTGATGGACTCGCGTCAGTGGACATTTCGAACTACTGTAGAGATACGCACCTAAGTTCGTCACACCGTCACATGCCTAACCTATTTCGTGTGACCGTCACACCGAGCTTGACTCAGGCAAAGTGTGACATGCGGTCAAATTGAAAAAAGCCAAGAATCCTTCTATGCTTTGCCAAAACACCCTCGAGCTCCAGTCGACCTCTTTGAATTCATTAGTGGTCACAGCTATAACTTGAAGCTTGATTATACCATCTAGTACTTGCTTATTGAACCCTCCAACTTGAAATTTTTGTTGTGCGCCAGCAGATTCTTTAGCACTGACATTAGACTTGGCAATTAGTCCTAAATTCTAATACTAGCCATGGAAACCAAAATATCAATATTGACGAGCTTGTGCAAAGTTGTATCATTGATGTTGTAGTCAGACTCTGGTATTAGATAATGGCGGGTGCAGCTTCGTATCGCTGGCAGAAGTAAGTTAAAGAGAAAGCAGGGGGGAGCGCAACTCTGCTGCGCGAGCATCATGATCTCCGTGCCCAAGTCTAGCCTAACCTCATCCAAATGCGCTTGCCTGACTGCGCGGTCGAACCTACTTACAGGGTGCCACACGTGACAGCCTCCTTCGAACTTTCGAACCTAAGGTTCATTTGGTCACACCCAGATAGGGTCGAACCTAGGTGCATATCTCTACAGTATAGTTATTTGACTGTGATGACGTAGTTACTACTCAGCCTTCTGAAGCTCGAAGCCAATCTCTACAGTATATAGTTCTACGTAGTAAGCCGAAGCGCAGTAGCAAAACCCCGCTACAGTAGTACTATCATTCGACGGGAAATGCACAATTTTCACTTATTGCTGAATAGCAACACAACAACAACACATATTCGTATCGGATCTACTGTAGTGTATACCTTAGATCTCTGCGCATTAGGCCTGACAAGAATTTATTTTGTTTTGTTTCGAGCTTGTTGCAGCGGCAGCACTAGAAGTTGAGATGTCGAAAACACAATAGAAATGCACAATTTCGTCACACTATGTCACGCGCGGCACCTCGGCCAATACACAATGATTTCGAAAGTCCGACAGCGCGCAAAGCGAATGAAAGTCCAGTGTTGCCGAATGCAAACAAAGCGGAGACTCAACCAAGCCGAGAGTGTGATTTCCCAATCTAGCCTGGCCGTCACGCTTTGCTCATGAATCGTGAATAGCACGCTGTGGTGGTGTTCTATTGACGTAGAAACACCTGGAGTAGATTCAGAATGGTGTATTTCATATATGTTGAAGTTCCTATGTTGATAGGTTAATGGGATCTGGGTGGATCTTGGATTTAGTGTCTAAAAGTCACTATGGAGGTTTTAGTCCTTTCAGCTACTACTGGCTGCTACAAGCTGCTATAAATCACATTGCTTGGCAGTGGGTTTCCTGATGGACGTGTCGTGTCCGCTGATGATGATACTATGTCGTGGCCCGATGGCAAAATGTCCGACTCGCGGAGATCTCCTGCGGTTCTTCCTATCTCGATTATACGATACGCGGCACCTCGGACACAGTCTTCAAGTCGGACTCACCAATAGTAATCGAGTGTGTACATGATGCATATCAGTGATGAGGCCTGAGGCCTGAGGCTCTCCTCTTCACCATTACATGTTAACGGTAAACCCCACATCCACACGTGATATAATACGAGAAAATTGTCTGATAGAAACCATGCTCCACATCGTATCCATAACTCAGCTGACCACTAAGCAGGTATAAGAACGGGTTTCAGAAACAAAGTTATTTTCAGTGGACTCGTTGACGGCCCACATTAGATCCATTATGACTCAGCCTTCTTTCGACGAGAAGCGCCAAACGAAAGACGGAACTCAAGATGAGTTGTATGAACTTGTTCAAAGAAACGCGGCTGTGGATGTTTCGCAATATGTAGCTGACATCGAGGAACGCACAACTTGGTTTGTCTGGCTTCTTGTGGCTTGTTGTACTATATCTGGGTTATTGTTTGGTATGGGCCGTGTGCTTCGCTTTTGAGATGACGAATGATTGACTAGGATGTGTAAACAGGTTATGACACTGGTGTAATCTCTGGTACTCTAGTCACCATCAAAGGAGATCTCGGGCCGACTCAGTTATCAGATGGACAGAAGGTGATGTCTGAGACCTGATTCATGCACCCATAATACTGACCACGTCATTCTAGGAATTCATCACGTCCGCTACCACGTTGGGTGCACTACTAGGAGGCCTTGCGGCGGGTGCTATGTCAGACTGGACGGGCCGTCGACCCGTACTTGGCATTGCAGACATCATCTTTGTCGGCGGAGCCCTCGGACAAGCAATCTGCCATACTGTCTGGAGTATGGTGTGCTTTCTTTTCCATGCGCCCTCACCGTACGCAAACTGACCACCAGCTTCAACTAGATCGGTTGCCGGTTCCTCATTGGCATCGGCGTGGGTCTTGCATCATGCATCGCACCTCTGTATATACAGGAGCTCTCGCCTACACGCATGCGTGGACGCATGGTCGTTCTGAACGTTGTAATGATCACTTTTGGACAGGTTGTTGCTTATGGGATCGATGCAGGCTTTGAGAATGTGAGTGGTGGTTGGAGGTGGATGGTTGGACTTGGTACAGTCCCAGCTGGCATTCAATTGATATGTTTGGCGTTCTTACCGGAGAGCCGTGAGTCTGATGGTCCGATGTCATTTGCAGAGGGATGACTAAATTGACCTCTGTTTTGCAGCAAGAATACTTATTCGGAGGGGCAATATCGAAGCCGCGCACAAAGTTTTAGAACGTGTCTACTCGCAAGCCACGGCTGAACAAATCGATTTACAGGTATTTTTAGTGTTGGTCGGTCGAGCAGTTAATAGTCTGAACCATCTCATAGCTTCAAGTTCTCCGTGCATCGGTACAGCAGAGTATCGACATCGCAAACTCCACAACCTTCTTCGAGCGCTTCAAGTCCATGATCACCGTTCCCATAAATCGTAGAGCACTGAGTAAGGCATACCCATTGCTCGCGCAGTCTTGCTGTACTCACATTGCAAAGTCATCGGATGCGGCATGCAAGCGTTCCAACAACTCTGTGGATTCAATACACTCATGTACTACTCTGCATCACTCTTCCAGGAGATAGGGTTCAACCAGCCGACAGCAGTTGGGCTGATCGTCAGTGGGACAAATTTCGTCTTCACACTCATTGCGTTAAAATACATTGATATCGTGGGACGGCGAAGGATCATGGTGTTCTCTGCGCCGGGAATGGTTTTTGGCCTCACCCTTGCCAGCATCGCATTCCATTGTATGTGTTCTATGTCCTTGCGTGGATGCATCAGATGACCGACTTGACTTGGGTAGATATGACGCTACATACAGGTGGTGATTTGGTCACTGGCGCCACTTACTCTAGAACATGGTCAGCGATTGTCCTGCTCTCGATGATTATCTTCGTCGCATCGTATGCAACGGGCTTGGGGAACGTCCCATGGCAGCAAGGCGAGCTCTTCGGTCTCGAAGGTCACATTGTTGTTTCTGGTACATATGAATTTGGTACTGACGCCTCTTGCAGTTCGCGGTATCGGCACATCACTCTCGACCGCGACAAATTGGGCTGGCAATCTTCTTATCGGCTCTACATACCTTTCCCTCATGGCGAAAATTACTCCCGCTGGCGCATTTGGGTTCTACGCAGGGCTGTGTCTGCTAGGATGGCTATTTTGCTTGTTCTGCTTTCCTGAGACTGCTGGGCTGAGCCTTGAGGAGGTCCAGAGCATCTTCCGGGATGGTTTTGGGATCCGAGAAAGCCAGAGAATGAGGAATCAAAAGCGAGAGATGATGATGCGGCAAAACATCAAACCGGAACAGGTGCATGCATGATGAGCACGCAGGGAATACCAATCTCAGAGCATATTAAGAAGTACAAGATAACCTACAGAAGGAACGGCTATATTCCTTCTATTTGGTCTGCCTGAGAGACTGAAGATGACTGCTAATACTAAAAGTGCGATAGCGACAGATAAATGTATGTATCTTGCACACTTCATCTGAACCCGACGTTGGCCGAAGTTGTGACCATTTTTATCTGCTGCATCACAGCAATGCGTGTCATTCAACAAACGAGAGAAGCACTCGTGATTCTGTCATTGATTAAGCTTTCGTCGCCGTCCAGAAAGCAGTTCTGTAAACGTATCCCAGCATAGACTGGGAATTACGTGTATATGTCGTATCTATAGTTCGCTCATTCTGATAGTCGATCGCCCTCGTCAGAATTGCACAGCGAAATCCGATATATAAACTTACAGATATCACGAAGCCGATCTTTTGAGCCAACGTTTTGACTTCTCCGAGATCAAGTTCGACGGAAGGGTCGTTGGTCGCATTATTTTCGAAGTGCCAGAGCAATGGGCCTGATATTAGTTAGTGAAAAGAACTTAGATAAGGCCACTCCCCTCACCCATGTTAATCCACACTCCACCAGGTGCTAATATCCGGTGAATTATACGAAGGTAGTTGACAATATTCTTTGCCTGCAACAGCCTCATAAGGTCACAATACACAAACGAAAACAACCCCGCACGGTGTCAATAAAGAAACAAGTCAGAACAGCGTCCCATTGCCCCGCCTGTAGTTCTAAATCGTCTTCCTCGTATTCGGCTCCATAAATCTCTTCGAAATCGCCTAAAACGTTGAGAAGCCACGACACTCAAAGGACCTGTCAATAATCATACCCGCAACCAAGGAGAAATTCGACCCCGCTGGTAGGGCCGAGGGAAGGACATCAGGTATCTTCACTGGACGCAACATTGCTTCACGGTTAGGAAGGTTGGAGAAAGAATGGATGTAAGGGTATATGGTGTATTGTCCAATTGCGTCGGTCCTGTGGTCAGAAATCATTGGTTTAACAAAATACTCATAACTCTGCCTTTCTCACCTGTTTAAAATAAGGTAAGATGCTAGAAGCATGTAGTGAGAGAATTCATTTCCCTGACATGCGAACCCTAGGAGACTGCTAAGTTGGATTCAGAAGAGTGAAATCTGAATTCGGCAAACCTAAATTTGCAACATCATAAGCCAACCGGCCGAGGCCAGCACCAGGGACGAGTACCCGGATGTTTTGTCTGATGAAATAGTATATCTGCGTCATCAAGAGGGAAATCTTAGAGCCTCGGCTAACCTTGACTCTGGTGGCTGGTCCGAGAAATGTGCAACAAGGGCGTCTTTCATCGGCGTATAACACGTTTCCCGCTCCTCTTTACCCTGTTATGCAAAGCCAAGTTACGTAGGCCAAAAAGGAGTAGAATCGTTGGTTTACCTCCTCACTCCAGTCTCGTACAAATTGCTTCAGAGTGCTCCGCAACTTGTCCATGTCAAAGTCCGTAGGTTTATACTTTCCTCGATGATTACTGACAACTCTGGGATCTGGGGTGGAATTTGCATGGTCATGCGAGTGGCTATGGCGGTGATGCGGGTGAGTATGATGAATGTGAATGCACGTCACCTGCATGTCATTGACACTTGTTAGGCACCAATCGGATTCTTTCTCGTGCATGTACAAACCATGCGAATGATCATGTAGAGCCCGTGAACCAGCCTTGCCCTCATCTGCATCTTCAGGAGAGTCCAGATCGTGGCCAAAGATCTCGGGGTTTGCAACAACAAGCTTCAAGAATTCTGCATTGGCGAGAATGGCTTTATCCACTTCCTGAAGTTTTTGTCGGTATCCAAGGCTATCGAGAAGTTCTTTGTCACCCTGAGGAAGTATGTATATGTCTTTTCGTCGCCTGTTGTTGGCTGCTAGCTAAATATGATAAGCGAGTGGTTCATAAGGACACTGCAACGCATGATGATTAGAACACTTGCCGAATATTGGGCATATTGCTGAAATGTTGTGACGACGTTCGAAAAGTGTTTTTGCTCTTCTTCGATGTCCGCGTCCGAGAATGGTTGGGACATTGGGACGGATCCTATTCAAAAGACAGGTATGTACTACGTGATTCGAAGCTACCAGACAGAAGAGGATGAATCAATGATCAGCTACTCGCAATCTGAATGGATGAGTCAGTGGCTTCCGAATTCAACAACACCAAACAAATATTTGTGGTGTTACATCCTTAGTACCACGTCAAAGGGCTTCCCTGGTTTCACTCAAGTCTCATATATTACCGGCTTGTTCGGGTAACTAACAGCCACGATGACCGCCTTAGAAAGCACAGCTGATTGCTGCATACTCCGAGTTCCTTGGTATATGATACGCATGGCAAGCTCTTCGTTCCTGAGACTATTTTTTTGATGGGTCCTATGACTAGTCCGCGGAGTTCCGTAAGTGACGATGTATCCAGTCTCCTTTGCGGTTGATAGCGCGCCACATTTGGTTACAGTCATCGACCGTCATTTGCGTTTTCACCGTCATTTGCGTTTGCCTTGTATGACACTCAAATCTGATACTATCCCATGTAACTTTTTTGCTCTATCGTATGAGTTACGTGTGTAACTATATATTGGCAGTAATCATAGGCATAAAAGACCTTGAACAATTGTGCGATGTTATGTTTTGTTACCAAATTTTCACTATTTTATGTCCCTGAAAGCAAAACAACTAGAATCAGATTTTTAAATTGAAGAAATACATGCGCACAACCTCCAAGTACATCACTGTTCTATTCCACGAGGGAGCTGATGAGTGTGTATGTTGCCAGAATGTTGCCGGTGGAGGGTGTCTCAATAGCATCTTATCAGCGTCACCAAAGCAAAATAAGCGAGATCCGATAAACACGAACTTGATATATGACACCTCAGGCAGTACTTCTCGGTGCCTATAAAGGGTCTAAGACTTAACATTGGGGCCTTGTTGATACCTTCTTCATGGTGGTATGTCCTTCTATTCTTACCTCCACGATGTCTTCCTCGACACTTCCCACTCGCAAAGCTCAGTTCACATCTTCAGGGCTAGACAACCACTTTGTGAGCCCAACGAAGGCTCGAGACAAACGAAAAACACAAACATTAGTCAATATACCGGGCGCGGAGGCAAAGTGTCGCCGACTTCTAGCTGAAATGCAGCAACTTATGCAGCCTCGACACTCACCCACATTGACGAGGAAGAGGATGAGTCAGATGATGATAGCGAGGAAGAATATTAATGTTGATACAAGGTGGTGTATCTTATCTGCGCGACTGGGGAACAAATCTGCCTTTTTGGGTGAACTCAAATGATGGTCAACGTATGATAACACCAAGAATTACACACTTTTCATTGCAGAATAACATCTCGTTTGATGTTCTTCAAAATTTTGTACGAAGTAGATTAGTTATCTATCATGACATCCCCAAAAGCGATTTTCGAGATTGCGTCTGGTTGTGTTGTGGTAGACATCCGAAAATTTCAAACTCAAATGACGGTCAATGACTGTACAGACGCCTTGCATCGTTAGGCGTGCGATCATTGTCCACTTACACACAGTATGCGACGCCCACATGAATATATAATTTGGGTCGAACCACTACGCTTGTGCGCAGATCCAGAATGTCAGGAATCGAAGCAACAATAAATATTGGACCAGCAGTGGTTGAATCGATGATCGCCAGCTACTCTTTCGGCTGCCCGACGATGTAAACCTACACTTACTATAAGCGTTTTCCAGGTGACAGGAAATTCTGGTGCATAATGTCTGCCCTTGACAGTAGTCGAAGTTAATGTTCAAGTAGGTGGCAGCTGTGGTGTATGTATGGACGCATCTCGACGTCGATCTCAAGGTCTGACTTATCCAAGGATGCTGGCATTTACACATGGCGTCTGCACCATGTATTGGACGTGAACCTTGGCCGTTGCGGGTTTATTCTCCGGCCCTCGAGACGCCAATCTCACCATGAAACCCCTAATTAGCACTCTTGTTCAGGTGGGGTAGCGATTGATTCAAACACGGCTTCATTCGACGACTTATTTATATAGATGTTTTTCATCTACAGATTGTTTAAATTCTCAGGAAGCAAGACTATCGCCGCGTTTTGCGGCATTCTCAGCATGTTGAATCTTGCCGACACTTTGGTGAATGCAGCCAAGGCACTGGGTGTTTCTACGGACACAAATGCGCAAAATGCGCACGATTGGTTGATCATCCTAACTCTCGTTGTCGCCGCTATTTACGATCTGGCAAGCACGATTGGGCTGGTGTATTTACTGCAGCGCGAACGCAGGCGGACCAAAGTCCATCAGTAAGTTGCATCATCTCGTGGTGTCCCTTATTAATGATCGGCTTTTAGAACACACAGTATCGCTGATCGTTTGACTCTTTGGGCAATTGAGACTGGTCTCGCAACTAGGTGAGCAAACTTCACTTACGAAAATCCAATCATGAGGGTGATATTCTCAGCATGTCTGCTGTCTTGGTTATTGTATTTGTGGGCCCTTTTTGATTGTCCTGAGCACCGCTTATGTCGACAGTTTTGTGTTATGAGGTGAGGAAGTCCGTCCTCGCTATGGAATGATCTGATCCTTTCCGCCCTAGTCTTATGGACGGCTGTTTATGACGTTCTAGCTGACAATAAGCATCGCTTTCAAGTCTTAATTTACCTACAATTTCAAAATAGTGTATACAAGTTCGCTCCTTGCCGAATGAGTCATTCTGCTCGGGCAGGTCAACGCTAACGCAGACACAGGCTCAATAGCCGTGAGACCACTCGCATTCGAGACACCTGCGTCGTCGAGGTTTCCTCTTTTTGTGACCATTACCCAAGCCTGTCAGAGATAAACCGGAAGTTTTAATTAGATTGTTGGTTCTCCCGCTGTTTTATTCCACACCGCTCCTAGGGAGCTATCGTCATGCTGTGTAGACGCGCATCCAATAGTGGTCAACAACGAGTTGATAGTCACGGTAGTCATCGCTTCCGCAAGCCAATGACTCACACATGTAGCTGAAACGCTCAGGATCGGCTCCTTGACGTGAACGCAAATAAGACTCCAAATATCCTCCGCATCGGGTGCGACTAGTCAAAGTCAGTCAAGCCGTTGACTCATTGACCCGTTTATAAAGGCCTTAAGCGAAATGTCCTTCTACCCAGACTAACACGCCAATACTCCTACTAAACACCACACAAACATGCCACCTCTTAGCACCAAGGCATGGGAGAAAAAGGTATGCTGTAGTCATCCTGGAAGAATTCGCAGGCACTCACCACAACACCCTACGTCATAGCACTCCGGCAAACGCGGCAATGGAACCATCCTACGTCGAAACCCCGGACGCGGGGACGGCTCCACTTGGAAAAGCAGGGGGCACATTTGCACGGCCGCCATCGATGGTTATTCGGTCGATGATGCCCACGACGCTGAGGAATACGATACATCAGAGGATTGTTCCCCTGTGTCATTTAGCACAATATTTTCCCTCTTCGACGACGCACGAATTTTACCCTCCAAGCGCCAGCGCAAGGGTAAGGCGCATCATATTTATCATAGCCCGAGAATAAAGCGCTAACAGAGCATGGATATAGCCAAGAGCCGACTGGGGGACTTTGAGATCCTTGAGTCTAACCCAAAAGTAATACCCATCGAGGATGACTACGACACCGAGGGGGACGGATGGGAAAAATTGGACGAGTCGGATATTCTAGGCGGACGGCGCATGACATACTCGGAAGTGCTCCAGAATAATTCAGACGAGGGCTGAGTCGGTAGGGGTTAGCGTAGTCAGCTGTAGCTTGTTCGTCCTAGGAACGTATGTATACCATAGTATACAATAGTCAACATACATAGGGTATTACCATCGTCACACGGAAGAATTCAGATCGGACAAAGAAATTCGACATAGCCTCACGCTCGCGACCTCGTTGCCCGCGTCGTACGCTTCACCTCCACCTCCTTCTTCCGCTCACCCTCATCCTCCTTCGAACTCGACGGGGTATTTTCCTTATCCACTGCTGTCACCGCACGCCTGCGAGTCGTTGTTGCATTCTTCGCCTTCCCGGGAACCGGAATGTCGACTTCCTCCTCTTTCACAGGTGCTGTCACTACCCGCGTGCGTCTCCCTCTCTGTACGGGAGCTGGGGCTTCAGGCTGAGTGATGGAATCAAGGGGGTCGTCCCCATCAGCATCCTCGTCGTTTTCTGCGTTGTGCATTTTGGTCCGTGAGGGTGCGCGGGTCGTCGTGATTGCGGCCTTTGACTTTGCGGGGGCTCGTGGGCGCGCCTTTGCGGGCTCGGATCGAGCCACTGGGACAGGGGTAGCACGGCTGCGGGTCGCTCGGGTTTTTGGGACCTGTGGGAGTGACATGAGGATGAAGTTAGGATAGAAAATAGGAAGAGAAAGCACCGTCTCTACATTATCGACTTTCGCTTTTCTTGCTGTTGTAGCAGTAGCTGCACGAACCCTAGGCTCAGTACTCGCAGGGCGTGCCCTGGGTTCAGTACTGGCGTCTCGCATCCTTGGCACAACAGCAGGCTCTTCGTCCTAAACAGACACGTGATCATTAGCTACCCACAAGACATGCTATAAGGATGCATACCGAGTTCTCAGCTGCGATATCCTTACGCGCACGAAGCAGGCGCGCTCTCGTAGGTTTATTTTGTGCGGCAACCTGAGGGGGGATCTCCTGAACTTCGTTTTCTGCCTCTGCCTCTTCGGGTGTTGGCTCTGGCTCTGGTTCGGAGGTCTTTGCCTGTGCCTTTTCTTTCTGTTTCTCTGCACGTCTGGGAGGTACCATCTGCATCCTTTTCGAAGGCACTATCTCCACACGTGTGACAGTCCTGGAAGTAGATGGCACCCTCTCCTTGGGAACAGCAGTCTCCGTCGCTGCAGCAGTCCTCGTCGTGCGGCGCCGAGCTGCTGTTGTGGTAGGCCCAGAAGCAGGAACGGGAACAGGGGTCTTTCGGGAAGTCGTTCTTGCAGGTTTACGTTCCTCTTTCTCCGTCTCTCTCCTTTGTTCTTGCTCCTCACCTTCCATCTTACCATCCTCTAGCTCATCTCGGGCACGATACCCCTCAGGCGTGACCATCATCTCCCCAACACCTTCCAACACCTCCTCTCCCATCCCCATCGCGACACTCTTGCCGGCCCCACGGAACAATGTCCGCATGCTCTTCACCGCCGGCGTGCTTGGCACCGGCGCAGGCGGGGGGAAGAGATGTTTGAGTGACGCGAGAGCGGGCGTCTGCGGCCCCGCAAACGACGGTACATTCTTGTGCTGTGCGCGGGAGGTGGGACGCGTGAGCTGGGGCAACGGCGTCCTCTCTAGCTCGAGGTCGAGGTCAAGCGCGATACGCGTCGGCGAGAGAGGTGCAGACATGTGCTCAGTCTTGGGTTCAGGTTCAGAGTGTGAAGAAGACTCTGGTTCTCGGAGTGAGGATGTAAGGCCGTTTTCTTTATCGCTGTTTTCTTCATCTTCGCCTGCTTGTTGTTCCTCCTCGGCGTCTTCTTCAGCGTTCTTTTCGGCATCCATACGCTCATCAACATCCACTGTGTCTTCTGCATCCTCATCATCCTCATCCTCGTGCTCATGCTCTTCCCCAAACGGACCCACGCTCCTACGTCGCTTCATCTCCTCCACAGTCCGCTTCATCCGATCCAACAAGCTCCGCGTATCCTCCTCATCCTCCTCGCTATGCGGCGTCAGAGGAGCCTTCAAGAGCGACGGAGGGCGCCCGAATGGTGTATAAGCAGCCCTGGCAGGCGATTCAAACGGTTTCTCAGGGGAAGAGAATAACTTCGTAGGCGATGCAGGACGCGAGAGGCTGGGGGCTTTCATAGGCGATGCGCTTCTCTCTCCAAACTTGGTTGGCGATGCACTCCTCTCGCCTGACTTTGTCGGCGACGTACTTCTCTCCCCGAATTTGGTCGGCGATATACTCCTCTCACCTGACTTTGTAGGGGATGCACTGCGTTCCCTGACAGTGCGGATGGCAGAGTCCAGCAGGGAGGGCAACTTCCGTTGCGTGTTCCCGTTGCTCGCTTCGACAGGGGCAGAGGGTGTGGTGGGTGCAACGGAGAGTCGCCGCAGACCTGGAACCTGTGCAAAGAATGGGTCGGGTGTAGTGAGTGCGGATTTGCGGCGCTCTTGGATGGCCTGTGGGGTGCTGGTTAGTTGGAACTGACATCATGGGGCATGAATCACGGGGAGACAAGGAAAAAAAAGCAAAGCAGACATCCAAACTCTCGTACGCCCGCATATAGGCACCTGTATCAAAGTTATGTCGAGCTTATAGCGGAGCGAGCGGGATTCAAATGCAACACAAACTGCACATTCCCGTGTCGTTTCCCGACTCCTTGCGCACCAGAAAAGCAAAAAGAAACGCATGTACTCACCTTCCTCTCCTCCTCACTCACGCGCGTCCTCCCAAGTCCCGATCCACCCTTTTCCTCCTCCTTCACTTCCTTCACAGCCCGCACCTCAATCTCCCCAACACGCCACTTCGGCTCGACACGTACTCTCTTCGCACCTCCCCACGTCTCCACGGGACCCGTCGGTTCAGCAGGTGGCGCAAGCGCAGACACCCCAGGGGGTAACGGCACGCGCAATGCCCCACCAAAGGAGTTTCGTCCCGCACCGCGGCCGATACCAATGCCAGGTTGTAGGTGGGGCACCTGGGGTGTCATGAATGAGCCTAGAGGTCGAGGTGCTCTTGCAGGTGTGAGGTGTGGTCGGACTTGAGGTGCGATGTGAGTAGGAGGCGGGGAGGAGGATGGGGGTGGGGGTTGGACGTCTTCATTGATGTCCATTTGGGCGTGCTGATGTTGTACGTAGTGAGTTTAACGAGAAGAACAAACAGAAGGAAAGGAAAGACGTACCTCGTCTTCTTCTTCTTCCTCATCTTGCTGGTCTTCGTCGTCGTGTTCCTCGGGCGCGGTGGAACTTGAGCGGAAAGGCCATACAACTCGCGCACGCACAGCATCGAGAGATTTACGCCATGTGCTTGGTTGAGGAGTAGGCTCGTCGGTCGCGTCTGAGTCTGTGGCATGTCCATCTTCATCGGATTCTTCGTGGTCGCTGCCTGCACTCTCCTCATGTTCGTCGCCTTCTTCCTCATGTTCATTATCATCCTCATCGCCCTCCTCTACCACAGCCTCACCTACAATCACATCCTCAACCTCCTTCTCTTCGTCTTCTTCCTCGCGCGCCATGACAGCACGATGCACACTGCGTATCAGTACGGCACGGTGTAACGAGGGGCGAGTGCGCCTATTCGGAGTCTTGTACATATTAATACTTGGTCTTGGCCTTTGCACAGACGGGGTGGGTGGAGGGGCTGGGATGTCGACACGCTCCAAGATTACGAGGTCTTTCTCTTCCTGTACTACATGCGGAGTGTTGGACTCCACGAGGATGATCTCTTCTTCTATTTCGTCTGGTTCTGGAACATGTGAATTCTTGAGCGCAGAAGGCTTGCGCGGGGATGGCACGAATTGTTTGAGTGGACTCTGAAGGATGCGCAGGTTTGCGAGCGGATCAGAGGAGGGTTTTCCGCGAGGGGTGAATACTTGAGCGCTGTGGATCATGCTCATTCGCAATTTCCTTCGTCCTCCGCTTCCGTTGTCGGGTTTAACTGGTGAATCGATGTTGTACAGCGGAGAACGAAGCTGCTTGGGTGGGTAGGAGAATACGAAACGCTTCTTGTGGATTTCGATTTCGCAATTGTTTGAGACCGGGATTGTGGTGGGAAGGGAGGGATTGGTGGAAGGGAGGACGGGGCAGCCGTCGATGGTGAGGCCAGCGTCGCCAAGAACGACGAGGAAAGCCTGCTAGCGAGTTCAAGTGGTGTTAGCAAATGAAAATAAACAGTTCACGCACCTTTCTCTCTTGAAATACAATTTTTGCGTGCAGAGCACTGACATCTGGATAGTAGAGACGAACACTACACGTTGGGTCGCGTCCAAAGGTGACCGTCTCCTCGTCAATTGGGAAAGCTGCCACTTGCTCATTCGTCGTCCGTTTTATCAGTCGCAGTGTCCCAAACAGCCCTATTTCACTACCGTCCATGTCGGGTTCGTCGACGAGCAAGTCCAACTAGCAGACTTTGGTTTGTTCGGAGTTCGCGTCATGGACCACGTGCAGGTCATGTGATCGCGTCACACCGAATACCTATTCAACTTATACTAAACCTAAACATTAATATTGTTTTCAAATTTTTATTATGACCCACGCGCCCGCTCAATGCTCATTCACATGAATAGCATAAACGACGTCTCCTCTCTTGAAACAACCGGTTATAGCCGATATCTACCAAAAGAGTCGTTTCAATATTCTTCTATACTTTCCCTCCCCCTTCCCTTCGTTTCGGATGAGACAATATTGTCTAATAAGACCCTGTAGCTCCCGCTCCGACTGTTGCTTCACAGAATCATCTTCGAGGTCTTCAACTGGAATAAATGTCGAGTATAGATGTCCGACGCCATCGTACATGATATGTTCCTCGACCCACCGATCAGCAGATTTTCCGTCATTTAGACCTTTGACTACGACGATGACTGGCACTATGTTCCCGCCGTATTTTTTGGAGAACGTGCGGAACTTCTCGCGAGCAGTAGAATGCCCATCAGCGCGAGTGTAATATATGAGAAGATCCCCTTCGAGCCTTCCCTCGACGTTTGAAGTTGACTTGGGTTGAGGAACACAGTGAACTTGGTATGTCTCCCCGCCGATGGACGCAAGCTTCACGATACCACGGATGGAAGGTGCGATCTCTACCTCTTCTTTTTGTGACGGGTCACAGATGATGAGAATGGATGGCGAGGTTTCGCTACCCAAGCTACCAATGATCATGTTTCGCACTTCTGCGAAAGCCCGCTTGCGCCAGCTCGAGTCCTCGACCGCCCATCCCGAGCAATTTTTTACAATAAGTGTGCGCAGAGCTTCCCTGGACTCTGCAATACGATCATCGAAGACTTCCGGGACCCCTCGGCGTTTGGGAAGCGTTGTGACGCATGCATGGTCGTCGAAATGCATGCCACGATTCTTGAGTTCCTTCTCATTGGTAGTCCACCACCCCTCCATATTTGTTTCGTTCTCCAATCCTGTGATGACAATGACGATCGGGACCTTCTTCCTGCAGATCGCAGAGTAAAAAATGTTGTAGTTTTGAATAAGGACGCGGCGAGCTCTCGTGCTGCGCACGCAGTACACCAGAAGGTCGATGCCATCTGAATCCGCGAGTTTGCGTAGCAGGTACTTCAATTCCTCTTCCGCATCCGCCTCCGGCACTGTGCCTTCAGTCCCCTCATTGAGACCCGCGGTATCGAATAGGACGAAATTCTGGCCAGAAATTTCCTCTCTATAGCGTTGAAAGCTGAAAGTGCATCCCGCTGCATCACCAGATGTCTTTGCCCGTGGTTTTTGCGCGATTGCATTGACAACTGAACTTTTCCCTGAGCCGCTTTCGCCGAAGATGACAACATTCCTTTCCCGCGGGCGGGTCTGCTACATTTGATCCATAAGCTTTCCAAAGGGGTGGTGCAGTTCAAGAAGTAGGGCACGTACGTCGTGGTTGCTCGTCGATGCTGGTAATAATTGTTGCTGTTCACGTCCCGGTACTCCCTGGTGATCATAATGTACCTGCTCGGTACCGCCCGCAGCATGACTGGAGAGATTTTCCATACGCGGTGCCGTGTCTGATACACTATGTGATTGATGATTAACATCGGGGGGTAATGATTCTGAGTCGCTGCTAAGAGCGGACGACGACGACGACGAAGGGGAGGAAACACCAGACTGTCCGCCGGGTATGTCGATAGCTGTATCCACAGACATGATAGGAAGGTTTGTGAGGGGATGGCGCAACTGAAGTTGCCTATGGAAGCCTATTAATGCACGCTAAGCGAAGTCTGTATGGGCCTTGCATCCGGCACATGCCTCGGTCCGCCAAGATCTAGGAGAACGCAGCAAACGCTCATGTGCTTCCTTTGAATGAGGCGGAAATAGAAGACACAGTGAGCAATCAAGGAATGGAAGTTGAGGCCTCGAGGCCTTGATGTGATTTGCCGATATCAGAGCACTTCCCTAATGACGCCGGGGCAAACACACCAATAACACCACAGTCTACAATCATCCGCATGTTTCCACCACTGGTGCCGTTGGTCAACATCTACTCGTATCATTCCGTACGAACCCAGTGTTATTCCCGCAAGGGTTTCATTTTCGGTGGTTCTGTTGATACCAAGGCTGAGCTTTTGGGGAGAATGCGGAGTTTGGGCTTTGCCTTTATCTTCTTAGGAAACTAGGACTTACTCGGACGGGTCTTGGCTGGCGTCAGCCTGCGCTAGCGTGTCCTCTCTTCGATGCGCATCCGTCGAGGGAGATGTCAAGGTTTCACTATATAGGCTAGCATGCCAGTGCTGCGGCGATGAGTCAAGCGGTTCTCGGTCTTCGATACACAGAACAGCATATTATGGATGCACGATTTGATGACACTCAACTCAATTTTTAGCTTGAGTTTCATTCTGCCCGGTTAGTGTGATGCGTTTTATATCAAGTCGTGTCAATCGTGCGCGTGAATACCTCCAAGGCTCAACATCGATCACTTCTGAAAAATGTATGTAAAATGTCATGAAATCATCACGCTGATTACTAAAAGTACTGTTGAATTTCTGATGGGATACTGCGCCTACGTTGGATCCACGTTTGGCGGAAGATGCAGTGTATATCTTCCGTTATGATGATCTTACATTGGGGTCTCTTCGAAATTCGAACTTCTGAACTATCACGCGGACATTATGCAGGTGCATGCCGTTGCATGCATCACCTAGCAGGATGACTCATAAAATTGTTCGTTATTCCAACGATTGGGCGTTCAATATAGCGTCGTTCTGTGTATACCCTACAGCTGTCGCTCTACCCCCTAGCCGCCATCCTCTTTTACGCCATGACGCGCGCACCCAGCAGGGCCAGCTATCCACCTACAGCTTCCGTGCGCTCCATTCCGAACTTCATCGTCTTCGGCGAGATGGGCGTAGGGAAGAGCTCGTTGATAAATCTCATTGCTGGGGAACAAGTTGCCAAGGTCTCTCCCGACGCACTATCCTGTACTCTCGGATCAACTGAGCATCAGATCAGAGTATCTGATCCCCAGCTTAATGTAAATTTATTTGACACAGTAAGGAAATGCAATCATCGTGACATGCGGCATTCTAAGTCGCAATCATCTAGGCAGGCTTAGACACCCCCACTGTGGATAGTCACACGGGATATCTAAATGCCCTAGTGAAGGCACACGAGCTCATCGTCTCGCTCAAGAACCAAGGAGGCGTACATGGGTTGCTTTTCTGCGTCAAGGGCAGAGTGACAACGACTACGCAGCAGAACTATAGATTAATCTTCGAGTTCCTGTGCCAGGGACAAGTGCCCCTCGCTCTGGTCGTCACCAACCTTGAGAACGAGGAGGAGAGCATGGATGAATGGTGGACGCGCAACCAGGCACATTTCAAAGCGTACGGCATCGACCCCGTTACGCACGTCTGCATTACCACCATCAAAGGCCACAACAACGCCTACGCAACAAGATACTCCGAATCCAGGACGAAGGTGCACAATATATTGAGGGAACTTGGAAGTAGGGAGGCATGTTTGGTGGATGTGATTGGCTGGTTTTCATGGTTGTGCAAGAAGCTGTGGCTTCTGGTTCCAGAAGCGCTTAGGTTAAAGCTGGATCACTGGAACACGATGCGGATGCTCACGAAGCGTTGCAAGCTGAAAGAGGAACATGCAGCGCAGCTTCTTCAAAATATAGGACTGCCTTCCTCATAGGGTATCCAGTAACTAGTGCCTTTGGTTATCTAGCATGCTATCATATTCATCGCTACCGTCTGGCAATTGATCTGAATGTTGACCGTTCGATCTACCTGCAGCGTAAGCAATTGACCTCGAGAAGTTGGGAGGTTATCAGGATTTATGCGACAATCATATGCATGGTTGAATACCTTCACGTTGCTGCACTAATTTCGAATTCACAGCTGCAGTGGTAGAGCATATGTAGAGATATATTTGCTACTAGTCACTCAAGGTAGCACGCGTGACGATCTGGAGGTGTAATAATTGATACTATTGGCCGGCCTTGAGCAGACAGCGAACACGAGTCCGACTGTGAGACTGTGAGTGTGCGGATCGATGCACTGCGACTGAGTACACCTCTGTAGTAAATGTTTAACCAACGTTTAACGTACAGATCTAAACTGTGCACGTGCCAGCTCTCGTGTCACCTGACGCGCCACGGTGTTTAAAATCAAGGTACACTCACCAAGTTCCGCAAAGCCCTCAAGCCCGTCACGCGCGACTGCTCCCTTACTTCGAACGAGACAGGACCGTTGAAAAGTCTCTTCGAAATGCGGAGCCAGCGCTTAGTTCGATGGGTCTTGGCTGGTCTTGATCGTAATTTCAGCTTCAACGTTGTGCACATGGTGTTAGATACCACTAGTACGCGGTGGCCACATCTGGTACGTTTGCAGAGGACTTGGTCCGTTGACATTTCGCTCTGCGCCAGCATGTTCCTGCTTTACTGCGAAGAATCTAGATGAGACAGCCATTATTCAGGTAGGTGATGCGTTCGCGCCCCAATAAAACGCCGAACGCGGCCCAACTACATAAACATAGTGAGCATCTCTTTCAATAGTGTCAGCAGATGGCACCCTCGCGTTCAGTGGCAGGATCTCCCTGCGGTCGACTAGGTCAAACTGGGTGAGTATAAATTTCAGAACAGGAGCCATGCATGCCAGACGACATGACAACACACAGAAGAATCAAGATATGCATTCCCTCTCTCACGTTTTCTTCTCTTCCTCGACCCTGCCCGTCCTTTCTAACCTAAACCAAGACCTGCAAAATTGCATACAGCCCATGCGCCCGCCTCAATGTCTTCCTGGGTTCCAGTGACCAACGTCCAAGGCGGCGAGAGTTCAAGCTCTAGCATCTTACAACAGACACAATCTCTCCTCCAACTCTACATCAGCTTCCTCTTCCTTATCACCTTATACCCACTTCGATTGGAATCTAAGCAAAGATGACATTTGTCACAAGCTGTATGCGTGCTGCATTCTCCTTCGGTACTTTGACCTGGACGCGTGGACAGGCGATCAGGTCCTTGGTGTGTGCTACAGACCTGGTTTATTGGTATTATTTGATGCGTTTGAAATCGCGGTGCGCGGCCTTCTTGGGAGGGATAGAGTGGTTTCGGGTGAGTTATATCTTTCTTTCCGTTTTGCTTAAAAACAGTCACTGTATATCGTGTGTTGTGACGCATGGTGTGCGCATATATTTATGTTCTCTTGCATATACCCACCATACATACCTTCTCTATCTGTCCCCATTTTACTTGCCCAAACTGACTCTCTTGTAGCCCTAGCACTCGCACAAGCAACCCTCCTCTTCGCCCAATACGCTTACCTGTTCGTAGGTGCCAAATAACTTTAAACTATTGATCACATCCTGCTTTTCGCTCACGGACACGCCCCTTCTCCGTCGCCCCCATCATCTGGGCCTAAATGCATCAGTAGGTATCACGAGAGATCTGGGTCTGCACGGCGTACTGGGTGAGAGGGTGAAACATCATCATTGGCAGCATCAGCACCCTGAGATATTGGGGTGCGTGGCTTTTGGTGTGAGGCTGATAGTTTCTTCTCCCTTTTGGGTCTTGATTCGTTGATCTGCGTATCATGCGTGTCTTCGTCTACCGACACTTCCTACGCTCACTGCAGACTCCGCTACACACTCGGCCTCGTTATCCTCGTCCTCATCTCGCTTCTCACAACTTCCAGCAATATGACGTACTTGTCAGAGGTGTGTGCTTTCATCCGTCCAGTCTTTTACGTGTAGCTGCTACGCAGCTATTCTATTCATTGACGCCATACTATTCATTTGTTTCGTTCGTAGAGGAGGGAAGACGCGCAATGATCTCAATATCCGTCCGTTTTTACTGATACGCCAATTCTAATGCGCCCCCTTCTCCGTTCTTTCTCTCTTCATTCGGAACCCGACTAACCTTCCTTCAGCAACAAACACATCCACATCCAATCTCCGCTCTCGCTACTCCAGCGATCTCGTTCTTCCCCGTCAAACACAAGCATAACGGGAGATAATACCGAGGAACCCTTATGCTCTTCCTCCAATCCTGTTTTGTCTTGCGGTTTAGGTGGTCTTGAATGTACGAGTCTTTTTTCTTCGTTCTTTTAGTGACATTGTTTTTTTCTTGCTCAAAATCGGTTCTTCTTATTCTTTTTGCTCGACGGCGCTTCTTACCTGACATCGTTTCCATTTTTGACAATATATTTTGTCCTTGTCCAACGTCATCATCTCTTGCTCAGCAACGCACACTACACGCCATTCGACCTTCTCTAGTAACACTCCAGGCCATCATCATCACCACACACATCGTATACGTAGCGCGTATCGTCCTAGGCGACGTGTTATTTCAGACTGTATCTACAGTGTCGTCTGGGATGAGCGTGATAGCATGAGCAGCATAGGCGCAACAGGCATGAGTAGTGATGTTCCGGCCCGGCTTGGGCTCAAAGCCCCGGCGTAGGCTCGGCCGCATGAGCATAGGTGCAAAATGTACAAGCGGATTAGAAGCAAAAATGAACCCCTTCTAGCGTGCTGAAACCCATCAAGCATAGATTGCTTAGAGAAGTCGCGGTAAGTAGTTGAGTATTTTACTATAAATATACCTGCCTATTCACGCAGTAACACCGTGCAGAAGGACATCTTGAGCGACTGTTCCGCCGAAGGTATCATGATCACGACCTCTGTCACAGGAAGGAAGCTAATATTTGAAACAATGGAGTTGGACGACGCACATGCCTCGGGAGCAGCTTTCCGTCCACAGAACTGCGGTATAGCCGCATACCATCTCTGGCAGATGGCCTGTGTCAAAATTTCCCAAAACACTGGGAAGCAACTGCGTCAGAGACTGGGATAGGACGGCCTGTCGACGCTATCATCCATCCGGTCGCACCGCATGCGGCACCTTCCCATGGGAAGAACACCGGTAGGTCAGTGTCTTCGTAACCGCGGAATATTTGAACTCTTGATGAGAAATGCGCAGCTACACCAACTACAGCACCGTTTTGAATGCACAGGAACGCTCCTGTTCGTTTACAACTACTCTGGAGGAAGAGATGGTCATAAAAATGACAGTAATTGTCGATGACGCGCAGGAATAAGTTCAAGGCATACCTATCAAGACTCAGTGCAGTTATAAATATACACCTTGTACGGTCCAGTACAGACAAGTAGAACCCTGTTCATACTTAATTGAAGGTGGTTTGTGCCCTTATTCGCGAACATGCCTGCTGCACCCATACCGCTGCCGACCCACATGTGCATACTTGTGCCCAACATGAATGTGCAGTCCACTCGCTCCGCATCAACTTCGCCGGGTCTTCGCTGAGCATGAAACCTTCGTAGCGCCGCCTTGTCCACTTGATGAATTAATAGGCACGAACGGACACATTTAATTCAATCCGAACAACTGGCGGGCATCGGGACCGCGGGAGGCATAAGTAGTGTGCCTGGCCCATCAGTAAAATCAGACTTATATCGAGAGATCAAGTTACACTGGGACTCTAACCGTCCTACGCCTGTCTCGCCTTGACCAACCATCCAGGGTGTTATATATATCTACACTAGATACACCATAAATACCGCATGTACTGTCTAACATGAGTCCAACAGGGCTTCGCCCCAACGGACAATAAACTATGATTCAAAAACTAAATAAAAGACTGATGGGAAAACTCCGCATGTACATCGAGTACATGGTCTATGTTTTAGTACGTGTTCGTGTGCCTTTTCCTTGTGGAGCTAAGCGGTGTACCTCATCAGGAAGTACCAGATAATGAAGGGGGACCGTGAATGAGTGCTCCACCAAAAAGCCCTTTTGGACGAGTGTATTCCCAGCATCCACACCAGAGCTGTGGCCCATAAGCAGCTCGACATAATGTATGGATTTTCGATGAAAACCAACATGACAAGCATGTGGCAGGCTGTCAACACGAGTTTCGTCTTAACGACGGATCCGATAAGGATGGGTATGGTAGGGACGCCGGTCTTCAAATCGTTCTCGAAATCACGGACATCAGTCATGACCTATAGATATAATTAAATATTAAATCCTGCCGGTCATCATACGCTGCCTACGTACCGCATGACATACGCGGTCGACGGTCGACCAGGCTATCAGTTGAGCACTAGTCCATGGGGACGGTAGTGCATGATTCAAACTTCCTGATCCGAACAACACGGTGCGGACAACGACGTAGAGGCCACACCTGAAAAGCATAGGTTTATTGGTACAGGTCGCATCGGTTCATAGCAAACATGCAGACATACCCTCGAATTATACCATTAAAAATAGCTTTCATGCCAGGGATGCGTTTGATGACAAGGGTAGACTTGCGTGCCTGATGCTTGTCTTCACCAAAAACATCGATCCCGATTAGGCGCTTCAAATTCAGCCTCAAGTCCTTCAGGTTGATAGGAGTGGTCCAGAGTAAAGCAGGAACCACGAAAACTGCTGTGGCGAGGAGCGTCCGAATTGGGCATAGCAAGAGTGTCAACCCAAGGACCACAGCACTGACGGCGAAGAAAACTTTTGCATATACAAACAAAGAAACAAGGTGTCGATCGTTTACATTATCGTGGTGAGATGTGAATTCGTCCTCTTGATCCTTAAGATGGTCAGCGCCAATGACAAGGATATCCGACGCCACACAGATGGATATCTGCGAATGCAATCGAGTCAGTACTATTCGCTGGTATTGAATCAGTGAGCATACCGGTCTCCAGTCGAGCTGCCCATTGGCGGACATGAGAAAGGACAGAAGGAGTGTCTGGACCAAGCTGTTCATCGATATCATGATGGGTTGCAGGAAGAGTGACTCTGCAAGTTGGGCAGTTGTAAGGATCGACATGTTAGCTTGAGCTTGAACAATAGGTAAATGCCGCTCGAGTCTGCCGCATTTTATACAGGTGCGACTGAGTTCTGACACGTAAAGGGCTGGTCATCAGGCTATAAATCAAATAAGTCTCTGTGCAGGAGAGTCAACTTCTCGGATCAGTTCAACCAGCCTCGTTCTTTCCGCAGCGATCACTCAGCTCGCGCATAAATAAATTTATCTCGTATTGATATCTTGTAAAGACTACGCACGTTCCTTGGCATCGCCATTCCTCACAGACCCTGCCATGATCGTCAGGTGCTCTCCCGGACTTTCTGTGTTCTGTTACTATGGGATCTACCCCAAAATACCACAAAAACTGGTTACTTACCCCCCATTTTTGGAACCTAGCGTAGACGTCCACGCTCAAATTCCACCTCTTGTTGGAAATCAACCCGTCAACGTAGTACAATTTCTGTTTCTTGTTTCTGACCTCCGCTCACTACACCAGCGGACTTACCATATATAGTAATCCCATGTACCATAGATTCGCTATGCTCGTTTCTCTCTTTTCCCCAGTCTCTTACACTTGACTGGGGAACTCATACGAGTTCTTTCTCTTTAGATGTCTACCGTCTTTTACCTCTGACGCTCAGGAGTCTGCGCCAAGATGTGATGAGCGTCAATACATCCATATGATTATACTGATCGGAATGGCTTCGAGCTTCAAAGGCTGAGCGCTGAGTAGTAAGTACGTCATCATAGTCAAATAATTATACTATACCCAAACACTGTCACCCTTTGATACCCCTTGCGTCCACTGTCAACCACAACTTACAAGATAAGTTGTGCTGCAAGTGACAACAAGGACCGATTAGCCTGATGTTTGGTCTCCTGTTTAGTCAAGCTGGAATGTCCTGGACACCTCTGGGATCAGGCTAATGTAAAATGTAAAATGCCTTTAAATTTCATGTCAACTTGTTCATGGGACCATACAATATTCTGTGTATGTTTTCCTCCAAGTTGACCTCCAATATTATATACCCTGCATTTGATTCTGCCGCAGTGTTTTTTTTTTCAAGCATCTGGCCACACTCTTTATCGCCATTTTCTATCCCTTGATCTCAGTATGTCGCGGGTCATGCTGCGATCACAAATCCGCTTCAAGTCGATCCGTCATGCACATGGTGCAGTTAGCTACTAGTACAGACATATGATATGTTTGGTGATTTAGAGTGCCCAACAGAGACAGACCTTCAAAGGCCTTGTGTCCATTCCCAAACTTGCGTGAGTTCCTCTACCCATTAAATGGTGAAAGACCTTCATTCCATCTTCCATATCAGCAACCACCCACCCAACGATCCCGATAAACACCAATTGCAACATCTTAGATTGCACTTCCATCAAGAGCTAGTCGCTTGGCCCGTCGATAGACCACTGGTTTAACTTAGTTCCAGTCTTCTGCGCAGGTATGTGGCACACTTGTCTGTCATGGACACTCTATATCTCCCAATATGCTGATTCTGAACATCTATATCAGGCTGCACTATGCTGCACGCATGTGATGAAAAAGGAAATCCCCTTCGGACGACGTTTGACTGCCAGCAGATATCGAAAACAACGAACGTTTGACCTTTCTCCATCGCCTGTACGACATGGTCAACTGATGAATAAGCGAAGATCTGAAAGAATGTGCGCTTACACTCTGGGATCACGATTGGAGAGGCCGAAGATATCTGTGAAATGCTCGGTGTTTCTCGGGCCAGCTGCTTTTGTTGGTGAAGCATGTTTGAAGACCTCGGTACTGTTGCTAGGTCCCCTTCTCCACTTGTCGACCGCACACAAATAATCACATGAGCACTCATGACGGCAGTTGAAGACCTCTTTGTTGAAGAATCAGATCTGTTCCTCGATGAAATTTGCACCTGGCTTGCAGTCGAGCACAGCGTCACCATCAGCTCATCATCCTTATTTCGCAATCTCCAACAAGTTGACCTTTCTCGAAAAATGCTCCAGAAAATTGTGTCTGAACACGATGGTGTCTAGTCGAGAGGAGTTCAAAGATAGTCTTCAGAATGACATTGTCGGTGACGGCTCGGAGTTTGTTGTCCTCCTTCTGTGCTCTTCTCGTCTCCTCCCTCCTTCGTCACCTCCTTTCCCGCCCTCACTCAGGCTTCTATCCCTCTCCTTTCTTCCCAGTCCCCTTCTCGTTCCAGTGTGGCCTTCTTGAATGCGCTGGATTCTTCGATAAATTTCGCTAATGCCTTTATGCCCTTTTCCGTACCCAAGATTTCGTTGAGTATGATGTTGTAGGATACCTCTCTTAAATGGATGCGCTGTTGCGTAAATTGCGGGCAGTCACGTAGGATGTGTTCTCGTGTTTGACGTGGTTCTCCACATGGGCAGAGGGTGGGTTCGGTGGGGACAAATGTGGCATAGTATTCTCCAATGAATCTGTGTCCTGTGCGACATTGTATAAGACGGCCGTATACTTCTCGAGGAGTATGAGTGAAGTGTTGGCGAGGTTTGAGCGTTGGTGGGAGTCGATTTGCGATAGCGAAGCGTCCAGTCTGTGCTGCCACGTCTCTATTCCAACTCTCTGTCCATTTCTGCCAGATCCCTTCCTTGTTTCTTCGGCGCGCATTTGCGTAGGTCGAGTGGGACGTGTTGTTACGTCCAGTGGCTTCTTTGGCGAGCTCATCAGCACATTCATTGCCGATGATATGGTGGTGTTCTGGGATCCATGTGATTTGGACATGGTGGAGGGGTGACGTGGTTAGGAAATCTTCGATTGAGCGTTTGATCTGTAACACAATGTATTGTGAGGGTCCGGGTGCAGCTGCATATGCAGCCTGCACCACAGAGTTGTTATCTATGAAGAAATGTAAATGGGTCACCTGGGAGTCTTGTGTGAAACGAGTAGCTCGTGATATTGCTTGAAGGAGTGCTAGCATCTCTGCATCGTATACCTCTGCCTTAGGACCCATTCCTTCCTGGCCCCAGAAGACTTCTCTTCCTCTATGATAACCGGCCCATCCTGCTCCAGCTCTTTCCTCCTCTCCGACCGATTGTTTCGACCCATCTGAGTACATGAGAAGGTGCATGTCCTCCATTTGTAGATTCCGAGCGGTTTGTATGTGCGCTTTGGCGGCTTCTTTCTTGCCTCCTCTTTGTTTGTCTGATATCATTAGGCGGCCACGGTACGTTTCCGCTGTGTTTGCCCAAGGTGGCAGTGCAAATATGTTGATGCGTTCCACGTCCGGGGATGCTTGTGTTGATAGACGGGTGAGTCTGGTCGACTTTGGTGGTTTACGGCTGCGGGGACGGTATTTGTCGGTAGGAAGAGCGGGTGGGGGATCAGCGAGGTTGAATTGTCGCCACGGTTGGTCAAGCCTCTGTAGAATTGGGTTGAATGAGGGGAGTTTGAGTAATCGAGTGGCGGCATTGTCATTTGCGTGATTGAGGAAAAGGTTAATGGGGGGGATTGACGCCTCTATTTCTAGGGCCTTTATTGGGGTGGTCCGGAAAGCGGCGCAGACATGTCTGAGGGATTTGTTTTGAATGCGGGTGAGCATATTTGCATGGGTTTTCATGCCCGTCCACCAGATGGGGCTGGCATATGTCATTACACTGCGAACACAAGCCGAGTATACAGTTCTCAGTAGTGATTGCGAGAGACCTCTCACCGTATTTGCAAGCATATGTAGTCCTTGAGCAATATTTTCGGCTTTCCCTGCCAGTTCACATACATTTCTGCGAAAAGAGAGTTTAAAATCAAAATATATGCCGAGCCATTTGATACAGTCACGGGGGTTGATTGTCACCTGTCCTTCGTCGCTAGGCAGCAAAATAGGCGGTCGATCTGGTGCGCGACGCCATGTGAAATGGATGAGCTCGGATTTGTCGATTTCTGCCATCAGTCCAGCTTCGCGAAGCCAGTTGTTTACAAAAATGAACTCCTCCCGGAATATTGCGACATTGGTGTCTAACGATGGGGAGGAAACATATAAGTTTCCATCGTCGATGTAGCAGGCCAATGTGGTCGGTGTGGCTTTGTCCGGGCATGGTTCACGAGCTCGTGCTTTCGTGTTGTAGGCTTCGTTTAGTGGGCTCGTGCAGATAATCGAGAGGGCCAGTGAGATTGGGGATCCTTGAGGTATACTGTTTTCGACTGGTTCCGATGGTGATAGTACTCCGTCCAGACAGATTGCTGCTTGTTGTTCACTGAGGAAAGACTTTACCCATTTTATCATAGGGAGTGGGAGGTGCTTATCCTGAAGTATCCGGAGTAGCCGTGTATGATTGACGAAGTGTTATGACCAACGTCCCTTAACCTAACTAGTAGGTGTCTGGAGTTTGGATCACACCACAGGACTCGTCTGAAGAGGATAAAGCAAGGATAGATTTGAGAGGGAACGTCTAGGTCTACGATAACGTAAGAACGAAGAGGTTAAGTCTAAGGAGTACTACTGACTACGACCTAAACTATATACTACTCTCTAAGCGGAGATATCTGAGTATGAAAGGTTGTGATATATCTATATACGGTCATAACATTGCGCCTAGGGTATAGGACGTCTTATCAACCAATCAACTACAAGAAAGGGGAAAGGGTTCATAGGGGTGTCAGTAATTAAGCAGGGTTCTCAGGGACTGCTTCTATTCAGGGTAGGCGGAGATTAAGAAGGGTGTGAGAGAGTTCTGTGACAAGAAGTCTCGAGCAGTGATTAAGGATCTCGATAAGAGATAGGATCTGGAGATGTATCGGGTGCGATTGTATCTAAGGGTTTCTCCAGGGTCTTCGGTAATGAGCATGCTTCTCTATGAGCGGTGCTTCTGTGATAGGGGTTCAGGGTTTAGCTGTGACTGTGCAACAGGTTCTAATGTAAGGGTTTCGGTGAATGACAGAGGTAACTCTTAACATGTCATGTGTGAGAAGTGAAGGTCTGCGATGTGAAGGGATGATGACTCTTCGAGAGATAGCTCGTAAAGGACTCTTGGTTATGGTTCGATCATAGAGGCATGTAGATGCTTATGATGTAACCCGTTGCCTAATCGTAGGACTTCTAAGGATGTGATGAGTTCGTATGTCTAGGGTTACGGATGTAGATGGATGATGTCGATGTAGTATAGATGTGATGTAAAGATAGTGATCGTTAATCGGTTATCCATCTTATCTTATCAGGGATCTATCTAATCTAATCTTATCGGATAAGGTGACTTAGGGTTTGATAATCGAAATTTAGATGCAGTTGGTATCATTCATGACACGAAGTCGAAATACCCTTTGATGTCGAACGTGATGCACGACGTGACAAGTCCATGGTTGCGGGCTGCTTCGATATCATGAACAAATGAGAGGGCTGCGTCAACTGTGGAGCTCCCTGGGCGGCCTCCGAACTGTGAAGAGGGTACCAGCAGATATTTCGCTGTGTAATATGCTAGTCTACTTGCCTGTACACTTTCGAGGACTTTTCCGAGACATTCCTCCAACTGGATGAGTCTGTAAGCTCTCGGGTTCGAGTAGTCTGGTTTTCGGGGCTTTCGTAGAGCCACTGCGATTGTGCGTCGCCAGGCAATGGGATGGTAACCTACATTTGCGCAACGTGAGATCAATAAGTAGATATATTCTGATGCAGCCTCCCAGGCCCATCGGAGAGCTGTGTAGTTGATTTGGCTGGGTCCAGGAGCTTTTTTGCGATTTGGCCGGTAGATACCATTTTTCACTTCAGCGTACGTTATGGGTTCCCATGGGATGTCATCTGGTAGGTCCTGTTCTAAGTCTGGTGCAGCTAAGTCTAGGTTTGGTGGTGGTTGGAACAGTTCACCTCGTAATGTAGCACATTTTTCCTCATGTGTTATTGCCATGTTTTGACCGTTGTTTCGTCTGAGTGGTGGCGTGGGGTAGTTTCGTATCCCTTTGGGCCATTGAGTGAACTTCCAGACGTCATCGGGGGTAGCTTTTCCCAAAGTCTCATTTGCCCACTGTCGTTTAGCAAGGCGTGTCTTCTGTTTGAACTGATTGCGTAGTTGGCAAATCTGTTGGATAAGGTCGTGGTCAGCAAAGCCTGTATCTATGAGATATTGTCTAGCCCTTTCACGAGTCTCTGCAATGCGATTGAGTGATTGCGTGAGGTCAGGAGTCCACCATGGTTTTGCATGTGTACTAGATTTGCGGGTGGGAATTGAGCTTTCCGTTGCTTGAACGAGTGCATCTTGAAGCGCTGTGGTTGTTCTTTCAATATCGTCAATATTGGGACGTGTTGAGTCACGTAGCGGTATCCATGCATCTTCTCTACCCATCAATTCTCTCATGAACGCTCCTTTCCATGCGCTGATCGTGTCTTCGTTGATATCTTTCCAATTGAACCGTTGAGCTGTGATGTTCTCGATAGGGACACGTTCATGGTCTAGTGTCCATGTGAGCACCGCGTGGTCTGATCCGTAGGCTTTATGGTGGTCTATTGACCAGTCTTTGATCGTGTCGAGTTTGTATGCTTTATCATTGATGAACGTTAGGTCAAGGACCGATGATGATTCACCATCGTGGGCAAAGTAAGTCGTTGCTCCACGTTTGTTTAGCATTATAAAACCCTGGTTAGTTAGCCAGTCAATGAAAGCTTCTGCTCGAGGGTTGGGGTTCTCAGCTGTGTTTGATCACATTGGGTGGTGTAGGTTCATATCTCCCGAGATGATGACCGGCATTCCGTTTGGTAGTTCAATGTTGAATAGACGGTCTGATGACCAGTTCGATGGATCCTCGCCTGCTCTCTGGTTATACATATTTACAAGTATTGTCGGTGTATGTGTCCCTTGGTTGATCTGTAAAATTTGTATGTCAGCATCCATTGCAAGATCAGAGCAAAGTGTAACCGTGAAATCAGGTCTGTTCTTGATGTATGCCATGGCTCGAGGAATGATGTTTGTGGGGACAGATGGTAGTGGCAGAATTGGCTGCCAACCGGCCAATGATACTGGGCCGTTTGTGCCATTTCCAATGTCACCATACCATGGCTCCGTTATGAGCAGGATGTCGTATTCACGAATAGTACTGTTGAGCAAGGCGTGACAAACTATATTTGAATGGTTAGTGTTAAGTTGAATCATTTTTATGGGCTGCGTAGTATGGACTATCATTGCCATCCAGCCATAGTGTCGTCGGTCATTGGTTGTGGCGTTGCAAGATGAGTCTGAGAAGTTGTGGGTGGGGTTGAAGTCTGGGTCTCTGTAGGCGCTACTGGATTGTTAGTAATTTGAGGTCGGCGCGTGCGTCGTCCCCCTTGGACACTTGGTCGAGAGTCTCTCGCAGAGCCTTTGGTTAGTATATGCATGGGGCATTTAGTCGAGTCTGCCATGTGCGCTTCTCCACAGTTGACACATTTAATCGGTAGGTGGTTGCATCCTTTTTGAGCCTTGGCCGTGCTGGGGCATGAGTTGCAGGTGTGCGTCGGTTCAGTGTGATCGCCTGCACATACTCGACACCTAGGGGGGTTAGGACATTTGGACGTATGATGGTCGAAAGACCAACATCGGTTGCACTGACGGACGGGTTTCAGATCTTGGAATTGTGAAAATGAGGCGTACCGTCCATATAAAAAGACTCCGCTGACGTGTTTGAGGAGGTAATCGACTTCTTCCTGTGACGAGACCGTTAAGAGCATAGTTGAGTGGTATTTGTGTTTGAGGGTCTCCGGTTTAGCCATCCATGAGGGTTCTGCTTTGAAATTGATGTTGCGTACACTGGGGTTGTTAGTTTTCATCTCGTAAATTACCTCTGCTCCGGATTGAGGTTCAAATTCCATCATGTCTTCGGCATCGGATTTTCCAGTGTCCACGCTGTTGAGGAGGACATGGAACCATTCCTTGTCTGGTGCAGCTGAGTAGTTGGAGTTTCCTACAATTAAATCTGCGAACGCATCTTTGAATGGAAGCAAGTCATCCGCTGTGTAATCAGGATGTGTGATGACGATACAGTTACCTTTGGTGTTCCATTTTACGCCATTAACCGTGACTTTGGTGACCTCCTTGAGCCTTTCGTTGATAGCTTCTACTAATCCTTGGTCCTTTTGCCGTTGTGTAGGATCCGGAGGGGTTTCTATGTGAAGAATGAGTCTAGAGGGGTGGTGTCGGGTTAGCAGATTGTTTCGGCGTCGGTTCTCTTGTTCCATGAACTTAGTTGAGTTTGTCTTGGTCTTCGGAGTGGGAACTATGGTGGGGCCATTTGCGATTTGAGTACGAGGGTTTTGACTGGTTTCCGGTTTACTGCCTTGGCGTAATTCCTGGACATCTTTGACGAGTTGGTTGAGGATCGGCATTATGTTGTCAGGATTGTTCCTTGGTGTTTCAACCGGTTTAGGGGGTAGGATGGCCTGTGCAATTCTTTGAGCAGCGGCATACATGTTATCTGGGAACTTAGCATGGATTGATATGTTGTCTAATGCCTCTGCAGCTTTGATAAGATGGTGGTTTAAGTCAGCGATCCATCCTTGCTCCGAACGGGTTTCACTGTAGATGTCCGTCTCCATTTCTGAGTCGTATTCGCGTTGGTCTACATCGGTTACCATAGCCACGTGTTCTGTAGGACGGCGTTTGGTCTGTCTCGCGGTGTTTGGTGAGGCCGATGGAGAAGTGGTTGTTTCCAGTCGACATTTGTATCCTAACCCTCTACGTGTGGGTGTGACTGGTGTGTAATTGGCATTGGTTGGTCTGTATGGGAATTCCGGGGGTGGGAGGGGATCATTGGGCTCCGACTCATCCCACGTCCGACGTGGCTGGGACTCCTTCATACGGTGTCTAGTGTTGCTAAGGGATGCTGCTTGTGAATATGATCTTGCTGGTATACGATTGTCAAGGTTTCTAGCTATGCTTATACTGCCTCCTAGCTCGTCGCCCATGTTCTGTTGAACCGTGGGAAAAAAGCAGATGGTGGCGGTTAAAGGTCAAGACGCGGACCTGCGCTTGAACTGAAGTCTAAGATCTAAATCGGAGTATTCCGACGGTTAGAAACCTTCCGAGGCACGTTCACACCAATCCCTCCGTTTTCTGGTCCCCACTAATAGGACACGTCCCAATCGGTTGCTAATCGGTAACCTTAGACGAAGGGAGACACTGGTTTCTCCCGGTATACTAACTTGTAAACGTTTTCTACTAGGCTGTGCACATATCGTGATTGACGCCCTCTTCTGATAGTATATATACCGTCCTGTTCATAACAGGAACCACACAGCGTCGGACCTCCAACATGACTGATCAGCTCCCCGCATATACTACTCTTCCCCAGCCAGAGCCCGAACCACCACAGTATACTCTTCCAGAGACGTTCACCATCGGACGACGCAGCACCCGGCACCTTGTCCGTCCAGACCAGCTTAAGGCCCATCTTCAGCTCTTAGCGGCGTTCAGTCATCTTAAGGAGCGCGTCACCGCCAGCGAGAGTCTTGTCGCAGGATTAGAGACGGACAGCGAGAAACGTTGGGTATGGTTCGTCAATTTGGCCGTTGAACGGTATGTGGTCCAGCATTCTGAGCACGCTTTGCATTGATAACTCACTGCACTGGTGGAGCGCAGGTTTGAGAGGTGGTGCTTGAAAATCAAGCAATCTGATGAAGTGGAGCGACGCCTGCCACCCATTGATGTGACTATGGTATGGCATGCTTATCTTCTGAATCCGAGGCAAGTATGTCTTTCCTCATGAGTGGAGCGACAGACCTTATGTTTTTGGTCGCATCTGCAGCTGGTATGCGGAAGACACCACGCGCGTCTCCAAGCTCAAACCTCTCAAAAGTTTCACCGATTACTTCCCCACACTTCTTGTGCGCCACTACACTTCTGTGCAAATGTCCCCATCTCATTGAACCGGTGCCAGGCTAACCCCGATCTGCTAACTACTGACGCACCGCACCATGACCGCGTCTCCACTTGGGAGTCCCGTACTAAAACACCTTATGACCCATTTGCCTCTGCTGCGGTTCTCACGCACAAATCCGTCGAGTGCCCTCACTGTCGTGCCACTATTCTTGCACGTATGTACCTTGTGCCTGCATGCATGGGAATCCAGTCTGACAAATGAGCATAGCGTTCCTGCAGCCTAACGGGAAGGGATACGCCCAGAGCAACTTTAGTGTTGAGTGTAAATGTGCTCACCCCATCACCAAAGAACTTCTCGGCCTGTACAAGTTTGCGAAAAACATCGTCGAGCCAACAGCGCCTGATACATACTTGGCGTGAGTGTCGCATTGCTTACAATTCCTGGCACCATGAACGACAAGCTAATATCTCATACGCAGCGGAACCCTTCATACATCACGTAACATCCACGACACTACGCGCGGAGACACGATCACAAAGCGCGTCCTCATCTCGAGCATTCTTTTCAAAGAGAACAAGACAAGCGATCCCGTGGCCCGGGTCTTGACAAACGTCAAGTATGACGCTGCGCGCATGCGTACCGAGCTGAGCATGCATTTGAAGTCAAGACTGTAGGTCATTTTTGTTGCAAGAAATACAATTTTTTGTTCAATTGAGGGACAGGTTAACCAAGATCATGAGTGCCTACACAGACGACAGGGTATTTTCAATCGATCTAGTCGGTGCTGTGAGTAGACTCTCAACATTTATCGTAAGCCGAGGACTGATGGATGAATCTAGGTCCTCCGGCAAGCCTCGTTCGTGAAGAAGATGGTCGATCTTGGGTGGACGGAGCCAGGATATTTCTCGAGCAAGGCGGACGCGGTGGCACTGCAACACTGTGTAGCTCGGTATCACGCGTGCGTACTTTACGCATTTTCTCTGCCAACCGCACAAGAACAAGAACATTGTTTTGCAGCTTCTTGGGCCTCATGGAAGATTCGCCTGCGTCGTTCTTTGTGCCCACGCTCGACATTGACCTCGGGTGGCATACTCACCAGCTCATGGCGAGTCGGTATCAGAACGACTGCCTTGCATTCGTAGGACGATATGTTGATCAGTAGGTGTTGTCACGAGTACGTTATGTAACACACATGATAAGTGTTCATTTTTCAGCGATGATAAAGTGGAAGAAGGTGAACTCGCGACCTCCTTCGACCTTACTTGTCGAGCTTGGAATGTAAGCTATTTTCCTTGAACAACGATAACTCGATTCAAACCTCTACAAATCTTAGGACCGCTATCACGTTCCCTACATGCACTGCGGGTGTCCACTCCCAGGAGACACGATTGGTCAAAAGCTCCGACGTATCGTCTCCTCCTCCCAAGACACCAACATGCTCCTACTCCCTCCCCAGTCAGACGCACGCGCTGCCACTCACCCAAGCGATCACAACGCCGTATTTGCGCTGCACAACATGTCCGCGAGCCTGCGGCGCCGGGACAAACGCGCGCGCAAGGCAGAGTCACGGAGACTGCGGGCAGAGCAGAATGGGAGGTTGGTGAGAAGGGATGGGAATGTTGATCACGGGATTGCATTTTTGTATCCTGTGCCGATGTATTATTATTATCCTGGTGGATGCGTTGCCGCTACTGGTGGCGTGGTGAATGGAGGTTTGGGCTGTGCCATGGTGAGTGTTGTTGTTGTGTTCGGTGGACGGGAGGAGCTGATATCAGGTTTGCAGGGCGCAGGTGGCTGTTCGACTGGTGCAGTTTGTGGCGGGTCTGCTGCCGGTGCCTGCGGCACGGGATGTGGTGGAGGCGGCGGCTGTGGTGGAGGTGGAGGTTGCGGTGGAGGTGGTGGTTGTGGCGGTGGTGGCGGTGGCGGTGGATGCGGCGGTGGGTAAGTCAGACTGTCTGCCATACTATCTTTTTTTTTTGGTGGAACAATATCTTGAATGCCCTATGTAATTTCCCTGCTGTAATCTTTCACTAGTATGAAGATGTCTATTAGATATCAGACTCCTAAGTCGGACAAGCTTAACAAGGGTCGGGCATCTGGTGCCATGAGCTCGATAACGGGAAGACAGGAGAAAAACAGATAATGTACATCTTGATTTTCAGAGCATCACGACAAGCTAACGTTGCACTATTGTACACTGAACCTTAACCTTCTTTCTGACATGCAATTTCTCCACGCATCCTCCAATCAATGGATGAGAGACCCTCTCGGCTTTCTGAGCGATTCTGCGATTCCTAGGAACGTTTCGGCAAGTTGGATCTGAGGATAGAACAAAACGTGTGTTAATCATGCTTGGTGTGAGTTCCTGCAGCACTCTTACCGTGTCCAAGGCCTGCGTGTATGAAGATGCGACTGTTGCCGCCGCTGGGGCCAGAGGATCTCTTGGGGCATTGTTTTGGATGTCAAGCGCAATTTGAGTCATTCTCCGCAAGGAAGTAGAAGATCCATCTGGACCAAATGATACTGCATGAAAAGACAATGCTTTGCTAGTTCGTGTGTCATGACTTGACAATCCAACAAGAAAATCATCCACGAACCCAAGACGAACGGCGGAGCGGCACAAATCTTGAACAGTCTGGTCTGCGATATGGCACTGGCCATCCGATAAGAATATCATCACAGGGCTCCTAAAAGTAACGTTGAAGATTTTAAACAAGTTCATGGAAAGATTGACGCACCTCTCTGTGCTCCAATGTCGTTCCATGACTAATTGAGCTTCCTGAACCGCAGCGGTGAAGTTTGTACCTCCATGAGCTGAATGAGGCAACACGGTATCTAGTAATTGGTCAGGAGAACTAGAGAAGTCGTTTACGAAGACTTCCGTAACCGAAGACTCAAAAAGGATAACGCTGTATGAGTCGCGTCGAGCTGCTTGCTGGCCACCAACTGCTGCAGCACGGGCTGACCAGAAGCTATATAACGAAGACAGCACCGCACCGAACCGGTTGTTAGAGCGTCGCGTAATTCTGTCCGAGGCAGGCGTGTTCGGAAGGGGATGTCTGTCATTATAGCTCATGGAGCCGGATCTACTAACAATCAGCAACCGCAGGAACGCGAAAATCGCCCTGTACCTATCGGCCACAAAGATTCTGGAGTATAGTGATTATGCGTTTATTAATGTCACTGCGATGGAACCCCAGATGATCACTCACACATGGAATGCTTGCTGCATGATCACGGGATTCCTGCATGTGAATAGATGTCCGTCGTTGGAAACGTATCCTAAACCGACTTGGGCATTGTTAGGATCCACCGGTGGGTGAAACAGAGGCAAAGTGCAATAGGATGGCTGAGCAGCATTTCCCGCCGCAGCAGTGTGCTCGGGGCCTGGAAAAACGGTAAATCGTCAATGGGATAGCAATGAATAAATCATACCGCTACACATTGAGTCACTGACAGGGAATGAGTTCATTTCTGTTACCACACTTCGAATATTCGAAACTCACCACTTGGCGAAATTTGCCTGCTCCTCTCGAGAGTAAGGGTCTTTGAAGCCTGCGGACTATGTGAGCCCATTTATACCCATGGTCGTATTACTCACCGGCTCGCCGCCAGAAGAGATTGTGCGTCACGTAGTCCTTGACACGTTCCGGGTTAGGCACCAGTCTCTTAGAAATATGCTGAACCTCATTATTCCCTCTGCAAGCAGAGGCATCCGGAGCACGACAGTAGTCAATGTGGATATGGCGGCCCAATGCTTGACATACAAGGTTGCACATCATCGGTGCACCCTCATCATTTGAAGAGAAGCGATGTCCTTCAACCTCGAGACCTGTATCATCTGGTCCATCCACTGCCCATCGCGACGAAGACATTGATCCGTGTCTAGTTTCATGCTCTTGTTGCGGATGACCTGGTGTGGTGGTTTGTGAAACATGACTGCTATGATATTACGACACCTACCGAGTGGCAATGTACAATAGTAGCCACAGTGCTCACATCTTAAAACCCAACAAAAAGTATGAGGAACAACCGCAAAAATGAAACGAATATCCAAACCTCTCTCTGCAAAAATGCACCACTTTTTTGTCCAAACTATGATTGTGCGGACCTTTATGTGCCACCACTCCAGGCGGTATCAACCTGACACATCTCAGTCGTTTTGCCACTATTTAAAGGACGAATGAGCGCTACTAGTGTGAAAGGTAAGCAACTCGCACACATACCTTGTGAGTACTGCGAATCATGGTCGTATGTTAGCTCGAAAATTGTCTACGACAAAGACGGCACGCTACCTTCGTGTACTGGAACGTCTCATGCCTTCCGGTGAACGTCGCCTCGATCGATTGAGGCGCAGTCTCGATTTCGCAGATGCCATCGACAGTGCATAGCTTGGAACACGAATGCTCCTCCCTATAATGAAATCAAACTTTAATTACCAAAATACGTGGCATGGATGATATTAACAAACCCGCAGAGATGAATAGCGTCGTCTTGCAAGCCATGAAGATGGTCTGTATTCGCACAGAGTCTCTTGCAAAGTTGGCAAGGAAAAGAACAAAGTCGAGCATCACACTGGTGTTGGACATGGTCCACGTCACTGCGGTAGATGAGATCCCAAACGTAGCGTTATGCGTTGACCTCTTATACTTACCTTGGAATGCCACAAGTACCGCGGCAAGGCGGAGTGGAACCGTCAACCAACGTCAACTTTGAGAGATCGCAGGGCTAGAGGCATTCTAGCACGTAAAAAGTCTGTTCAAGGGTCAAACATACCTGACCGCAGGCATGCACAGTAGCAGCACATAGATGATCGCCTTCTGTGTGCCCAATAACCTAAAAAACCAGCTCAGTGGCCTTTTGACCACAGTGAAGATGATCTCACCTTCGTACACTCATCCAGACATCCCTGTCTCCCGGAGAGTTTGCAAATTTGACCACAAAGATGCGCATTAACAACACATCTGGAAGGGGCAGACATGATATGAGCTTATGTGCCGATATCATCATGAAAGGCTTAACATATGATTGCCTGGATGTCCCGCTCTGAAAACACCAGTCATTACTAAACAAGTACTAAAATTGTTCACTTACGACATCGAGCAAGCCTTGGTCTCTCCAGATGAAGCACAGAAATCGCAAGAATGTATGCAAGCATGAGAAGTTTGGCAATCATGCTGTCCATCGTGCAATCTGCTCTGAACACAAAGCAGCTCGCAGCGTGCACATTTCAGCTTGCACAATTGTAAGTTGCTCCTCAAGTCTACTGTTGCACTGTCGAACGTTCTCATAAGCTCGTCAATGCTAGCTTGCCCGCTTTGGAAGCGAGAGACGTTCGACGATATCCATTCGCCAACATGGTCAATGCGCAAATTGACCAGGCTGTCGATATGAGTGGTCAAATTATCAATCCAAACATCTTCTGGGACGTAATGGCGAGAATCATAGTCTCCCCACGCACGAGACAGGACTTGCAGCGCGGCCTCGCGGAAAGACGATTGTTGCGAACCCCCAGTCGCCAATGAAAATTCAGAAGCAGTATCTGGCATGTCAATCGGGACATCGTCATCCAGATTCTTCATAGATGCCAGGTTAAATGAGATTAAAAATATAAGACGGCAGAAGTTTTTCACACCTTCAAAGGTTCCGGTTCAGGATCGACCTCTTGCAGTCCGAATGCCAGAGCATTGGGCAACAGGGCGAGAAGAAGTTGTGCTCGATGCGAGGCCATCGATTCTGCGATGCGTTATTCGTGAACTGTACTAGTCATTCTTTAGAGTACGCACGTGAGAGAGCGCCCCAATCATTTGCCTGTGAAATTTTAATCAATGACCTCACAAAATATACCGTAAATCAAGCAGACCTTCAGTTTCGCCATCAACGTCTTCATCACATGAAGGAACTCTCCTGCTGTATTATGTGTCAGTTTTTGTTTGTCCAACCGACGCTTAAGGTTTGGGAACAGTTTGTAGAACTCTTGCGACTCGATCACCGGCCTACAAAACGATAAAGCGGTTTGTAGACATAGGAAAAATTGCGCATACCATGGGACTATATTCAACTGTCCAGCGTGGAGGCGAGAAATGAAGTTGGCTTCTTGTTCGTCTTGGACTATCTTCTGAAACTTAAGATAAAACCTGAGTGACGACTTGAGTGTGCGTTCTTAAGAACATGGTCAGTGACATACTCTTTAGTGATTTCTGCTTTATCTGAATCCACGACATCCTGAAAAGTAGCCAAGTTGGGGAATATGAAAAGTGACGGTCAGAAGTGGAAAATCACCTTGATGATGATCACCAATGTTGATTGAAACAGACTCGGGTTGGCTGCTGGATCTAGGACAGTAGAACTCGATTGGAATGACTGAAATAATCCAGTAATATCGCGGCTCAAGGCGAAGTTGTTCCGGAATAGTACCTATGGAACGATGTAAAGCTCCGATCCACAACATGAAAGTGGTGTCAAACCAAGTTGGAGATCGCAGTATTGAACAGCACAAGCAAGGTATCTTCTTGAGCGGAACGCTCGATACTATGAACACCTGTGTAGAGTGAGCATATCAACACTTGATGTCGCAAGGGATAATTCAGCATGCCTTCAAAGTCCAAAGCGACTATGAGAGCATCTTTCGTTGGAGTCACCGACATCCACACTCCTTCTGTGGTGCGCATTGCTGATCCAGCGAAAGACGTGTCCACGAGATGATTTAAGGCAAAGCTTTTTCCCACGGATTGTTCACCCATAGATGACACAACTTTGACGGGCTTGAAAGCACAACGTTAAGTCAGTGGCTTTTGGAAGACATGAATGCGATTCATACCTTTCTGGCCATGTATGACTGGAATAGAGATTCGTACCAACCAAAAGACACGTAGTTAACAATGCGGTTGACATCTGCACCGAGAAGGGACTTCTCCAGTTCGGTAGAATATACCCCATCTTTCAGTGGAACGAAGCGGTTCTCCTTGGTCACAGCAATCTGGATAGGAATGAGGCAGAGGAACTCCGCCAGCCACTTCCCCAGCGCGAAATTTCGATACGCTCCACTCCGCACCTCCAAGAAGCCTGTTGAAAAAGGCGGAGTATGTCGTTGCGGAGACAACCATTGACTTCAGAAGATTTCCGGTTGGCTTCTTTGACGTCCTTTCAAAGTTTGAAACAAGATCATGGAAGTGGGGCACAAATAGGTGATGGTCCCGATCCGTAATGAATACCAATGTTCGCTGAGACCTGTTACTGGACGACGTGATCGTTTCCCGCTGAACGGCAGGAAGAACCGGGAAGCGAGTCCACACCTCGGCGTGACAATCAATGAGACAGTTGTGCGCAGCGATGTTTCCAGAATTTCTATTCCCTCCTCGAGTACCCTTTTCTTTGAAGGTAAACTCTGTCACTTTCCGCGTGATGTCGAGAGCAATTGATCGACATGATTGAGTGTCAATGTCGAGTGTGACCAAATGCACGATATTCCGGCTATGTAGTGACGTTAGAAGCAGTGGCTGGTCCAATGGAAGATCAGGGATCTCGAGCGGGATGCCATCCGTTGAGCCGAAGGTGCTCCAATGGTAAGCGGTTAGTGTCAAGTCAGATCCACGGGCGTGAGCCGTGATTAAGCAAGAGCCATCTGGAGTCGAGTAAACTGCCGTTGGAATCTGGATGAGATTGAGTGTCGCAGGTCTGTGATGCATAAATTAAGTGGCTTAAACATTGGCGGGCGCGAGTCTGACCTGAACTGCATTGTCGTCAGAGAGTAGACTCTCGCCTGCGCGGATGTATCAACGAGCAGCAGTTCTTCGCTGCCGCAGATGAAACAAGCATGAATAATGGAGGTTCCTTCAGTATACCACTGAGTCAAATTGATCGCACTGCCGCTGGCTTGGAAACTGCGAGTGTCATCGTAAACAAAGATGTGTAACAAGAGCTGATTGAATTTTGATCAGACTCATCCCAGAAGAATCTTAGTGGAACGAACCTTATCTTTGGCAACAACACTGAGCACACGCTTTGACTCATCGAAAGCGAGAACGAATTCGCCGATTTTATCACGGTGCAGCTTTTTCCCGCGACCGCCGTGAGCCACGGCGCCCTCGATAGCAGTGAGGTGTTCCATGTAGACCGTCAGGTTTCCAAACCGATCAGTCGTCGCAAGCAAGATTTTCTCGCCTGGAAGAAGTTGCGCTCTCCTGGGGTGGAGAGCTGCGTCAGTGATATCTATGTGTCGGATTTCAAAGAGCACATACACCACTGAATCACCGACGGGTAACTTGAACGAGTATGAATTCCTAAACTTCGGTGAAGGAATCGTAGTAGAATCGAACTGTAAGGAATGTAGATCTTGCGCTGTCAATTGCATCAGGTGAACCGTGAATTTCAGCTTTGGCTCCTCGAAAGATTCCCTTGAACCAGTTATTTGCATTGAAGGCGTCGCTAGAGAGTATTTCATTGGCATTCAAAACCAAAGGAATGCTTGGCACACCATAGTAATAGTTTCGTCCTTCCTCGATGGCATCGATGATAAAGGTGTGCCTGCCGTTTTACATATGAATCTGGTGAAGGGGAAACGCGGCGAAATCGCTTACGAATAATGACCTGTCTGTGAATGGGCATTGATTTCAGCGATGAACCTCTTTCGTGATTCGACCAGTTGTTGCTCTTCGCTGCTGTCCGCTTCCTTTTGAACCTTGGCCAGACATTTGTCGATTTGGATATGCAGCGCAGAATGAGTCAAATTTGTCGTTTGCTTCGTTAGAAGTGATCGGAAGTGCGCCAATGCAGCATCCCTGGTATCTCCCACGACTTTTTTCATGACGGGGAACTTTTCGATGTCATCCAACTCGACGAGGAACTGAGCATCACTGACCGTAGATGCAGTAACCTCTGCATCTTTGAACGTCTTATCGACGAACTGAGAACCTGGTCCAGACGAGATGAAGGAATTGATACCATCCATTGCTGTCTTCAGCAATCCCTTTGGCTGCTCACGCGGATTGACACCCTTTCCTATTAATCTCACTGACTCCTTGACGTGTTTCATGTCCTCGTGTAAAATGACATTGAAGAAGTCTTCGTCTTTCGTCGCGAGGTCGGGAACTTGATGAAGTAAACTTTGGGCGATACAGACACGTTCCTTAAAGCCTCTGAAATCGCGATTGCAAATCTTCTCGAAGCGCAGCTTTTTCAATGTGCGATGAAGCTCTTCCCCTATTTCTGGATATAGCTCAATTACAGTAAGAAGTTGATCTGGATGACCCGTTACTATGATGCAACTTCAATATATAGATGAATACCTTGGACCTCAGAGCTATCCTGCCCACTTTCTATGGAGTGAAGTGGAGAGTCGTCAGTGGGTGAACTTAGTGAATCGAATTAGAAGTAGATGAGGTTGTTTTGAGTACAACTCACGAAGGGGCAATAGCTGGTTCAACCGGATCTAGACAGACTGTTTTTATCAAACGAATTGATCGTACAGACGACTTACCTTGAGCCACAGGGTTGCCCCGCTCACTTTTTGTGGGGCAAGGGAAAGAATCATGGGTGAAAGTGCTGGAGGGATCGAGTTAGAGACACGAGAGGAAAGTGAAGGAATACTCGCGGAAATTTCCCGATGATATCGTCAACCAATGCCTTGTGAAAAATGCGAGTGAGACGGGGCGAGTCCTTCTCCAACGTCATCTTGACGTCGGCCTCTGTCGATCTCTTGGTTGCCCTAGCATTCGATGAAATATCGGCAGACTCCTTCTGCAATTGGTTGCACCGTTGCGGGAAGCGATTATGAAGACCTGCGTCCATCAAAAGACGCAGTGCATTGGCATCCAGATCCTCGTTCAACCGTAAGCTGTCGTTTTTCCTGAGGACGCATCACTTCAGATCCAGAAGCTGATTACGCAGAATAACACTTACAAGCAATCACCTAACTGGAGGCGAGTGATGGACTTGCGCTTCGACACCTCGATGATCGGGCTGGCCGGCAGATAGTTGATTGTCATGAACCCTTGAGTAATCTCGCCGTGCAATAACCAAGGCTTATGCAGTCCAACGTCCATTGTTGCCTCTGCGTGAGGCTGGGGCATAGTTATATGATCGGAAGTAGCCTACATGCTGCTTTCAGCATTAGGCTGGGAATGATGAGTTGGGCATACCTTGAATCCAGGACGCGGCTTTACGGCTTCTTCCTGCTCGTGTGTTTTCGTCACTTCAAACGTGAACATTCTATCGGACTCGTCTTGGTCTTCTTCCATTTCCATCGAGGTGTCTTTGTCTTCCTGTTCACTCCATACAATAGAGCGAGAATGCTTAGGGGAGACGAGTGCCGTGACCTGGTCACACATCTTCGTGAGGTATCTGAAGCTCTTTGTCAAAAGGAAATTCCTGGAATTCAGGGAAGACTAGACGAACCGCATGAATGTGACGCGGTTACGTTTGATGGAGGAAGGAGCTGAATCATCCCAAGTGCCATCTTCAGGCCAGTAGACGAGGAACAGTTGTTCGTCGGAGGTAGCTTCACAAGTCGTTCGGACAATGTAAAGTCCAGAACGAAGGCTTGGTTTGGAAACACTGTATTCGCTGTGGTTCGCAACAAGCTGTGCTGCACTACAAGAAAAGTTCATTAGGATGCCAACCTGCAAGGGAACTTATCTCACATGTGGTCGTCGACAAGACCTAGAGACGACAAGAGCCGCACTATTTCATCTTTGCTCCCATAAACGCCAACGGGCTTCACTCTTAAGCCATCCAGCGCGCTGAAATTTACTTTCGTCATGGATACATATGCGCCGGGACAGATAGTATTGGTGAATGCACGGAGTGAATCTTGCGCTATAATAATTTTGTCCACTGGGGGCACTCAGCGAAGGCAGGCTCTGCAAGGACAATGGATTTACCTAGGCCACCGCTTCCTTGTTCACTGATCAAGTCCAGGACCCGATACATCCCATTTATCGATTGGACGAGGTCACGAGCATCATTATGCGGAGGGGAGGCTTCCACGTCCATCTGAAGAAGAACGTGGAACATCTAGTCCACATCATGACGACCGCGAAAAAAGTAGACTTACATTGTCATCATTGGATTTTACGGAGTGATACATGTCGTCGTCTGAGTCCTCAGAACTGACGGCAGTGAGTGTTAGATCAGTTTGACCGCCTTTCGATGAAAATGCTTGTGATGCAAAGGGCTCATCATCATCGTCCATCTCGTCGATCATGATCGAGGGGGTAGATGCACGGGAATATGAGCCCCGGGCAAAACGATCCCAATTCTGATTACCGTTATCGAATGGTCGATCTGCGTAGATCGTGGATAGCTTTCCAGTAGATATTACAGTTCACTAACCGACACCTTTCCCTTTGTTTGCCTTCTGGTTTAATGGCTGTGTATCTTGGAAGGTGTTACTGCTGGCGTCAGCTGAGAACAACTTTGGCGGTCTATACGACCCATCCATGATGGTGGATGAAAGTAAAGAAAAGGAACCCAAAATCGCCCTCTTAAAGGGTATGATAAGCGCTTCTGAGTCAGGCTGTGTTGAGCGGTGCGGATCCTCGAGGTTCCAACTCAACTTTAACTGTTTAGGGTAAGCTTCTGAAGCTTCAGGGATCAGGTGCAGTCGCGAGCGCCTTTTCAAAGACAGAGTTCTCAAAAGAAATGCGCGTAGACACAAGGGAGCTGCCTAGTGCCCACCAAACAAGTGATCAAGACAATATAGAGCCTATATGAGGCCCACAGGACGCGTCTCCATAGCGGGACTTCCCACGCCACCAACAAGAACTATACTTAGAATTTACATTAACTAATCGTAAATTTCTCCAGATATCCCGACTTAGATCTATAGACCGAGCTCGGAAGGGAAACTACTAGGTTCTAGAATTCAATCTATTATCATCTAGCAGTTTTGGTCTGGTGTTTGCGCCACACAATCGTGCTGCGGCGTGTCTGTGGGTCCTCGGTCGGCGCGAATGCTCTTTCGTATTAGGCTGTCCCATTGACTTCGACGGATGGGTCATTGCTGCGGCCTGGGGCGTGGTGAATGGGCGGGCGATGTCCCCCGTCATACGTGCGCTCAACCTGCACCTGCTGCAATGTATCCGAGAAACTCTGGAGGCACTACGTATATAATGGAGCATGCAAACGAAACGACATTGAATACTGTATTCCTTTTTGTATTCGTATTTCCTGTCCTTGCTGCTAATGAGAGACCCTCTCGGCTTTGTGAGCGATGTAGCGATTCCAAGAAATGTTTCAGTAAGTTGAATCTAAGTAAGACATGTCAAGTGGGTTCTCCGCTCGTCGTTGAAAAATATCACTCACCGTATCTAAGGCTTCTGAGTATGTGGACGCAACAACCGCGAGAACTAAGGGGTCTTGCGGAGCATTGTTCTGGGTGTCCAGAGAGATCTGGAACATTCTCCTCAATGGCGAAGAATATTGATCTTTACCAAAAGACACGGAGTGGAAAGACAATGCTTTTCTACATTCGAAGTCAAAAAGAGTGATTCAAGAAGACAACAACGGCTACAAACCCGAGACGGACTGCAGCACGGCACAAATCCTGAACAATCCGATCCTCAATATGACACTCGCAATCCGATAGAAATATGATCACAGGCGTTCTATAGTATACGCCTATGCAAACATTTCACAGGTCGATTGATAATCTGAGACTCACTTCTCCGTGCTCCAGTGTTGTTCCATAACTGACTGGGCACGTTGAATGGGAGCAGTAAAGTTTGTGCTGGCCCCAAGTCAATGACCTAGCAGGGCTCTAGCATGGGTCCGAGCGAACTGGAGAAATCGTTCGCCACGATGTCCACAGCAGACTGATCAAACAGGATAACACTATATGAATCCCGTCTGGCTGCGTGTGGACCAGCGACTGCTACAGCTCAGGGAAGACCAGAAGCTGTACAAGGACGACAAAACAGCGCCAAACCTGTTATCGAAGCGTTGAATAATTCTACCTGAGGCAGGGGTGTTGATGAGAGGTCTTCGATCCGTTAAACCCATAGAGCCAGATCTATTGGTGATCAGCATCCACTGTGATATTCATATATGTGTAATATTTATCCGCCACAAAAATTCTGGTGTGCGTTCATTAACGACATTCCTATGGAACAAAATAAAAACACCTTACACGCAGCTGAGGGAACGCATCCCTTGTCCTCGAGTGGTTTTTGCGCATTGATCCGGCTTTACCACCGAGACCCCACAGGAAAAACGTGTTGGTGCTGATAATTATCCATGGGTAGCGTTCATAGACGTGTACTATGTCGTACCCGATGAAGCACGGGATAAGGTAACACATGCTGGTGATAATGATGCCAACGACGAGGGGAAGGGTGCTAGAGTTGATGTTGGCGAGCGTTTGGCCCCCGAGGATGACTGCTGTTGTGGAAAAGCCGAGCCTATATGAGATCAGCGAGATGATGTGAGTATGGAATGCAATCCGCGCAGTGGGTGAGGGTATTGAGAATTGAATAGATGGTGCGGCGATGATCATTGTGCGGAGACCGGTTATGGGACCGAGGGTGGCGATGAAGGCTGTTGCGATGCCGCCGAGTGTGCAAAAACAAAGGATGGCTGTTACAGCGTTGCTTGAAAGAATAAGTGTGGTTGCGGAGCGATGTTTGTTGAGTGACATACGTGAAAACAGATTGTACGACAATGGTGACGGGAATGGTGGTCAAAGGACCTACACAAAGGTCAAGGGAAAGCAGAGTTGGACTGAACGGGACTTGTTGCACTGGGTTCAGGACAGGCAGGGCACACGTTCTACTCCACGGGCCTCAACACCACTAACAAGTGTACCAAAACGACTTGCGATCACGCGATATGGTGCTGCCTCGACGTTCATCTTCAACCGAATCGAGCGCTTTCTCCTTGTCTCTGGGTAGTAGTTTTGGAGGCAGACATGGTGATTGTCGGGCAGGGTATGGAGGGAGAAAAGGCTAAGCGGTTGTTGATGTGTTTCCTGACAGCACATCATTTTGATAAGAGGGAGTAAAAACAACAAACCGGTTCACCGTAACCTCAACAGTTTTGCGATATGCATATGATTCACGTCCTTACTCCCCAACGACGAACGCAGGCTTGAAAAACAAGGAACAACTATCTTCCGTTTTTCAAGGTCTGGCTTGGGAGATTAGAACGCACACAGAGCTCGAGGAGACATGTTTAGCATTACAAATTCACTAAACGCGTGACGGACGCGTGACGTGACCTCTCTCCGACTAGTTGACAAAATGTCAGCGCCATCTCTCCGCCTCAACCTTAACCGACATCGAGATTTTTTCAGTCCTCCCAACCCTCCCAGACATGTTCTACTGGCAGGGCTTCTGGGCACCTTCAGACTGTAGTTTTTTGCTCTTTCTCTGCGTTAAGATAAGGTATAGCTCTGCTAGCGCTTAACCCTGATCTAGCTGGAATGTGACTTTTGCGATGAGGGAGCGGATATGATTAGGCTGTATCTATTTGTTGGAGGCGTGCCAGATCCTTTTTTCACGAGCTGTACATGCTGAGGAGAGTCGTAAACAAGGTCGGGAAAGCACTGGCCTTTTCATTGCTCAAAACATTCCTTGTCTGTCTCGTTGTTCGACTTTGAGTCAGCTTAATCAATTCCTAACCAAACATGTGCTCTTTCGCCAACTTTGCAGCCCTGGTTTACAATCACGAACCTCCATGTTTAGCTGCCCTCTGTCTGAACTTTGTGCCCTCCCGGCACAACGTGGGACACATCATTTGCAAGGACTCATCAGGACGCCGAGGAATACTTACGTGCTGTCCTCGTTTTTTCATCAGCACACTCACCAAACCTACCTAATAGTGCCGAAGATGGTTCCTATCCCTCACTCTATCCACACAGCTCCTTTCACACCGTGCCCGCCCCTTGCGTCCCAAAGCATCTTCCCTTCAACCAAAGCCCACGAAGAAACCCTGAAATTCGAGAGGCGATCCCGTATACCAGAGGAGTTGATCACCAGGCGAATGTACATGCCAAACTTGAAAGCCAAAGTAGCGATGGCCTGGAATGGCAATGAGTCTGTTTGATGCTGAGATGGCTGCAGCAGTTGTGAGGAATTTGCTTGGTGCGCGGGATAGAGCATGATGGGACAACGAGAACAAAGCGGTTTGGAATTTACTGTCCGGCGCTGTAAGATGTCTCAGACTCGAATTCAAGTAGGTTTAAATTTTGTAGATGTGAAATGGACCTGACCCGCCTCAAACTCTGAGGCTTCCCAAATGACTGCCATAGCATATCCTACTCTTACAAAAATTTGGACGCGGATTCGTCATATTCGACCTCGCAAGACAAAGTCCACCGAAAGGGAAGCTCAGTAACGGGCTTCCCCAAAATCTGCCAGTCGAAACGCCGTGACCTACCATTTCGCAACCTTTCGTCACCCTCGATCTCACAAGGTGTAAGGTCCACTAAATAAGCTGAGGCAACGACTGCGCACATTTTACAGGTCCGTGCAGTGTCGGTATGCTCGACGATGCTTCAGATGACACTCTCAAAGGACTGTATTTCCACCTCCACGCCAGAGAATGTCCGCTTCGAAGGACTCGTCTCAGTCAGTCTTCTAGTAAATTCCCACCTTCAGGCCAGACAACGAGGACATGTTCAAGGTCACAACGATAGAGAGGGCTGGCAGAGCGATGACTCGGTGATTTAACACGACGCAAGATACTGGGAGCATCGAAGCGCGTGGACGCTGTGGCATCTTCGGAACTGCAGCGGTGAATTTCTTGATATCCGTAATTGCATTTACTTAATTCATGTGTCACATCAGCCTTCCATGATACTGGGAGCATCGAAGCGCATGGACGCTGTGACATCTTCGGAACTGCAACGGTGAATTTCCTGATATCCGTAGTTGCATTTAATTAATTCATGTATCAGCATCAGCATTCCAGGATACTGGGAGCATCGAAGCGCATGGACGCTGTGGCATCTTCGGAACTGCAACGGTGAGTTTCTTGATATCCGTAGTTGCATTTAATTTATTCATGTATCAGCATCAGCTTTCTGATATTGATCGTCTGCTCGACTATAGACCGTATGGGATTCTCTATGTTAACCCATTGTCCGATGCTCTTCCTGTGCGGGTCTGTCAGTGTCACAAGTCTTACACAATTTGCAAAGGAATTGGCGTGGAAAGTTTTCTGATAAAGTTACACAGCAAGTGTTTTTACTATACTTGTGTTATATCGGGTCAGGCCGTGATATGTACATCCTCAAGCAAGTGCAGATAATGTTGTACAAGGTTCGGGTAGCAGAAAAGACCAATCTAAACAGATACACTAATCAAATGCTGCAAGGCCGTGATATCCATGTCTGCATTTCGCGGAGTGATACTGCAAGGAGATGGCATAGGCCGCCTACACGAGATAAAGCAACAGCTGTCAGTAAGTTTTCTCTTCACAATAACCCCACCAAAATTTACACGTACACAGTAATCCCCCCATGCCACCGCGGCTCGATCTCGATCTCTCTGCCAGTCTCATCTTTGGCCTTGGAAAATTTGAAAACCGCAAGCAAGCAGACCATGGCAGACCATAACGAAGCTTCGGCGAGATGACGACCAGGGCATATTCGTCGTCCAAATCCCCATACAACACTCACGGTATCGTCTGTCAGACTACCGTCTGGGTTCAGGAAACGGTCAGGATTGAATTCGGACGCATTGGCGTATTTCTCTTCGTTGTGGCACATCGCCCTGAGGATAATTAAGTTGCAACACCAATGTATATTTATTGTTCGTACCAAATATTTGGGGTGATTATAGCACCTGTGCTGCGAATGAATATAGACTCCATGATGGGAAGGAACTCGCATACCTTTGGGTATGTAATAACCTTCGAAAACGTCGCTTTCGACAGCAGCATGAATTGCTGTAATTGATCAACAATCTGGTGCTGATATGTTGAGGTGAACAACGCACCAAGAGGAAGCACTGGGCGCCACCGTAGGCACTCGCGTAAAATGGCGTCAACGTAGGGTAAGGATGCACGATCCTGGAACGTCGGCAATCGCTTCGTGCCAACCACGCTCTCAATAATATCGTGTGCTTTCTCTTGTATGTGTGGGTGGAGAATCATCACAAGGATGAAGTTCATCATAACAGACGCTGTCTGGTATTGGTCAGCGTTGGCCCACACCACCGGCTACTTCTTGCTCACCGTCTCAGTGCCAGCTGGTCGCGAGACGGTCTCATTCAGTCCGACAATACTACACTGGAACGATATATGCTCACCCCCAAAAGCGGTTGACGCAGATTCCTTTATCGCTTTCTTCTGCCAGGCTGAATCACCGTCGCCGTCGTCGAGTTTCAGTAAATGGTCAGCGACCATGCAAGAAGATATGGATCCCGCAGCCTGAAAAGCGCTTGAGAACAAAGTGCTTCTTGTCATGTTATATTTACCAGACCACGCTCCGTATGTGAAAATGGTTCTTCCAAGTTTTCTACGGCTAATGCCTTGGCTAAAGGTGAAACTCTCTTGAGGCGCATGCCAGGGAGCCAAGAGGGAAGGCAAAGAACTGTGAATTAAACAATAAGATATTGCTAGATATGATGGACGATGGGACGTATGGAATGGAAAAGCGCTGAAGATGGCAGCTACCTCTGGTCTCAGCTCTTTCAGTATGATATCCAGAGCCAAGGCTGCACGCTCAATCATGTGGTCATTCCGGCGTGCTGCATCGTATGAGTCAGGCGAGCCTGTCATATTGATGCATGAATGCGTTGTAGTTGTAAGGTAGGAGTGATGCAACACTGTTACAATCCATAGGCAGGTAAATAGGGTGCATCATAATGCATCACTGATGCAGCACGATGCATCAGCAATGCTATATGATGCATGCCTGTGATGCTTGCTATGATGCATCATTTGATGCGGTGCTGTCCATTTACGGTATGTAGCGTGTTTGGCGGGTTGTCCATTTACGGTATGGAGCGCCTTTGGCGGGTTCTGGCCATACAGCGGGATATGATGCATTATTTTCGGAGCGCCCTCCCGCCCGCCTTCTTTGATGGGCGGTATTGTCCATTTATGGTATTCAGCGGGGCAGGTTCTGGCAATACAGCGGGTATGGTGGGTGCACCAGCAGCATTCCACCTTGTTACTTATCCTCAGTGGCCCGTCAGCGCTCACTTTCAGCATATGGCCGCAGGTACAGATGCGTCTTGGGGGGTTCTGGAGCGCATGGGGGGTACGGTGCACCAGCATACGGTGGGTACGGGTTCTGGCAATACAGCGGGTACGGTGGGTGCACCAGCAGCATCCCACCTTGTTATTACTGATCCTCAGCGCTCAATTCTAGCAATATGGCTGCAGGTACAGATGCATCTTGGCGGGTTCTGGGGCGCACGGCGGGTACGGTCACTGTGCACCAGCATACGGCGGGTACAGGTTCTGGCAATACAGCGGGTACGGTGGGTGCACCAGCAGCATTCCACCTTGTTGTTAATCCTCAGGCGCTCAATTCTAGCAATATGAATATTCTCGGCGGGTTCTGGGCAGATGGGCTACTACTATCTATCAATTGACACTGTTACCAAGTACATAGCGAGTAATGCATCATTCTCCTACAACCAAATTTCATGAAGTCCGTAGCACAAAATTTCGGTGATGTATATATGTTGATGCATCAATGTTAGCAATTTCACTCTCGCACACCTATTCTTGCTCACAGTCAAACATTAGCATTTGAACCATGCGCGCAAAATGATGTATTATATTTCTCGACAGGTACAAGATAACTATTAGACTGAGTAGGGACATTATATCAAGAAATTAGCAAGACTATGATGATGACAGCATGAAGAACAACCATACTAGACCTTTGCCCGCTTCTTCCTAAGAGCTCTTAGCAGGCATCGAAAGAAAAATGAGCAGGATAACATACTGTTGAGCACCCGCAGACCCGTTCTGCACAGGCCGTTTCATGGAAGGCCCAGTACCAATCGCATCCGCCAGCTCGTTACGCCTGGACTTAACTGGGACACGCTTAGATGCACGTGTGTTCGTAGAGTCATTGGTAATTCCACCAGGAGCTGCATCCCCTGGTGAACTAGACTCAGCTCCGGGTGGGTTAGTAATCGTGGGGGTGGTGGCGGCCTTGGGCTTGCGGACGGCCTTGGGTTTTGGGGCGGCCTTGGGTTTTTGGGCGGCCTTGGGCTCGAGGATGATTTTTTTGGTGATCGGCTTGGTTATGACAGCGGAGAGAGAATTGTTGGGTGTACTGGGGAGCTGGGGTGGGTTGGGATGAGGCAAGACTGGGAGCAAGGGTGGGTTGGGATGAGGCAAGACTGGGAGTGAGGGTGGGTTGGGATGAGGCAAGACTGGGAGTGAGTCAGCACTGGACTCATGCAGACTAGTGCGCTCAGCAGAAACCGGCGATAAATTTTCCTGGAGCCAAGCAGCAGCAGAGGCCGGAGACGTTTGGAAGACTGGATCAGTCCAATTGAGATCTTGCCACGTATTGGGGAATGAGAAGTTGGGGGTCGACACAGAGGGGTTGTAGACCGGTGTAAACCCATCAGTGGACATGAGAGGGGCAGTATACGCCGGAGTAAAAGAACTAGGAACCGAAGTGGTGGACATTTGGGGCGCATAGAATGGTCCGAACGAGTTGGGAACTGAATTGGTGGTCACAGGGGGTACGTATGCTGGTAGATACGAATGAGGAATTGGTGCGGAGACACCATTATAGTTAGAGTATGATGATGATGCATCAAACTGCAGGGGTGCATCAACGTGAATAGATACGTATTGCAAACGAAAGGGTACGTACCATTGCACCTATTGATGCATCAGGCGTGGCTCCTGATGCATCAGATGCATCACCCAGTGAAGCATCAGGCAGCGGCAAGGAGCCTTGTGATGCACCAGGCAGCGGCAAGGAGCCTTGTGATGCATCAGGTGGATGCATCAGCTGATGATAAAAAATATAAAGACCGACCAATCTACCCACCTTCATGATCCTCTTGCTCCTCTTCCCCTTGACCAAAGGACTCGATGTCATTGTCCTCTTCGACGTCGTCATGGCCATCGGGCACCTCTTCATCATACACTTCAAATTCCTCACCACACTCCATGTCCTCGTTCCCTACAGTAACATTAGGCTTGCGCTTGTTGGATGCTGCATGATATAAATTAGGTAAGCCAACTAGCAACTTGCAGATTAAAAACGCATGGAAGATTATTTCCGCATATTGCTGAAACGCCTCTAGGAAATTCCTATCGGCCGTTTGGTATAACTGGGCGAAGGTTCTGCCTTGTGGAGTTTCAGAGGGATGGCAACTTGAATACATCAGAGTCTCGGCGTGAGTAAACAGTCTATACCCGATACGTAAACTTACGATAATGAGGTCATATCCCAGTCGTTTCTTGGATTTGGACCAGCAAACATGAAGGACATGAGGAAACCGGTCTTCTTCTTGACAAATTGCGTGAATCGCTGGCAGATAATGGGTAAGTCGTCTATGCCCCTGCTTGAATGTTAACTATTGAACTCTATTCACAGAAACCACTTACTGCGCAATTCCCTCCGCATCAAATGGCACACAGTCATCCTCGGTGTCCTCATCTAAAAAATTCTTCTTGCCGGACCTCTCGTGAGTTTTCCACTGCTTCTCGTACATGTCACGAATCTGAACCTTGACCTCCTCATCCTCATCATCCAACAGCTCTTTAGAAAATTGACGCCCCAGCGCAACTCGTCTGCCTGACGACACCTTCCCAGCCTCTTCCTCAGCCTTCACCAATGGTCTGATCCGCTCATCGTAGTAGATATCGGAGTACAGCTCAGCCTCGGACTTAGCACGTCGTTTTGGCTGCAGCACGTCATCGAAGACAGTTGTCTCCTTTTTCAGGCGACGGTTTTTCTTGGACGCGTTCGCACGCCAACGAAACCAAGTCCGGAGTTGCTGAAGCACGTCAGTAAATAGTAATATGTTCATTATAGATGGGCTTACTATTTTGCGCCTGCTTTCAGCTTCTCCCACCTCAATACGTTGCTCCGGCGAAAGGGCGTCAGCGGGAATGTCGGGAAATACTACCGCTTCCTCTGGGAACTGTTTAAACCAGTCCCCAATCAAGGTGGGCCAAAAACGCGAATAATCTTTTTCCTTCACGTGCTCTGTGAGATATTGGGGGAGGCGCTCTTGAAGCCACTCCATTTGTACGTCTGAGGTCCAGCGTGCTGCAGGCATGACGAGATCTTGTACGTTGAATGAGGTCACTGCAAGATTAAATGCGCGCACTTCAAGTTGTCCCGAAAAATGAAAATGGTGTGTAAACTTATGTACGCTATACCTGTTGGATTCTGTTGGATTCTGTCTCATGCACAGGCCTAAGTTGTCTTGAACAGTGCAATCAACCACCCGAAGGAGCAGTATGGTAGATCAGTTAGATACTTCGTCCATAGCTAACTAAATAGAAGTCGCAAGCACATTGTTCTAATTTTATCTAGGCACCTTGAGATCCGATCAATCGAAGTCCAAATCTAAGCCATCGAAGTCTAAATCTAAGCCATCCCCCGCCTCGGTGTTAGTACTCCCACCATCCTCGATCCGATCAATCGAAGCGCCATCTCCCTGGGCCTCGATGTTAGTGCTCCCACCATCCTTGACGTCGCCGCTGGCAGGCTCATCACCTGTGACATCCACCCAATTCTCTATGAACTCTTCTTCGGCCTGTAACGTCGCATTCTGATTATGCACCGACACGATTGTGAACGGAATGTATCCCGCTAAGGCCTTTTGGGATCGAAACCAAGTTTTAATGCGCTATTGAGTGGTCAGCTTGTGCACTCCATAGAATCTTGGTACCCACATATTTCCTCTGTTTAACGGCCTGAAACACCTGACGGTGCTGCTCTTCAGAGAGAGACTGAGTGTTGGGTAAGTCAGGGAACAAAGCATCACACTCTGGCCAGCATTCGAAGAAAATCTCGTATAGGGATGTCCAGAACTCAATGAGGTCGTTGTACTCATAGCAGTAGTTGTACTGGTCTAGCTGATTTGTTAGCCAGCGGCGCTGATCAGTTGAGAAATAGGGTTCCGACATGGTGAGAGTTGACGCGTGAATGTAGATTAGAACTGTGAAATAGTATTATTTCGTGCTCCGAGCAGCGGAGTGCACGATTGTCACCAGATTGAACGTTGAACGTTGGCAGTCTGAAAATGACACCGTCAATGTGATAGAATAGCATATCAGTCTCTGAGTATACTACCTAGCTACTAGTACTTAGTACTATCTGTGATGTACATCATCCAAAGCCTTCCAAGGGCTGAGTCTGGGCTTGTCTGATACATACAAGCTTTGAATAAAACTCCCATAAAACTCCCTGTGTATACTATGACAACAAAGTGCCAGCTCTTGATTGCTCGAACATGAGTGGCCATCGTGCTCTAACCCTTGCACAGGGATATGACATATCGTTCCTTATTACGAACGTCCATTCAGAGACCATGTTGAAACACAAGGTCGTCGATTTCATCATTCAGTGCGTGGCATCCGAATGCTTCTAGTACATCGTTCTCTCGTCCCCGGTACAAGATTTAAAGTAGTAGACAGGGAAATAAGTGAGATGAAGCTTAGTAGCCTCAATGTGCGCGCGCACGGTAGCCGAATCGTATCTTACCGCTGTTTGTGTCTTACTCACTGCGTGCTGGTGTGCATTACCCTTACATGAATGCTTACCCCTGACAATAAGACACTTTCATGAACACCAAGCAACGGCTACCTACGCACACTGGATCTGACATCCTCACGCTTCAAAGGCAGCCGGTGTTTCTCGGTCTCGGTCTTTGTCTCCTACAAATAAACTGATAACACGTTCTGAAGTAAGTAGTGCGAGCTAGTTCTATCTGTCCCGAAGTCTGAAGTCGGCTAGTTCCATCTGTCCTACAGTCTGCTAATTATCCTACCTACGCACATCTGACATCCTCACGCTTCAAAGGCAGCCGGTGTTTGGTCTTTATATTCTACAAATGTACTGATAACACATTCTGAAGTAAGTAGTGCGAGCTAGTTCCATCTGTCCTGAAGTTTGAAGTCTGCTAGTTCCATCCGAGTCTGTCCTGAAATCTGCTAATTATTGTGCCCATGCACATCTGACGCTCTCGCACTTCAAAGGCAGCCGGTGTTTCTCTGCTTCGGTCTTTGTATCATACAAATGTACTGATAACACATTCTAAAGCTAAAGTAATGCGAGCTAGTCCCATCTGTCCCGAAGTCTGAAGTCTGCTAGTTCCATCTGTCCTGTAGTCTGCTAATTATCCTGCCTGCGCACATCTGACATCATTACACTATAAAGGCAGTGGTGTTTCTCTGCCTCGGTCTCTGTATCCCTGATTCACACCTCTCTGGAACTGCTTAATTGAGTGGCAGATCACTTCTAGTATTGGCCACAATTGGTACATAGATGCGTCCATACAGTATATACAAAAATATATTGTCTACTTAAGGCAGCCACTGCGCTTCTCCGAGATCAATGGCATCGAGCATGCGCACCAGGCTGTCATCAAGGGACTTGCAGCGGCTGAATGATGAACAGCTACAGTGGCTCAAAAAACTGTCCGCATGTTTTCACATTTTTCACTATCTATGATATTGTGTGAGAATATACAAATACCTCAAGGACATGCTGGTATCATATTGTAGCACCACTTCAGGGCTTTCAATTGAGCACTATGGCGTGGGAAGTGGTTGAGATATGGTTGAGATATGAGGCTTCCAAAATGATGACTCATGCGGACAGTTTTTTGACTCAAGTATTTTACAGTGATAATCAGGTATTCTAGTACTCTGTGTGACCTCCCTTGGCTTTAATTACTGCCTCTATCCTTCTAGGCATACTCTCAATCAATTTCTGGCAATGTTCTGTTGCAATCCTTCCCCATTCCACTGCTACTCTCTCCCATAGCTCCCATACTCCTTTAGGGGGGTTTCAGAGGCTTGAAGCTTCTTCTTGAGTGTTCCCCAGAGATGTTCAATGACATTGACATCAGGGGACTGTTCTGGTCAGTCAAGAACATTGATATTATGTTCTTCAAACCATTTTCTGGCTCTCCTAGATGTGTGCTTGGGATCATTAGCCTGTTGGAAAATGATGTCTTCTTCATCAATCCCTGATTCAGCTATGCTAGGCAGCAAGTGGTCATTTAGAATGTCCACATACTGCTCAGCATCCATCCTCCCCTCAACTTCAGCAAGCATACCCACACCATTCCATCCAATACAGCCCTGTACCATTAGAGAACCTCCTCCAAATTTGACAGTCTCACCAACCTCTCTGTCTGTTAGAGAATCTCCCTTCTTTTTCCATACATATACCTTCCCATCTGACCCAATCCTATTGATTTTGGTCTCATCTGACCATATAACATGCTTCCAGTGCTCTACAGTCCAGTTTTAATGGGCCAAGCCAAAGGTAGTCTTCTCTGCCTATGTTTGATAGAGAGAAGAGGCATTTCTTCTTTGTTACTGCCTTGAGATGAGCTGCCTTGAGAACATCCCTCACAGTTTGTGAAGAGACAGTGGTGGTGATGGTGGAATTGATATAATGGGTGGCTTGGACAGCATTATCAGCCTTTCCTGTAGTGATATGTTGAATAATAGCCCTCTTATTAGTAGAGGTGGACATCCTCCACAAGAGTTTTCCTTGTCCAGGTGGCTTTCTTTGATAAAATTGGCCAAAGTAGACTTGCATACTCCAGTTTTAGAGGAAATTTGATGAGCAGAGAGGCCAGAATAGGACAAAGAGAGGATATTATCCCTTTGAGCAGAGGAGATGGCTTTAATGGTGATTATGATCATGACACATGAAACATTCTGGTTTATATAGTTAGATATAGTTTCGAGAGTATGCCTAGAAGGATAGAGGCAGTAATTAAAGCCAAGGGAGGTCACACAGAGTACTAGAATACCTGATTATCACTGTAAAATACTTGAGTCAAAAAACTGTCCGCATGAGTCATCATTTTGGAAGCCTCATATCTCAACCATATCTCAACCAATTCCCACGCCATAGTGCTCAATTGAAAGCCCTGAAGTGGTGCTACAATATGATACCAGCATGTCCTTGAGGTGTTTGTATATTCTCACACAATATCATAGATAGTGAAAAATGTGAAAACATGTGGACAGTTTTTTGAGCCACTGTAACACCGAGGACATGCGGGGATGTGCGCTGCCTGAGGGAGAATCAATGGCAAGAACAAAAATGTGCCACCAATCAAGATACACACCATGTCTCGAAGACACCTACCCGGCGGCCGCGGGTGACAAGGTAGAAAGGACCAAGGGCCCCAGCACGCGGAACATCGAAGCTGAAATCACGATATTGCTGCTGGCCCCTTGTCTCGCTGTTGACGATGACGGCTGTCATTGGAAGATGCAGGAAACCGACAAACTGCACGAATGCAGCGGCCTGAGTCTTGACAGCTACTGCAGGAGGGCTGACGACAGCTACTGCAGGAGGGCTGGTGACAGCTACTGCAGAAGGGGGGCTGATGACGGCTACCGCAGGAGGGGGACTGATAACGGCTACTGCAGAAGGGGGACTGACGACGGTTACTGCAGGAACAGCCAATGTAGCAGAAGGGGTAGCAACCACTGGGGTGATGACGGCCGCTGTAGGAGTTGCAGACGACATGACAGGAGGGCCTCCACTACCATCAGAAATCACTTGGATGAGAGTTTGCGCCTCATCATTCGATAGCGTCAATGAAGATAGTAATTGCAATACAGCATCTGAAACGTGTGTTAGCAGACATAAATCAGTGATGGGCCAAAAACGCACCAAGGCTGCTTTGGTCGTTGTTCGTGGTGGTGGTCATTGTTTAGGAAGTCAGATGGGACGTAGGCCATCGAGAATCGAAGATAAATACTTACCAAACTCAACGCCTAGCTGAAGATCGGGTGGGACGGTTGCTTAATAGAGAATCAACCAACAGTCCATGAAGGTCGGTTGCAATAGAGAATCATTGTCTATTTGTCGTTGTTTGTTGATTCGCACAGAAGGTGAGCAACTTCTTTGAAAATCCACGATATGATCGAATCTACGATCGAATCCATGCGTGATTCGATGCTGGCCATCAACATACTATACTTCACGAATGGCAAGTCCATTTCTGATGAGTCCATTGCTGGTGACGGCCAGCATTACAGGTAAGTAGGAAAAAATATCATTGTCATTTGCTAACGATCAGTACAGCCAGTACTTTGTCATGGAGTCCAATCTATCCCCCCCAAATGCTGATTGGTCTTCAACGATCGTATGTACAGACGAATTGCGTCGGGAGCTGGGAAGAACAACAAGAGCCAAGAAGCGCCAGAAAAAGGTTATCCTCAATTCTTACTCACATCCACAATCGAGCGTCAAGCAGCGAATGCATACCCAGTACCAATATCGCGGAGACGGCTCTATCTCATATACCCTGCAGTACGTTCAACCTCCCAAAAACGCACAGCCGACCATGCACTGTCAACTGCCCAAGCCTATCCAGCCTGCGCTAGCCATGGTGCTAGATGATTTTGGTGAATTTTCGGCTGATATGTCATGCGGCGCTGACAATGATGCTCACTCTGAGAGGAAACGGGTAAGTCGCCAGACTAACGTGATTATGCTTCATGCCAGTGCTCACTGACTGCGTTCAGCAAAATCCACTGCTGGTGTGGCTCAAGGATCGTTCACTGTTCCTCCAGGAGATGCTACGACTCGAAGGCCGAGGAGAACTTAGTGCAGGGCCGTGTTCTGGTTGTGGTAACCCACATCCGGAATATCGTTGTCAAGATTGCTTTGGGATCACTCTGTGTTGTGCCTCCTGCACGGTGACGGCCCACATGCACCACCCGCTGCATCGGCTGCAGGTAAGTGTTAATTAAATAATTGTATTCGTGTGGAATATGAACTCACTAGATGTAGAAATGGAACGGAGAATATTTTGAGCCAGCGAGCCTGAAGAGCCTCAGTCTCCGGATCCAGCTTGGACACGTGGCCGGTCAGACTTGTTCCAATCCTCGCCGCGCATTCGGTGATGACTTTGTCATCATGGATTCTCATGGCGTTCACGAAGTAGCTTTGGATTTTTGCGATTGCTCCCTGGCCACAACCCACATACAACAGCTCCTTCGCAAGTCGTTATTTCCGTCAACAACAATTGACCCCAAGACTGCGGCAACGTTTCGCCTTCTCGAAGAATTTCATCTCTTGTTGTTTGAATTGAAGGTGTCGGCGTACGAGTTTTATAACGCACTGATGCGGAGGTCTGACAATTCGGGGCTGAGTCCCATCAAAGTACGTACTGTTAGGGCTGCTCCATGACAACATTGCCTTACGTTTCTTTAGGATCGATACGACGAATTCAGGCGCATGATTCGCGAATGGCGACATCTCAAGATGCTCAAACGGTCTGGGCGACCTTACGATCCCAATGGGATTGATTCGACTCCCGAGGGTGGATGCGTTATTCTCTGTCCGGCCTGTCCGCAGCCCGGGAAAAACTTACCCGCTGACTGGAGAGAGGCTTCCCCTACTGACCGGTAAGATGCTACTGTAATGGCATGTGTATTGCAGTCGCTGATTCATAGAAGTAGCTGGCTATATGGGCTGTTTGTGGCTATCGACGCTAATTTCCGGTTGAAACGCAAAGTTGTTTCAAAGGATAGTGTAGACCCCAGCCTGAGTTGTGGCTGGGGGTACTTTGTCGAAGAACATGTGTACAAGGCTTTCCTAGACGGTAAATCCAACATTAGTCAAGAGGTGAGTTTTCAGTCGTCTTTGCATATTTTTCTTAATACTAACGCGGGCTTGCGGAACAGAAGTCTACATGTTCAAGTCACAATGTGGTCAACAGTGCGGATACTAAGTCCAGTCATGGGCTTGCAGCTACCGGGCTGGGTACCATTGATTGCGCTCGCCACAACATGAAATTACCGACCGCAGTTGGAGACCTCCAGAAAGGAGAAAGGAGAGTTATGCTATAGTTCAGACTCCCGATTATATTGACGTGCCACCATCTAGATATGTAAATATGGATTACCTCTTCTTCTCGACCCTTCGCCACACCACTGTCGATATCCTTAACGTCTCGTATGATATAGCATGCCAGTGGAACAAGAACTTATGGCACCGTATGGCCTCATTCCCCCCCTCGATGCAACTGGACCACAGCGCTAAGAAAGTCACCTTCTTTGTACCAAAATTTCATTTGCCAGCTCACATCGAATCATGTCAAACAAGCTTCTCATTCAATTTTGCGCGCGGCGTTGGACGAACGGACGGAGAAGCTCCAGAGCGAGGATGGGCGAACATAAATCCTGTGGCATCGAGCACGAAGGAGATGGGCCCAGGCGTGAGACGAGACACTCTCGACGATTTCTTTGGGGACTGGAATTGGAAAAAAATTACCGGTCTACGTAAGTGACGCACTGACTACTGATGCATTACTGATGCATTGCTGATGCATCATTAGGTCGCACCATGCTGCGGAAGGTGAAAGAAGCCTTACCCGAACTATCCAAACACGAAGCAGCGCTGGACGACCTCGAAGAAGGACTGAAGGTGGAATACGCGGAGGCATTGAGTAGATGGAAAGAGCAGGTTGAGGCATGGGAGCGCGATCCCTCCCAGCCGAACCCATACGAACGGAGCGCAGAAAGTGAGTACATTGCATTTTTTCAATAATGTCTTGACGCTGATGTCATTTTATGCAGAGATCACGCTTGCCTCTGTGCGCCTCGAACTTGCGAAAGAAGACACATCAGAAATTGAACTAGGCGGCTTCCACGAATTGCATGAAGATTGTTCGCCCAGCGTGCTGATTAGCGGTGGCCTAGAGCTAGAAGAGCAGCAGTAAGTTTAATCAATATTTCATTGTATGCTTGCTAATGAAACACTTCAGGCGACGTCTTCGAGCTGAGAAGGCGGGTCTAGGGATTCATGCCACCGACATTCAAGAAGAGAAGGTCGTTCAACATAGTAACAGTCTCCAACGTCAGATTGAGGCCTGGGTCAAAGTCCAGGAGCTATACATGCCGATGATCGCGGCCTTACAACTGAAAAACAAGTCCAGTGATGTCGTCGTCACTCCCGAGTCATTTCAACTTCTACTTCCTTCGCAAGTTGGCAGAACGGATCCTTGCGACCTCAAATTTCAGAAAATTGAATGGAGACTTCGATTCGCACAGGCTCATGACACTCTACGCTCGCTACGTTCTAATCTACGCGTGCAAACCGCTATCCTGAAATACAAGGACCGTAATCTCCGTGGTCAAGGCTCAAACACCCGCGCTCGTAACACGCTCAAAGGTGTTGACGCAAGAATTGAGGCAGCATCGACCCGATACCAGGATGCGCGCAGAGCGCTAGTGATTCTTGCTCCCTTCGTCAAGGAGACGGGATGGCAATCCTCCCTACGTCCACTTGATCGTCAAGATATCCGAGGGATGTCGGATGTCCTGTGGGGCGAGACTGAGGGAAGAAGAAAACTTTCATGGATATGGAATATGCGCGGTGCTCATGGAGACGAGCTGGATGATGATGGATCTATGGAAGGTAAGCTTACCAATTTGTTCATGCACCCTATCTCACCGGCACTCTATCCAGACATGCGAATAGAATGGTGCAAGGCCAGGGCACGCGCTATGCGGTGGAAGGAGGAGCTCGAGCTGTTACGAGAGGAGATGCGGAGAATTTTGCAGTTCTTTGACTGGGAGGCGATGTCGTGGGATGAGCGCGCAGATCAGAACTGGTCTGGTAGTCCCACCGAGAGAGAGGGCCGGATTGCATATGCTCGACGTCAAGCAGCCTTACGTCGGGCAATGCGGGACACGTGTCGTTCCAGTTGGGCAGACACTCGCTCGTTCGTGGACCAGTTCCATGGGGAATCCTAGCGCTTGCATGCATGATGTAGTACCCTTCGCATAGTTAATGTACCCTTCACGTAGTTTTGCAATCAATCAATACAGGTGTTGACCAATGTACGGGTGAAGGGTGGGGGATGCAACGGGCGGGATCACTAATGTATGGGTGCAAATAAAGGGCGGGGGATGCATCAGACGAATAGTGTGATGCATCAAAGGAAGGGCGGGGGATGCATCATGCTATTCGTGTGAAGGGCGGGGGATGACAGTGTGATGCATCAAATGAAGGGCGGGGGATGCATCACGCTATGCATCAAATGAAGGGCGGGGGATGCATCAGACGAATAGTGTGATGCATCCCCGCCGTTCATTTGATGCATCAGAAGTAGGTGTGCATGCATCGCACAGCGGAGGCATGCATCACATTATGCAGGGTATTGTGGGGGGGGGACATGCATCACTCATGCATCAGGGGGCTTTAGGATTATAACGTTGTTGCATCAAAACAGTACTACAGTCACAACGATTCATGCATAACTATGACAGCAACCTGTGTATGAGTACACAGCAGACATGATAACTGAACCTGAATGCCTAAAGAACTGTTCAATATGAAGGATCAGGCGATGCGCATAGAAAACCACTCACACATCAATATGTTTCGGGTAGTCCAAAGAATCCTCCAGGAGGTTCAATAAGAGTTCATGACTTTTTGTTACTTGCATGGACCAAAAATTGTCTACTACACCTTCCCGGAAAGACTGGTAAAGAAATTTCCGCTGAAGCCGCCATCTGCCACCATATCGCATGAATGCGGTATTGTAGTCAACACCAAATCTAAAATCCATGCCTTATGACAAGAATGGTTGATAATTCAATAATTCCTACAGTTCATTGGTTGCGATCTCTGGTTGGTCAGAGTAGTTATGTGACCTATGTTCGAGGCGGTCTCTTGTAATTTTCTCAGAGTTGATAACGATGTTATCTTGACCAAACAGCCGGCTATATACGACGTCGCCTAAGAAACATTAGTCACCAAGGGTGGACTACATTCCGCGAGACCACTTGCCGTATTTCCTGCCCCATGCCTTGTAGGTAAGCCAAGGGGCACTCACATCGACTGCCAGTGCATTGCCTAGGATTGGAAGCGGAGTCGGACCTGGTGGAAGTCGAACATCGTGAGGCACTTTCGGTTTGGCAAAATAACCTCTGAGCGCAAAACCGATGGCAAAGGCGGCAAGAAGTGCTTCAAGCCCACCCATGACGCAGTCCGACATAGGAAGACGGACTAGTACAGGGGAGTGAGGGCTGCAGTGAGTAGAGTTGAGAAGGGTCTTAATATTGACAACTGCGGCTCAAGTTGTAACGCTACAATTTCGTACGAATCTTCTGATCAGTGAGACCTGGAGTACATAAGTATGTATGCGGAATCTGAATTGGAACACTGCATCAATATCATATGTGATGGCCCCAATGGCCCATTTCCGCTACTATCGGTCACCTTAGTAACAAACATGTGATGCGATGTTTGTTACTAACTAGGGGGGAAGTTTATGCTGCAGTACTTCAGCGAGTTCCACAGCACTCGGCGGTCACTTAGGTAGGTAGAAAAAGTATGGAAGCCCAGACACTCGTGCTCAATTAAGATAGGGCTCATACAAACACTACCAACATCACGTGATGTAAATAGTCACACTGCAGCAATTTTGAGGGAGAAAAGTGGTTATCTGAGCCGGCCGAGGAACGAGGCCGGCACAGATTTTAGTCTACGTGCAAAATAAGCAAGGTGGTGCAGCGCTTCTTGCTCCTGCCCACCTCGCAGTATTATCCTATTCCGAGTGTCAGCTACTCATGTCTACGTCTTTTTGCATCCTTTTAATTGGTAATGCTCATGGAGGACCCTAACAAAGCCATAAGACCAGACTTCATGTCCCCAGAGCACCAAGATGAGCATCAGCCGCTCATTGCCAAGGGTCTCTCAGAAGAACAAGCTGCTCGTTCACTAGCAGCCCTATGGAATGTGAACAACAACGCTGACAAAGAGCGTTGGGCCCTCAGACAACAATGTCTACAGGACATTAGACAACGAGAAGAGGAGGACGAAGAACAACGCCAGCAATTACTCAAAGATGAGCAGGAAGTTGTCCGTCGGGAAGAGAGGAAAAAGAACAAGAATAAATATGCACCACTAGTGCGAGGGAAAGTACCATCTGACCCAACCATCATTCCTATGCAATATGCATTAAGGAAACTAAAGGTGGAAAATTACTGTGAGCTGCATTACTTTACCAACAAGGGCCTTGAGGATGCTAAAACATCCAACCTCGTGGCAGAACCAGATGCAATGGTAATGCTACCATCCACTGACGGGTTACACTCCTGGGTTCCCGCAGCCACAGTGAAAGATCTGAAAGCTGCTCCCATTGTTAAAGATGAAAACCTTTCTTGGGAAGACTTCAACGAAGCAGCCCCCCGCATGATCTCGTCGATGAAAGTCCATGATTGGCCCGACGACCAAGTCCAAATGCACATCCAATTTTGGTGTGCACTCCAAACGCACCACTGGCGTCATGCCCCAGACCCACTTAAGCAGAAAGCTCTGCTCCTCTACCAGTCGCAGCAGCATCATCACTGGCACATGACTGTCGGTACCGCACAGAGCTGGAGCCTTGAAGAACTTAATCAAGACCTTATCGCCAAAGCTCGAGAGGAGTTGTTCAACGAGAAATGAGACAAGGAAACAATGTTAGCCATTCGTCAGTATCGTTTCTCTTAGATCTACACTCAAAGTTTCAAATGCTCAATCATCATGTCATTGTCATCATTCCTCCCAATAACTCTGCGATATGTTACAACACATAACTCGCTTTACTGTCGGCCAATCACGCACCGACAATAAACACCTCAACTTCACCGCGTTCACACACCAGAACTGCTACGTCAGTCTTTCATCGCGAAAACCATGACCATCACGTGTCAAACCTCACCCCAATACCCATCTGTGATGACATCATGATCATTGCACATGCACTTTGTATCGAACAAACCAACCATACTCTATTCGTAACGCACAAACTCATCCCACGCTAACAGAGCAAGCGGCCACGGCGTACATTGCCAACAACCAAGACCTCTTACGGACGCAACCGCAGCAGCCCACAATGTCTCTTAAACGCTCATATACCCCAGGGGAAGACGCTGCAAGCAGCAACAAGAAGGTATGACCTTCTCGTCCTTTTGCTGCCATGGGACCATTACCCTGCTGTGCAGTCTGCCTTGGGAGAAACCCCCACCACACGGTCGAGTGCATTGCCACTCAAACATGGGACAAGCAATTCGAGACCGTCTCGGAGCGCATCCACAAGGGTCTTTGGACTAAGGATGGAAAACAAATTTGCACAGCGTGGCAACGAGACGAAGGCTGCACCACTCCCAAACATGATGCACGCCACGTATGCTCAGGGTGTGGGGCAGCCACTCACGGAGCTCAGAAGTGTCCTAGAGCACAGAAAGCTAGTACCGCTGACCCCGTACAAAGCTGACACTTGGAGACTGAGAGCTACAACGGACGGGTTTACTCGAACACTTTGTTAAGATACCAGAGGGTTTCCTTTTAGGTTTCAAAATAGACTTTCCTTCTATCAACAGTGTACAAGCTCCCCCGAATAGAGATTCGATTATCGAGTATGCAAGCGAGTTTAATAGTATCATTCAGAAAGAACTACGCAAAGGGAGGTACTTAGGGCCGTTTTCAGCCATCGCATTGGAAAACCTAATAGGACCATACCAATCCTCTCCGTTATCGATCATCCCAAAACCGGGAAAACCAGGCAAATTCAGGATCATACAGAATTTTTCAGTATCCCCATTCGACTAACATCACCTTTCCTGAATCCATCAGTAAATGCCTCCATTGAAACAGACAACTTTCCAACCACATGGGGAAAGTTCTCAATTATTTACCAATTGATTGCAAACCTCCCCCCGGGATCCGAAGCTGCAACAAGAGACATTGCAGAAGCTTATCGAACGGTACCCCTACACCCGTCGCAATGGCCAGCGGGTGTAGTCCGAATATCTGATGCACAATTCTGCATAGATACTTGCACAGCGTTCAGAGCAGCCCCATCAGCAGGGGTCTATGGACACGTTGCAGACACAGGAGCTGAGATCTTCTGTAACAATGGAGTTGGCCCCATGGACAAATGGGTAGACGACCATATCTTTTTCAGGATATGACGCGAATTGTTAAATCAGTACAACGAATTCAGAAAGGAATGGAACCAACAATTCACTAAGGATGGCTTATGTCAAATGGGAGGACAACTTTGGTTTGGTGATACCTGTGTAGAAACCGGCAAGCTCAAAGAGATGAGCGAAGATTGTTCAAAACCACTGCAAGACCTGTCAAACCGGTCTGTAAGATCAGAGCACAACAAGCTCTTCAATTTCAACCTGCAGGACATCGACGACTTATCGGAAGAGCTAGGCATCATATGGGAGCCTTTGAAAGACCAGCCTTTTCAGACGACCACAGTGCACATAGGTTTCGTTTGGGACATTAAACTAAAGTCAGTATCATTGGGCCCAACAAAAACCGACAAATACCTCGCAGCAATCCACAAATGGCGGAAATGGCGGGCGCACATTCTCCAAGACGTCCAAGAACTTTACAGAAAATTATTACACGCATGTGAAGCGGTGCCTCGAGGCAGGGCATACCTAACGAGTCTCAAAGAAATGCTCTCACACTGTAGCGAAAAACCTTTCCTTCCCCACTGAGCGGGCGACAGAGTAGCAAACGACCTTGACTGGTGGTCTCTATTGCTTCAATCTGGAGGCGTCACACGGCCCATTCTTCCCACAGCCAAGCTAGATAATCCATTGGCTTTCTCAGACGCCAGTTCAGGCATAGGGATAGGCATAGTAGTGGGTAATTGCTGGAGAGTGTGGCAATTAATTCTGGGTTGGAAAATGCACAATGGCAAACGTGACATCGGATGGGCAGAAGCTGTGGCTTTCGAACTACTCATATACACTGTCGCCACTATCCCTGATGCTAGCAGCCGCATCCTCGTCCATGGAGATAACACAGGCGTCGTCGAAGGATGGTGGAGACGAAGGCACAGGAACCACAAAGTCAACGGGGTCTTCAGAAGGATCAGTGAATTCATTCACTCACTACCACGTCCTCTTCGACGTTATCACCTCCTACATCCCAAGCGCTTGCAATCCCGCAGACGAACCATCCAGAGGAATCTATGGCCCAATGAGCCTTCTTCTTCCCCCAATCGAGCTTCCAGCCGAGCTTAATAACTTCCTCATTGACTCCAGTGCACCGCTCTCCGCTACCGAACTTAGACACTTACGGGATGGGAATTACTCCATTCCTGCAGCTAAGTTCATCAATCGCGAGCTCACCAGACAGCAGGCAGCTGTTCGAGCAAAAGCGAGTCGAGACGAAGAAGAACGCGTCATTAGCAAAGCCCTCGGAGATGAATGAAAGAATCGGAAAAGCGCGCTTTCACGCTCCACTGTCTAAGTACCATGCTCAATCCCCTCCCTTCTAACCCCCTACGTTACAAACCAAACCTAACCCCTTTATTGTCCATACTCCGTCTGCACTGCCTTGCGAGAAATCATTTGAGACTTTGGGTACCAGCAGGACCTAGCATGAGACAATCAATAAGCTCTTCAAACGAAACACCAAAACATGAAATCTCTGATCTACAGTTAGAACGCATCCTCGACGTCATGGGGTCAGCATGGGCACAATCCACCAAAGAGACTTACGGAGCCGGTCTCTTAGTCTTCCACATATTCTGTGACACAAACGGTATCGAAGAGGACAAGAGATGTCCCATTGCCCGTAACCTACTCCTCGACTTCTTATGTAGCTGCGCAGGTTCCTACTTCGGGCTCAGTGTTAGCAAACTACGCAGCAGGTCTGAGAGCATGGCATTTACTCCACGGGAGAGATTGGTTGAATACTGCCCAAAGAACTTAAAATAGTTCTAGACGGCACAGCCGCAGCAGCGCCACAGCAATCCAAACGACCCAAACGACTTCCCTTCACACCAGATTTTCTTATCGCTATCCGTAATCAGCTGGACCTTAGCGCTCCGCTCAACGCAGCTGTCTTTGCTTGCCTGACCACGACATTCTACTCCATAGCGAGACTGGGCGAGTTCACAGTCAATGCCATCAGAGAGTTCGATCCTAAGAAACACGTCACTAGGACAAACCTATCAGAAGCGACTGACAGGAATGGTCTCCCCGTGACAAAATTCCACCTTCCAAGAACGAAATGCTCCCCAATCGAAGGAGAAGACGCGTATTGGGCGGCGCAAGATGGTCTATCAAACCCTAAAGTAGTGTTAGAGAACCACTTTCGCGTAAATCCAACAACAAACCCAGCTCAGACGCACCTCTTCGCTTGGAAACACACGAAAGGAATGCGCCCACTATCGAAGAAAGAACTCCTAAAAAGAACAGCATCAGCCGCCGCCGCAGGTCTACCAGACCTCAAAGGGCATGGCCTTCGCATCGGAGGGACGCTAGAATATTTGCTGCAGTGGAGTACCGTTCGACGTAGTGAAAGCTATGGGCAGATGGTCTAGTGAAGCCTTCACCATCTATCTTCGAGATCATGCAATGGTACTGCACCTTACATACAAGCTTCACCAGCTCTTGAACCGTTCACAGCGCCATACCATGCCTCCCATTCGGTAACACACCAGAGTGAGTCCATCTCCTACCTCACAAGGGCATCAAGCTTCGCTGCATGCTGTCGTTGTACTCCTAAAAATCAGGAACACAGCTCACCTTGCGCCATAGGTACGGACCCGTGTTTTGGACCGGAAAAGCCCTGCGGGCTTTCAGCCCCAAACCCAACAAATAGTATCTCCACCTAGCACTAGTCTTAACTGGTCTCGTTGTAACGACACAGGCTGTTAGATTCAATCCTTCTTTTGAATACCACCAGATCTCGTTGCCATGAGTCATTGAAGTGCATAGACATGACATTGGCATATTTAGTGGGCTACATGACACTAAACAAAAAACAGTCTCCAGGCATAGCAATACAGACAAGGCCCCCACTGTTCCCCAGAAGCAGATTTCGGACTGCTTGTCTGACAAGAGAGAAATAAGAACATTTCAATGATGAATAAGCTATGCACATTGTCTACTGGTTCCATGCACAAGTGAGTTGTACTCATTTATTTTGAATCTTAGATTTTCTTACTATAATTCATAGGTTTTAGTGCTGCCAAAGTCCAGTTCGGTCCAGTTCTTGAGCCTCTAAATGCGAATGCTGAACTGGACCATTGGTCGCGTTCAGGCAAGGAGGGCGAATGCTGGACCGGACCCTTATGAACACATTTGCAAGTGTTCGGTTCAAGTTCAGAACACATTTGAACGATCGAACACTACGTATAAATTGACAAAAATTGTAAGAAATACATGAAAACTTCGATGTAAATGAGTAGCTAGATTTCGTCCATGGCAGAGTATTCACGAGCAGCAGCAACCTCAGCTTGAACTGTTGCAGATATATGGCCTTGATGGTACCTGCTCTTCAATAGCTGAAGGGCCTCAAACATTGTTGGCAACAAACAATTACGGCGTGCAGTCCCAGTGATGCCACCACTCGAAAAAGCTCATTCAGATGCAACAGCAGAGCCTTGAATAGCAAGGTAATCTTTGGCAATGCGAGAGATGGTGGGATATTGAATGGAATGGTGCTAAAGGCATTTAAGTCAACCTGCAAGGAAACACAATGCAAAAAAAACTCATGCCCCACCACGCTATATTCTCAACATCCTCTAATGGGGCAGCAAGGTAGTTGTCAAGCTCCTGGCAAGGCCTTCGGTTTGCACTATCACTTGCGACATGAGTTTTGATGGCATCGTGCATCCAACTATGGCCATAGGACCCTTGGCAAGCAAGCGAGAAAGGAGCCATGACAACTGGCTCTGCATCAGGCAAGGAATTATGATGATAGTATTTGTCGAAAACCTTCTGCAAGCTTCTCATGCCCTCGTCAAAGTCACGAGGCTCCCATTTACCCTTCGCATATGCCACCAGTTAGTATTGTTCAGGGACAGTAATAGAAACCAACTGACTTTGCGCAGCTTAAGTGTGCACTCCAACATGCCAAAGAGCAAGGCCCATCAGGTGCGAATCCATTTCAAAAGCTTGAGCTTCGGCTCATTGACCTCGACACAGCACTTTTGGAAGAAGGTACATGCTTGGGGAGATTTCCATACCTAAATAAAGGGTTCATCAAATAGAGCAAGGCAGATGAGGGTACACACTTACCTGTGTAACAAACACGAGGGCTTTTCCTGCGGTGTCAGCAACATCGAAATCAGTCACTTTGTTGTCATCATCTTCACCAGCCATGATCTTGAGGAGAGTGCTTGCTGGTGTAGGTGCAACCTCCTCAACAAAGTGTTTGGTGGCTAAATGTAAGGCATGCTCCATACAGCTTAATAGACATCAACATATATAGATCACGATATTAAATAGATCACTTACC